TGTTTTCTCCTTTATTAGAATATAAACTCCTTGAGGGGAGGAATTGTCTTATTCCTTTTAATTGTATCACCAGTGTCTAGCATAAGTGCCTGACAAACAGTAGATACTTAATAAATGCTTATTGATCAATTGATAGATTCTCTCTCTCTCTCTCTCTCTCTCTCTCTCTCTCTCTCTCAAGGACAATTTATATATAACAGAAACAGGATAAAATCAGGAAAAAACAATATTGTAAAATTGCTAGATTTGGACTGCGATAGTCTGTGTTTGAATTCCAACTCTCACTAGCTATATGACTGGGGACAAGCAAGCCATTTCCCCTCTGAGCCTAAGAATGCTTAAGAAGTCAGCAGTACAATGGTACAATTGGGGAGTGGTGGTGGACTAGATGACCTCTGAGGTCCTTTCCAACTGTAAATTGATGATTCCAGGGTCAAACCCATTCAACATCACCTGCAAAACCCTCCTCCCAACCCCCAGGCTGAAGGTACAGTCCTCCTCTCCCTTTGTTTCTGCCCAAGTGCAGTAGGGGCACATGGACAATTAAGAAACAATTTGCCTCCCAAGTAACCCTTCTGTCTCCCACAAGAGCAGGAAGGGGAATAGCTTAGTCCCTCATGGGAGGTTCTAGATGGAGTGATGAGAGAAGGTTAATTCCTTTACATCCCACGCTTATAACAAGTGGCTACATTCATAGCTCTTTTTTAGGAACTGGAGGGAAGACCTGATGTACTTCACTGCCTTGGTGCTGTTCTTGCTTCTCCACCAGACACAACAGCTATAATAACTCCAATAGAATGACTGGCTTCTCCCTAGGCTCTTTTCAAAGCCCCTTGTTAGTGAGACTGTCACAGCTTTGGGGCCATTTACAGTGTTGTGAAGCTACGGAAATGCTCCATAAGCTTATTTCCCCCCTAGATCCTCATAGGGTATTAATGAATGAATGAATAAAAAAGCATTTATTAAGCACTTACTATGTCCTTACACTGAGCTAAGATTGGGAGATACAAATAGAGAAAAAAAATGAGATAAGCCCTCTTAAGGAGCTCACACTCTAATTGGGAGAGATAACACATAAAAGAATGTTTAATCATAGGATGAATGGAAAGTCAGTAAACAATCATTTTTTTTAAGTGCTTACTGTATGCCAAGCAGTGGAAGAAAAGGCCTAGGAGTCCTAAGGGTGTGGATAACCAGGCTCAGGGGCCTTTTCAGTAGGTCAAATTCAGGTAAGTCCTAGAGAGTCTTAGGATGCAGTAGCAGGACAGATGGTAAGGCCTGCTAGTCCTTCATCTCTTTGGAAGGAATAGTTGGTGACTCCTATCTCAATCTAAGCTCTGTGAGCAGTCAAGTGGCCTAGATGGGTTCTGGACATTCCAGGCAAGAGAAGAGGCAAAGAGTGCCTTCTTGCACCCTCAATTCCCCATCCCCTCCATGGGTTCTGGGCCAGCATGGGCTAAGGGAGGGGGAAAGGTATGAAGGGAATATGGACAGGATCTGTAATTTTATTAGTATAGGGAACTTCTGGAGGAAGAAATTCTCTCTACTAATGCCTGTTGGCATCTTTTCTGAAACCTCTAGTCTTAAAGAGTTACCTAGAGCATTGAGTGGTTAAATGACTTGTCCAGGCTCATACATCCTGTAAGTGTCAGAGGTAGAGCCTGAAATCAGGTCTTCCTGAGGCTGGCTCTTTATCTCCTAGGCCTTGAGGCCACAGGTTCCCCACCCCTACCCTAGGCCATCTCTCCCATCATACATTTCCTCAATTATATACCTTCTGCCCTTTCTTGAATGTAGGTCATCAATAGAAATATATCACCACATATTTATTAATGACACCAACCACTCTTTTGGCTAATATGGTTTTATTTGTAGGATTTGAAATGTAGAGTTTAATGAAGACTTTAATAATAGGTAAACAAAACAATATGCAGCAAATTGTTTTTCAACTTAAAGCCTGAATATAATTGTTATTAAATGGGGCTAGGCACATTAATATTGCATCCATGGTAAATATACTTTAGCGGTTTTATATATATATATATATATATATATATATATATATATATATTATATATATATATTAATATATATATATATATATATATATATATATATATATATATATATATATATATATATAAATAAACATCTAAATTAGACTAATTATTTAAGCCTTAAACTATTGCCGCCACTTTCACTAGCTATTTCCCAAGGCTCAGAAAGGAGGCAGAAATATACCTCCCTGCTAGGCTTCTGGGTGCAGCGGGTGCTAGGTGCAGCGGGTGCTACTGTCGCCTTTCAACTTGCATTTTAAAAGAACAGGATGTCAGAGATGAAGGGGACCTTGGGGATCATCCAGTCTAATTCTCTGGATTGACATATGAGGAAACTGAGGCCCAGAGAGAAGAAACTCAGCCAAGGTCATACAGCTAGTAAGTAGCAGAGTGAAGATTTGAACCCAGGTCCCTTGAACCCAAACAGTCATGATTTATCTAACACTGAGGTGGGGGGGGGCAGGGAGAGGACGTATCAAAGAAATTTGGGATAGTTCTTGCCCTCAGGAATCTTAGAAACTAGCTTGTGGGAAGAAACAAAGCAATGTGACTGGGGCTAACTATGCAAATGACTATGAAAACAATTCCCAAACTGTCCTGAGCAATGAATAGCTGCATTATGGGAGTAAGTGTATTGCCTCCTAAGGTGACTACTTTGAAGGGGACAACACCCATTTGGATGTACAAGTTCTAGATGGTCTTTCAAAAATTCAGTCAAGCCTTGTACAATTTAGACATGAAATGCCTTACCATCACTTGAAAATCAACATACTAATTAACAAATACAAAACTTTATAGAACAAGGCTCAGTTCAGATGCTACCTTCTCCATAAAGCCCTTCTAGATGTTAGTCCTCTCTGTCTAAAATTTGCCTTGTATTTTTGACTCCGTGTACAGGTTGCACCCAACAGCAGAATGCAAGCTCCTTGAGGGCAAAGATTGTTTCATTTTTGGCTCACGGGATCTTAGATTTAGAGTTGTAAGGGACACTTAGAGGCCATCCCCCTCATTTTATAGAGGAGAAAACTGAGGCCTGGAGAGGTAAAATGACCTGTCCAAGGTCACACATATGATCTGGAAGGGACCTTAGAGGTCATCAAGTCCAGCCCTCTTATTTTACAGATGAGGAAACTGAGGCACAGATAGGTTAAGTGACTTGCCCAGGGTCACGCAGCTAGCAAGTGTCTGAGGCAGGATTTGAACTCAGGGCTTCCCTACTCCAAACCCAGTGCCTTCTCCACTATGCCATAGCATGGTGCCTTCCAGATAGTAGACATTTAATAAATGCTTGTTGAAGGGGACACAATCAAGAAGTGGTTATAGTCAGGGGAGGGTGGTAAAGGCAGGCTTTCCTCCTCCTACCCAGGGAGGTAATTTTCAAAACTGGTTGTGATGGTGATGGCTAGGTTAGCAGAGGAGTGGCAGCTACAAGTAAACTGAGAGCAGCTTTATATGGAGCTGCACCAAAAAAGTGAGTTCTAAGTGGGTTCAGGGGTAGGAGCAGAGGAGGCCTCTAAAGGCTGGTCAAAAAAAAAAAACAAAAACAGAGATTTGATGCCCTATTCAAGTATATGGTCTTGGACAGGATGGTGACTTCCCTGGGGCCCATTGTGGCACTGAGGGTGGTAAAGGTGGAAATTGGGCGGGGCATGGGAATCTCCATTGGGCCTAAGATGCACTGATAGGGAGAACAAACAAACAAACCAAACCAATATTTTCTTTCACTTTCAAGTTTCAGCTGGCTTCAGGAGCACAAGATTTCAGGGGGGTCTGTATCCAAGTTGGGAAAGGTAATTCAGGCTTTTGGGGTGGGTGCTAACTGAAAGATATTCCCAAATAGACTGCTGAATCATCCAATCTTATAAGGCAGAAGGGCTGTCAGAGGTCAGTGAATTCAATCTGTAGGAATCCCCTCTGCACCATTTATGACAAGGAGTCATCCTTCTAGCCTCTGCTTACAGACTTCCAGTGACAGGGAGCTCATTACCTACTGAAACAATCCATCCCACTTTTGGACAGCTCTAACTGGTCAGAAGTTTTTCCTGACATTGAGCTGAAATCTCTCTAACTTCCACCCATTGGTTTCTGTTCTGCCCTCTGAGACAAGTGAAACCAATCTCATACCTTTTCTGTGGGACAGCCCTTCAACTATTTGAAGAAAGGGATCATGTCCCCCTTACTTCTTCCCTTGCCTTCTAAACACTTCTAGTTTCCTTACTCATAAGGCATGATTTCCAGCCTCTTTACTATCCTGCACTATCCTTCTCTAGATGGACACCAGCTTCACAAAGCCCTTCCTAAGACGCAGCGTGTAGAATAGAACAGAGTGGGACTAGCCTACCTCCCTGATTGAGGAGTGGGGGGCACAACGAAGCCCCAAGTCCCATACATTTTTTGTAAATCACTTTGCTAGAGGCCAAATGGTTCTGCAGTGCAGGCATGCTGTCTGTAAGGATCTGGCTCAAAACCAAGCCCTTCTGTTTGGCATTTCAAGCTATTCACAACCTGACCTCCTTCCTATCTCTCTCATCTCCTCATACGTAACTCCCTTCAGCACACTCTAGGTTTCCACCAAATAGGCCTTCTTGCTCTTCCTCACACAAAACACTCCATCATCTCCCATATCAGTGACTTTTTTTTGGTTGTTCCCTATGCTTGGAATGCACCCTCTTGCTTCTACCTCTTGGAAACACCAGGTTATCTTTAAAATTTAACTCAAGCACCATCTATGTGAATCCTTTCCTCATCCCCACACCTGCTATTGCCCTCTCCTCAAAATAGCTTGTGTCTGTTTTGCATATACCTACATATATATGTATACACACACGCACGCACACGCACACACACACACACACACACACACACACACACACATACATATATATGCACATATTGTTTTCCCCCATTAGAACATAAGGTCCTTGAGGGTGGGGATGGTTTTGCTTTTGTCTTTGCATCCCCGGTACCTAGCACAGGGCCTGGCACACAGTAGGCATTTAATAAATGCTTGTTGACTGAATTTAGGCTCATAGAATTCGAGTTGCAAAGGAACGTCAGAGTTCCTTCAGTCCAACCCTGTCATTTTACAGAGAAGTAAAGCTCTCTGACACCCAGAGAGACTAACTAACTTGATTAAGATCACACAAGGAACAGCAAGGATTCGGACTCAGGTCTTCGGACTCCAAATCCAGAGCTCTTTCCATTGTACCATGCTTCCTGCCTTAACAGTTGTGGAGGGCCTTGGGGTCTTTCGGCCCTAACAAACTACTCCCATCACTTCCTTCTGTTGGATCACCAGAATTGGCAGCTCATCTTTCTTTAAATGTTTCCATCTTGTCATCAATCACTCTAGTCCGCTCATCCTTACCTCCTGAAAAACTCAAACTCAGCTGCAATTTCTGGTTTAGATAACCTGTAATCTCTCCTGCTTTGATATTGGGGGGCGTCTCAAAGAACTTCTCTCCTAACAATTCTTCCTTTCCCTTTAGAGGAAAAGAAAATCATCCCACAAATGTTTAGAGTTTTACAGAATGAGAGCCCAGAGCACCTAAGAACATTTATGGCCAAGGACTACTTAAAAAAAGATAGTCCTCTGAGGTACATTTTTTAAAACCGCTCTCAACTTTTTTTTTTCCTGAGCAAGTATGTTATGCAGAAGAAATTAATTATGTAAGTTCTGAGCATGAATTCAACTTAAACGTATCTAATTATTATCATCATAGGCAGTACTTAAAATGCACAACATTTCTCAAGTTCAAGCATGGCATGTCTCATTTGCCTCAAACCAATCCAAGTTCAACCAACATTCTGTTTTTCCTTTTTATGTCTTTTGAGCTGGCTCATGGAACTTGGCTGTACAAACAGGTAAGAGTTTGTACCGATAATGAAGATTATACTTTGAAGCAAATTATTTAACATCAAAGTGCATTTTCTTTTTTAAAAAAATCAATACAGATGTCAGCAGTTAAAAGGCATGCCAATTCTTCAGATTATATAACTATCACAGTTATGGAAAGATCATAATCACATTGATTTCTTTAATTCTTAGATTCACATTTTCCTAATTGCTAATATATAGTGTGCCAAACTCTTGATTTGTGCTATGAGAAAAAGAAAAAAAATCTCCATTTCTGGCACTATGGTGCTAAGTAACCATGCGTGTCTGTGTTGACAGCACACATGAGAAAGTTAGCGCACACATTATACCCAAACAGGTAGCTTGGAAAATCCATATGCGCTGGCTAGCCAGAGATGGTGGAGAGAGCACAGGCAGCTCTGTCACTTTCCCATCAATCACGAAAATCACTGTGGGATTGAGGACAGATGGGGGGGGGAGGGTAGAGGTACTTGCTGCCACTTAGCTGGATGGCTTCTGTGGTATACCACATAGGACATCCCGGACACCTGATTCATGTTGGGACTCACAGGCACAGTAGAAATGGAACAAGACTTAACTTTTCAGTCTAATTATTTCAAAGAGTTCTAATCTTTAAGCAAACTAAAATGTTTCATCTACTTATTGCCAACACATTTCAGATGAGCCTCTGAAATTCTAGTACTACTCATTTGAAAGCAAATTATTATATATGTAGCTAAGGATAACAAAAAATCACTAGTCTTTCATTAATCCTGAGCCAAGATTATATGTTATCAAGTTTAATCCCACTTTATGTGGCCAGGATACAAACCCCTGAAATATAAATGTCTATAAAGGAAACTCTAGAGACAAGTCCTCATTTACTTGGTAATGGACTATATTGGGTGTTTTGGGAAATTTTTTTCTTTCTTTCCTTTTCTCCTCCCTTTTCATTGGCTCTTTAGCAACTCGCAAAGCTGTAAAAAGACAACCAGCACCCTTGATATACATGTTGGAAAGGCCTGACTTATAATGTAGCTAATATTCAGCAATAGTCAATGACAGGTGACTATAATCATATTGAAATTCCCTCTGCTGACCTTGAGCAATTCATAACTTGTAGTCATAGGATTCTAGCTCTAGAGTTAGAAGGGCCCCCCAGAGACCATCCAGTCCACCCCTCTCGTTTTACAGAGGGGAAAGTGAAGCCTAGGAAGGATAAGTGACTTCTCTAAGGTCACACAGGTGTTAAATGGCAGAGCTGGGATTTGAATCCCAATCCTCTGACTACAAATCTAGAATTGCCCAAGACTCAAGGAGGTTAAGTGACTTGCCCAGGGCCTCCCAGCTAAGTGTCAGACACAAGTATTCCTGGTGCCGTGTCCAGAGTCTGTCCACTATACCATTTTGCCACTCCTCTATTCAACAATCAACAATCATTGGGAATAGATGTTGCCCATTTTCAGTAATTGGAGTGCAAATTGGAAAGTAGAGTGGATCAGAATTGTGGCATCAGTCTTTCTTTGGAGTGAGATTTTAATAGATTTAATAGATACCTAATTTAAAATCCATTCTTCGGTCTCTGTGTCTAGCAGGCCAAGAATACAAGTATATTGTCCATGAGTTGTCAAAGCAGTCATTGTCTATGCAACATTTGAAAGCCTCTTTCCTTAAACCATCAATGATAGGTGCTCAGGATCCTATTCATGGGAGACCAAGTATCAGAGGAAAAGTCTTTATACTACAGGGAAATGGATATAATATGGGGAAAAACTAATATAGATAGATAGTTATTACTCTGTGTTTTGACAAAGTTTAATGTCCAGGTCATTCAACTTTGCAGGGAGAAAATGGATGTAACTTTCTCCTATTCTGTTATGTGTGCTCCTGGAACCAAGGCACCACCTTTGTTTGGTTTATGGCATTGTTTCTGTCATCTCTATCTTATGACTTAGCATTTGGTTCTAGCTTTCAAAAATTAGTTCTGATTTGCATCATTTCTTTTTCTTCTGGACAAAAAGCAATGCCAATAGTTCCAAAAATTGCCTGGAATAACATTTGTGGCAGGTTTTTATGAATCCTACACTGTAAAATCCACACAGAGTTACTAAGTAAAGGTTAATATATCAAAAGTTAAAGTAATAAAGTTTAAAATAATTCTATAAAAGAGAGCACACTCCTTTGAGAGTATATAGAGCTTGCAATAATTCTCTATAAGCTGCATTTCTCATCGGAATTACTCTATGCTACATTATAAGCTGCATGTTTGTTTTCATCATTTTCCTGAACGATACAACGGAAAGATAACTGAATGAATGACAAGATATTTGCAGATGAAAAGTGCAAATGTGTGCATGTGTGCAAACTTCATTGTATTTGACACGGTTTCAATCCCTGGAAATATCCAACCATTTCTTCCAGCATTTACCAGTTGAAGAGTGTATTTTGCCCAAGGGTCATAAAGTAAATCTGACTGGAGCCAGATTGGACAGAGGCAAAGAATACCTTAGGGGAGAAAAAAAAAGGAGAGAAGTTGAAACATCATCAGCTGGCAGTTCAGACAATTTTAACCTGATATTTGAGCAAGAGAAAAAAGGCTGAACACTGCAATTTCAATTCACTTTCACCTGTTAAATGAGAATAACACCACCTATTGTGTAAACTTTTTTTATCCAAACTTACTAATTTAGACAGTGAGGGTCAGGGCAAGGGATAGGAGAAGACTGAATTAGCATAAAGTCTGAAATGAACTGCAGACTCTTTTAAAAGTGCAGTGTTATCACTTTCTAATACATGTGGTACAAATCATCAAATGTCAGAGACCTCTAATCCAACATGTCCCTGAACAAGAATCCTATTCTACAGTATCTCAGATGAGTGGTTTTCCTGCTCTTGGAGACCTCCAGGGAAACGGAGCCCACTAGCTCCCAAGGCAGCCTGTGCCACTTGGGGACAGCCTTAACCATTTGTAAGTTTTTCCTTACATTAAGCCCAAATCTGCCCACACCACTACCCCCATTGCTCCTAGTTCTGCTCTCTGGGCCAAGCAGACCAACTCTCATCTCTCTTCCATGTGACAGCCCTTCAAGGAATTGAAGACTGTTTGCTATCATGTTGTGCTTAAGTACTCTCTTCTCCAGTTTCTTCAACTGATTCACACAGGACATGGGCTGAAATCTTCTCACTATCCTGATTGCCTTCTTCTGGACATACTCCAGCGTGTCTACATGCTTCCTAAAGTGTTGTGGCCAGAATGGAACCCAATACTCAATTTTCTCAATCTGTAAAACAAGGAGGTTGCACTAAATGATGGCTAAGGTCCCTTCCAGCGTTACAGCCCATGATGCTATTTCCAACGCAGTCTGACTAGGGCATGGTACCGTTTCACAACTATTGCCTACCCTCTTTGGGGTATTATATTCTTTTTGGCTGCTATGCCACACTGTTGACTTGAGTCCAAGATCTTTTTCAGATAAACAGTCTGAAGACTAAGGAAAGACAAATGGTCCTCTTGCCCATTTAGTACCTGTGAAGATGGTTATTTTAACCCACATGTGGACCTCTACATTTATCCCTATTAAATTTCAACTTGTGAGATTTGGCCCACTATTCTATATTGTTGAGACCTTTCTGGACACAGATAACCAATATATTAGCTACTGCTCCTAGCTTTGTTTCACCTACAAATCTGCTAGCAGTATCATCATCATCATCATCATCATCATCATCATCATCATCATCATCATCATCTATACAGTGCTTTAAGGTTTGCAAAGCTCTTTATCAATACTATCTCATTTGTTTCTCACAACAACCCTGGAAGGTAGGCACTATTATTATCTTCATTTTACAGAGAAGAAAACTGAGGCAGATAGAGGTTAAGTGACTTGTCCAGTGTTATACAACTAGAAAATGTCTGAGACTGGATTTGAACTTGGATCTTCCTGACCCCCTATCTACTATCTATCTACTATCTATCTACTGTACCACCTAGCTACTATATACCCTTTAATTGCTTCATTCAAGCTGTTGATAGAGATGCTGAATAACACAAGGCCAAGGATAGATCCCTGGGGACGCTACATTATAGACCACTTCTCTCCTTGCCCTTGGACACAAGATGAAACCAACTCTGCCAACTCCCACATTTATTCTTCTGAATACAACTTGTGAGCTGCCTGTCAAAGTCAATGCAGCCCAAACTCATTGTGAATCATCTCCACTTGGGACTTCTTACAGTAGTTCCTGATCATTGGGGGTTCAAAAATTCCCTTTCACATCTCTAAAAATCTGCAAAATTTGCAAGATTTCTGGAATGAAGACCAGGGATCATCCTTGACAAAGGGTCATCCAGCCTTTATTTAAGACTTTTTTCTTTCTTTTTTGGTGAGGCAATTGGGGTTAAGTGACTTGCCTGGAGTCACGCAGCTGGTGAGTGTTATGTTTCTTGAGGCTGGATTTGAACTCATGTCCTCCTGATTCCAAGGGCCGTGATCTATCCACTGCGCCATCTAGCTGCCCCATTTAAGACTTTCAATGTGGGGAAAGCCACCATAGCTCCTGGGGAAGCCTATTCCACTTCATGACAGTTCTACTTGTTAAGAAGTTTTCCCCCCTTGACATCAAGCCTCAATTTACTTCTCTGTAACCTCCACCCACTGCTCCTGGTTTTGCCCACTAGGATCAAAACAGTTCATGTACTCCATTGGAATGGGCCAAACTGAAAAGTACTGGAGTAAGCCCAGAATACACTGGTTTTCTCCTGACATAGCTAAAAGCATCCCTTCTACTCCCCCATATCCTCAGCATAGACCCTCAGAAGTGGTGGAAGGGCTCTCCTGCTAAGTAGCTGCTTTGATGGGATGTACACATTTAATATATTTCTTATTGACAGCTGTGACCTGTGATGACTCTTTTTTCATCTAATGAATCATATGCATACTTAAAGGGGCCAACCAAAGATGCCATTCAGTATGATGTGGTAGAAAATTCACTGACCTTAATGTCAAAAGACATGCATTCAAATCCCTGCTCTGACATTTATTACCTATGTGATCCTCCTCCCTGGGCCTCAGTTTCTCTCTCTGTAAAATGAGGTAGTTGGACTAGATGACATCTGAGGTTCTCGTCAGTCAGCTCTAGAGCTTTTCGCCTGGGATTCAGTAGCTTCACCTGATTGATGCATTCATTATAAGTCACCTTGGCTGTGCACTGGCCCTGCCTGCTGCCCACTTTCAGCCTCATGTGCTTTAGAACTTGAGCTTGACAAAGGTGCCCCATCCTAAGCTTTGCCCTCTTACCCCTCCTTGCTTCTTGCTGAGAATCATTTGCTTTGGTTGTCAATATTGATCAAATCAAAGGCAGATGCCAAACCTCCACTTTACTTTGGGCTACCCAGACAGCTTTAAAAGGCTCTTACAGTCTGTTTAAAGGCCTTATTCTAATCTGAAAAGAAAAGGGCCTGTGGCTCAAATACAATAATCTGTTCTACAGCAAAAGAAATAATGGCTAAGCTCTGCTTTGGGACATGACTGGAATCTTTGATTTTTCTTGCAAATGTTTTTCTTTGAAAATCACATTTAATCATTTACTCAATCAAGAAATGCCCCAGCTATTTCTGCTGGGAAAGGTGAATTTGCCTTTGGCAACATTACGCAGACAGTTCTTTCTTAATGAGCAGCAAGGAAAAGCACTCCTCTCCCTTGGTTAAACTAGTTAATTTCCAACTCGTTTAACCAGCTGGGTTTAACCATTTTTTTGGGTTAGCATGGTTAGTTCTTTCTTAATGAGCAGTGAGGAAAAGCACATCTCTCCCTTGGTTAAACTAGTTAATTTCCAACTTTTGCTGGTTAATTGTTCCCTCAGAACATACTCACCTTGTCATTTCGTTCACACAGAAATTTGAGCTTGTGGGATTTCTTGTGCATAAACACTCCTTCCAGGTGTCCAGCTTCTACAGAGCGTAGCTCGATTGCTTTCTCTCCCCAGCCCATGATCTGGTTTGACTGGAGATAGGCTGATGACAGAAAAGCAAAAGGAAAAAACTTAGAAAGCTGCCAATTGTGGTCCATTCTGGGTTACCAAAAGACTATCCAGTTTGTGAATGAACCCAGCCAGCCCTTTGCTTCTTTTCCTCGTCCCAGTGGCACTGCTTGGGAACATCTCTTGGTATGCAGACCTGTTCATTGTGCCATTTCTTTGCCCCTTTCTAAGGGATTGTGACATCTGGCAGACACAGGGCTTCTGGATTTCCATTACTGATTTGATCTCTGATCCTCATTATGAGAGAGAATCAAGAGTAGATTCTTTTTTTTTTTTTAACAGAAATTCAAATCCACTCACACCCCTTATTTAAGTACAGTATAAGAAAATAATAAGCATTTATTAACACCTTCTATATTCTAAGCACTGGATACAAAGACAAAAAATGAAACTGCCTCTGCCCTCACAGAGCTTATATTCTAATGGAAGAGATGACATCAGTTTATATAAGTATATACACAATAAATACAAAGTAATTTTGGAGGGCAGGGGGGAGAGAGGATCTCTCTGAGCTTTGAAGGAAATGAAGATTTTAGGGGAACCACAACTTATCTGGGTTTATACTCCTGTATAGATGAAGTATGTGGGAAGCAGATGGACTCTTAAGCAATGAAAACTGTTAAGGAAAAGGACCAGCCCAGGGTATTGATTATAGCGTCCATAACGCAATTGAATAGATTTCCATGTTCTAAGTAGGACTTAACCAGATTTGAAGTTTTTAAGGCTCTCTCTTGACCAGGATTTTGAAGGGGTTTTTTTTAGCAGTTTTATATTACTTTATGGCAATAAAGATTATGACAATAAGTGCCTTAATGCAGAAACCCTCATTATGTAAATAGCTGCTCAACCAGCTGGTGCTGTGAAGGGAATGTCATTAAAGTTGAATGAAAGAGCTTGGAGGCTACATTCTTCATAGGAAAGCCCATTTCCATAAATAAAGAAAAACCCTAACATTTAAATAATATCAAGGTTTTGACAGAAGCTGAAAGGATTCAGAAAATATCAAATTAAGTAAGGGGAAAGATCAGAATTCCACCCAATTTTCTTTTTTCTTCTTTGTAAAAGGGAAGAGATTTAACACTACCAACCCATTTGTATTTTTGACCTTTTCTGGAGTTACTAGAATGTCTTTGTTTAAACCAAAGCCATCCCTAAGCTGCAGTTATGTATATCAAATAGGCATAAAAAGGCTTGTTAAAAGGTTATGCCCACTTAAGTAGCAATCTCTTTGCCAAAGGTACTGTGAACCATTCTGAGCCTGAGCACACACCAAGAACTTGCCAGCAACTCACATTCCCTTTCACAGTGCAGTGCAAACTGCCTGAGTCAGGATCCCAGTGCCCAGAGCCTGAGGTTCTTTAGGCCCTCGGAGTAGGGAAGGCCACACTCAAAGTAGCCTGCAGACTAAAGCCAGTTAACCAGTCTCCTAATGCTCACCTAGTCTCATGTGGGCCCTGATCCCCACACTTGGTCACCTCTTCTTGGCGCCAAACTTATCTTTATATATACTCAGACTCAAGAGACTGACTAGTACCTAACATAGGGCATTGCACAGGTACCTGTTTGTAAGTGTTTCGTGCACTGAATTAACCATGTAAGTTTTCTTCCTTAGATGCAACACCTTTGTTTCCTTGTATCCCGAGCATTCACGTTCCCAAGATCCACGCAGAGTAGGAAACATGGCTCCCACATCAGTTCAGCACCTAGAAGTGTTTCCCCAGCAGACAACACTAACGGATCGCACTTGTGCATCCCATTCAGTCAAGACTTGAACACTGTCTTTTAATGACTATGGGATCCCTTCATCTCTCTAGGCCCCCAGGCAACTCTCAAAAACCTAAATTGCAGAACAGATGGAAGGAGGGTGGTTGGATCAGTGTAATCACAGGTCTGGTCCAAAACAAAAAACGGACATTTCTATAGCACTTCCAAGTTTGCAAAAAGTTTTACATACATTTTTCTTATTTGAGCCTCACAATAACCTTATGAAGTAGGACTGGATTTCCAAGAATCAGGAGAGAGGTGAGGACTTCATGTGTAGAATGTGGCACACATTTTTAGATATAATCAATGTGTGGACTTGTTTTGCTCAACCGGACTCATTTGTTAAAAGAGAGGGCTCTATTGGGCAGAGAGAGTCACTGGGAAGCAGACAATAATGTAAGAAATACAAAAGGGTGCCAACAAAACACTAAAAATATATATTTCAAGTTTCTTTGCATCTCCTTACCTACTGATATTTGATTACAAATAGTATGTGCATGTTTTGTTAATTAAGCAAAGATTTCTCAGCTGTGTGCTAAACTTGCAGTGGGCCCAAGGTTTTGGTATCACATGGTTTCCAGCTTGGTCTTGAAAACAAAATCTGATAGAAAATTTTTAAGGCAGACATATGAATGCATGGCTTACCCTAGCTTATAAGTCTAACCTACCCTCAAAGATGTGATATATTGCACTGTATTGCCTAGGACTGAGGAAAAGAGGTCTCATTATCTTCCAAGCCACGAACTGCTTAAAGACTGCCTGAGTTTTGATATTACACCTCGGTATTCTAACATCTTTGTTTATATTGTTTTATTCTGTTGATGGAAAGTTCAGAGACACTAAGTCATTGATTGTAAAGGTTTATTAAGGCTCAGGACAATGTCAAAGATTGACTTGGTGGAGCTTTTCCCACTGTGTATGCCTGGATTTGGGGGAAGTTTTAACTAGTTGGATTTTTCTGATAGAAAAAGTAGAGATAAATCAATTGTTGCTGCAAAAAAAAAAAAGGCAGCTAATTAACATGATATTACATTGATTAATAATTCCAAATTGAGAAACAGGAAAAATTTAGAAGGGCTCCACTGAAGTTGCAATACACAATTCTGAGTTTGAAATTACTTATGGGCAGGACTCAGAATGAGGGAAAAGAAAATATGATGGTTTCAGAGCTTCCTGAAAAGTGGGCCAGTGTCCTACCTCATGTCAGGTCCTAATCTGAGGGCTTCTTCTGCATTCTCTCCCTACTGTTAACTGGCAGCACAGTGTAGTTAAAAGCACACAGCCAAGGAGAGGACTGGGTGGCACAGCAGATTGAGCACTGAGCCGAGAGTCAGGAAGACCAGACCAGAGTTCATATCCTGCTTCAGACACTCACTTCTCTCAACCTTAGTTTTCTCCTCCATAAAATGAATCTTAGATGGTGGCCTGGAGTCAAAGAGTTGTTCAGTCATGTCTAACTCTTGTGACCCCTTTGGGGGTTTTCTTGGCAAAGATACTGGAGTGGTTTGCCATTTCCTTCTCCAGCTCATTTTACAGATGAGGAAACTGAGGCAAGCAGGGTAAAGTTGCCCAGGGTCACAGAGCTAGTTTCTGAGGCTATATTTGAACTTAACTATTGTTCAGTTGTTTCAGTCATGTCTTACTCTTCATGACCCCATTTGGGGTTTCCGTGGCAAAGATAATGGAGTGATTTGCCATGCTTTTTCCAGTTCATTTTGCAGATGAGGAAACTGCAGCAAACAGGGGTAAGTGACTTGCCTAGCATCATGCAGCTAATAAGTGTCTGAGGCCAGGTTTGAACTAAGGTCTTCTTGACTCCAGGCCTAGTGCTCTATCCAATGCAGCACCACCTAGCTACCCAAGGTGGAGCACTTAGAAATGGACTATTCCAGGATTCTGGAATGGTTGGGACTCCATAGCACATCCCCTTTCCAGTGCTCAGAGAAGGTCACAATTATTTATATGTCTTATCTGTTCTTTTAGTGTCACTTGCCTAAAGAGTCTTCCACAGACTTTTTCTGATTTTCATAGCTTCCAGGCTACTTATTGGAAAAGTCTAAAATATGACTATATTTTATGGTGGGTGGGGGGGAACTGTTTGCCTCTGTTTCCTTATCTGTAAAATGGGCATAATAATAGCACCTACCTCAAGGGTTGTTGTGAGGATCAAATGAGATGACATTTTTATAAAGTTCTTTGCCTACCTTAAGATGCTATACAAATGCCACCTATTGTTAATTTTGGAGAGATTTAACCTGTAAATCAAAATGTCTTTTCACAATGCTATCATTTATTTCATTTTATTGACGTCTACAAACCAATTCCTTTAATTACAAGAATCATATTATTTTAGAGATGGATAGGAAATTAGAATTCATCTATTTTATTCTCATTTTATTTTTATGCAGCTTTTAGCTTATTTGGCTTTTTTCCAGTTAATAAAAATTTATTTTCTTTCTTTTCCACTCCCTTCCACCAAAAAGACAAAATCAAACCCTTATAACAAATATGGATAGTCCAACAAAACAAACTTCCACATTGACCTTGTCTGAAAATGTGTTTCTCATTCTTCATCTTGAGTCTATCACCTTTCTGTCAGGAGGCAAGCAGCTGCTTCATCATCGATCATTTATTTTACATATGCATAAATGAAGTCTATAAAATTCTATTAACTTTAAGAAAAGCATAACCAATAGAGTCTGAGGCCAAGCTGGAGGGGCTTTTGGATCATTGGCTATGCCATGACCCCCTTCTACTCCACAGGATAATTAAGAGTTCACCATCTCCATAATTAGGTAAGCGTTAGAAACTAATTCCCCTGCACATACTTCTTCCCATTCACCCCACCCCCACCCCACCAGTACATTGTGCTGGATGCCTAGAACCCTGCCCTGGAGATGTTCCATTACTTTGTCCCCTTTTAAAGATCAAATGTCCTTTGGAGGAGACATGGGGAACCTTCTCAGTAAAGTTCTCAAGCTAGAATAAAAGAAACATTGGACTCACTGGGAGTAAGGAGTCTAGGTTCTTGTTCCAATTTTGCCAATGGCTGGTTGAATGACCTTAGACAGGTCCTTTCTACCCCTCTGTATAAAGACGGCTAGATAAGATGGGCTCTCTCTTCTCTTTCAGCTCTGATAGCCCATGTTGATGAAATATTTTAACTTTTTGGGTCAAGTATTGTTGTGCCTAAGGACAGGGCTAAACTAGAAGACATGGAGGCAGTGGTGTAGCAGACAAAGTGCTGGATGTGGAACCAGAAATCAGGGTTCAAACCCTGCTTCTGTTACTTACTAACTGTGGGACCCTGAGCAAGTCACTTAACCTCTTTGAGCCTAAGTTTCTTTCTCTGTAATAATAAGGGGGTTGAATTGGACAACTTCTGAAGTCCCTTCCAGTTCAGGATCTCTGACTGTGTTCCTATAACTTCTCACCACCCCTTTGACCCCTACAATTAAGTAGCAAATAGTGCTAATAGAGTGAACTTTTTTTTTAATTTCCTAGTAGAAATGAACCTCCTTATTTTTATTTCTGATGAACATGTTGGTTGCAGAGATGTCACTGTAAAGATTAGACCCAGATCTGTTATTTTTAGGTTTCCTTGCCCCAGATCTGTCAATTATGTTACAAGCCTTTGCATTCTCTGTCACTGAAAATGGGCTCCTTGAGAGCCTACAGTTTCAACCTTTTCCGGGCTCTCACCTATTTGAAGAATTGGGGACATGTTTTCAGGGCACTTTTTAAAACAGTGTCACAGAATCCCTTCTTTTTGGATACAGGTACAATCACAGTTGGAAACCATAAACGCTCGTGCCAAAGAAGCTCTCTCTCGCTCTAACTGTGCCACCACATGTTCTCACTGCCACACGTAGCCCAACCTAACTGAGCTAGAGAGAGAAAGGTCGAGACGGGATATGCAAGTGTATGGAATGTTTGACTCTAATGCAAGAGCAAGGGCAGAACATCTGGGGAACTGATCAGGTGGTTATTTAAATGGCTACAGTCCAGACATCTAATTTTCCATCATGGGTTGGGGGTGAGGAGTGCAGAGAATTTGTTTATGGGCTGCAGAGGAACTGGAATCTTCTGGCCAGATGGGCATATTTGGCTGCAGGTTCCCTGGGCCTGTTTGTGACACTCCTCCAGTGTCTCTGGTTTGCACGGAACACAAGTGACCAAGTGAACTTTCTCAAGTGTCTGAACACCAAGAAAATATCCTAACCAACACAGTACTTCTAGGTTGGATTGCGCTGTTAAGGAAGAATGGAAAGTTTTTATGATAAAGGAGGGCAGCTCTGTTATTTAATACCTGGGTGACCTTGAGCAGGTCACTTCCCTTCAATGGACCTTAGTTCCCTCATCTGAAAAATACTGGAGTTGCACAACTAGAAAATATCGAAGGTTGTGACAATGAAGTCCATTCACCTTAACCCTGTCATTAGTGCTCAAGGCCAGATAAAGCCCAACATAATCAAACTAGAGAGAGAAAGGTCAAGAGAGAATAAAGAAGGTTATAGAATAGTTGACCCTAACACAACAGGGAGGAAAGAATGACACTTCTGGGAGAGTCAGATATCAGGAGGGCATCCCCGAAAATACAAAACACAAAGGACTTATACCCATAACCATAAACAGTCAAGGCAACTTACTTTCTTTCTTGGGGGTATTCCAAGGAGGTCAAAGATACAAAGAAAGGTCCCACATACATGAAAACATTCATAGCAGTACTTTTTTTGTGATGGGGCAAGGTACTGGACCAGAGGTGGGGAACCTATGGCCTTGAGGCCACATGTGGTCCTCTAGGTCCTCAAGTGCAGCTTTTTGACTGAATCTAAACTTCACTGAACAGATCCCCTTAATAAAAGGATTTGTTCTGTAAAACTTGGACCCAGAACTAGACGCAAAGTAGATGTCTTTCCATCAGGGAATGGCTAAGCAAATGTGGTACGTGAATTTAATGAAATATTATTGTGCTGTAAGAAATAACAAATATGAGGCATTTAGAGAAGCATGGGGAGGACTGACCAACAAGAAGCAAGGTAGAACTGAGAGAAAAGCACCTATAACAACTACCATGATGGAAATGGAAATGATACTCAAAGGCATCTCTGAGCCCAGATTAATTGCAATGATCAATATCTATCCTGGAGAACAGATGTGGAAGCATACACTCCTCCTCTCAGTAGAGAAGTGGGGGACAAGTTTGGAATACTACACGTGCTATCTCTGTTTTTCTGAACTGTCTGGATGATACATTTGGCTTTGTGGTTTTATTAGAAGGACTCCATGAAGGGAGGTGGGAAGGAGATATTAGGAGGTGACTGGTACAAAACAGCTGAAGTTATCAAGTAAAAGACAAATAAATGATAAAAAAAAAAAATATATCGCAGTTGCACTTGCAACCCACAGTTTAAGAAGCGCTGAAGGGGTCACAAGTGGAAAAAGTTTAAGAAGCCCTAGACTAGATGATCTCACAGGTCCTTCAAGTTCTAAATTCCATAGTCCCATGATGCTATCACTATGGTCTGAGTAAGATGGGGAATGGAGTTCATTAGAGAAAGAAGGTCATTTGTCTTACTCTTTTATGGACTTGAGTGCAAACTCTTGTTATTTTGTGTTCTCTGTGTCTGATACATCTAGGATCCTATGAGCCTGTGAAATATCTCTACATGGAACACTACTGTGAGGGATGTAAACATTTCCTCCCCCTTTCTATGTGCTGGTCTCTTTAATAAAGGCAGATACAGGAATAAATCAGCTGGAAGTAGAGGTGTGGGGGTGCATTTTTACTGTCCATATAAATTCTGCAGGGAGTGTAAACAAAAACAAAATTAATATATGATTATAGAATCAAATCTGATCAGGTTTCAGTCATGCGATTATTTTGAATGAACACCAACTCCAACATCCCGAAGTCTGTCCTTGCCCCAAATGTTTTAAGCACAGAATGTACATGTATCAGTCAGCCTGCTGAGCCCCCCAATGAAAGGATGTGTGAAACCATGGACGAGCTCTGTTTTAATGCTAACTACCTGAACATTTAAGAAGTCTCTACCGAGCCATTTGGGTGCGGACTATGTCTCATACATACCCACGCATGCTGGGGTTTCTCCCCACTGCAAAATCGATTCCTTAGTGAAATGTCCATATATGTCAACATAGACGCCTTCATCTTCATAGGTGAGCAGAAGTTCTGTGCCACTGGTATTGGGCAGGATGATGATAGTATGTGGCTGAATGCTCCCCTGGATCTGGAATGATATTTTATAAGGATTTAGATGACCAGCCTGACTACCATCCCAGTGCCTACATCAATCAAAGGAACTTGGCAGTGCAATGAACACAAAGCAGGTTTACAGCTCAGGAAAGGGAAAAGAAACATCTATTTCACAACAAGACTGTATGCTTTTCTCTCCAACCCTCAGAAAGAGTCTCTTTCCTGTTATTATGCTAGAGTTCATAAAATAGTCCTTGTTCAATCTTTCACTTTATTTTGATAAGAAATCCCAGCTCAGAAGAAGTTGAGATGGATGTCAGACACAGAAGAATCGCCTGAATTCTTCTCAAGGAAATGGTGTTGACAAACCATCAAAGAAGAGATGTCATTCGATTCAAAAAGGATTTTCCCCAAACAAGGGCCAGCCAAGTGGCTCATCGTAAGAAGACTTTAGGATAACGGACACCAAGCCTGAGTACACACTCCACACTCATTCATTCTTTATTAATCAGTTAGAACCTAAGAATTTCTAATCAAACTAGAAATAAGAATCATTAGACATTTTTTTAAAGTGCTCTAAGCTTCAAATATTTCATTTTGCTAAATGTGAACATATTTAGCAGATGTTTTGTTTCCTACATGATATTTGACCAAAGAAACCATCCCTATCATATACTCAGTAGACTATAACAACTGCATAAGGTCAGGAATTAAATGTGAGAGATTTACTATACAGAAAAAAATAATAAACATGCAGATCATTTACCAAGAGAGCTGTTTGAGGCATGAGAGAATATCCCAGCATTTCTAATTCTCCTACTGAACACAACAGTAGTATGTGACAAAAATGAATTCCAACACTAGACATTTTCCCAGTCAAGTATTTTCCCCCAAAGTAAACATCATCCAGCTTTTTGGTACCATCTCCAAACTAGCAACATGGGGGAGGACTTCTCTTAACCCAGCCCCATCCCTCCACCCCCACATCTACAATCCCATGTACTAACCACCACAGGGAGGGCAGAAGCTGTCCTTGCCAAACTGAGAGTGCTCAGGCCAAGCGCTTGAGTCCATGTCTCGGCTGCTACTATCCGCAAAACTAAAACTGGGATCCAGAGGCGGAGAGTGATTTTAATGTGTTGCCTTGGTACTCCCATGAGCTATTGGTGCAGAGGAGAGGTGAAAGGCAGGAGAGGAAGAGAGTTCAGGTGCTAGTGCAAGATCAAGAGAGAGCCAGCAGGTCTCGATGCAGGCATTTTCTAAGCAAACTGAACTATAGACACCAAGAGCTAATTCTTGTCTCTTCAACAATCCCTAAAGTAAGCAAAGCCTCTGAACAGGTTGGGGTCCCCTTGGAGAAGCACAGCATTTCTGATCTAGCAGCTTGAAGCTAACGTTTATTTTTAGATTGTTCTGTTTTAAAAAGGAAGAACCCACAGGAATGACATCCACGCTCTCCTGAGAGGCCAACGATATTGGGGCATTCAGATTAAAAATTTATTTTGGTACATACATGAGCTATCCTAATTAGGCTGGGTATCTGCTGTCAAAAGGAGTGGTTTAAAAGGCTTAAGGCTTAATTTTCTCCTCCCTCACTCCCCTATCTTATATAGTAATTCGAAAATGTTCCTTTCTGGTAGGATAGAAAAGAGCAAAAGAGCCAGAGATGTGGAGTCATAGACTGTTAGAGATTAGAATCACAGGATTTCAGAGCTGGAATGGACATTAGAGCCATCTAGTCCAAGTCACTCATGCCTGACCCAGAATCCCCTCTACAGTATCATGGACAAGTCATTAGCCAGTCTTGCTTAAAGACCTCTCGTGATGGGGAGCCCACTATCTCCAGAGGGAGCCCATTCTGCTTGTGAACAGCTTGGACACCTCTCCACACCCTCAACCCATTGCTCTGCCCCAGTTCTGCTCTCTGAGGCTAAACAGAACAAGTCTAATCCCTCTTATATATGAAAGACCTTCAAAACCGTGGAGGTGACTAGCATGTGCTGCTTCCTGAGTCTTATTTTCTCACCCTCAGTTTTTTCATTCTGTCCTCCTGGGGCATGATCTCAAGGTCTTTTGTTGTATTGATCATGCTCTTCAGGATATTCTCCAGCTTTATCAATGATCTGCCTGAGATGTGGCCCTCAGGAGTGAAGATCATTCTCCAGATGGGGTCTGATGGGAAGAATGCAGCAGAACTGTCATCTCTATCACCTGGACCAGGAGGCCAGGACTCTCAATGCAAGCTAAGACTTTATTTCCTTTTTGCTAATTAGTTATGTCAAGTCAAGAACCCTATGTTCAAATCATGGCTCTGATACGTAGTGACCTCGAGCAAGGCATTTCATCTCTTTGAGCCACAGTTTTCTCATCTATAAAATGGGGATGATGATAATAATAATAACTTACATTTATAGAGTACTTTAAGGTTTGCCAAACACATGAAATATACTAGTTCATGTGAAGCTTACAACAAATCTGAGAACTAGGTTCTGCAGGTGTCATTATTGCCATTTTACAGGTAAAAAAACTGAGGCTCAGAGAACCCTGTGGCCAAACAGTTAATAAGTGTCAGAGGTGGGATTTGAATCCAGATCTTCTTGAATCCAAGTCCAGCATTTATTCACTATGGGTTGTTTTGAGGAAAGTACTTCGTAAACCATAAAGCACCAGAGAAATGGATGTTGTTCTTCTCTCTCTCTCTCTCTCTCTCTCTCTCTCTCTCTCTCTCTCTCTCTCTCTCTCTCTCTCTCTCTCTCTCTCTCTGGCTAGGCAATGGGGTTAACTGACTTGCCCAGGGTCACACAGCTAGTGAGTGTTATGTGTCTGAGGCTGGATTTGAACTCAGGTCCTCCTGACTCCAGGGCCAGTGCTCATTGTTATTTTCTTTCTCCTCCTCATTACTGTCATCATCCACCTCCTGCTCTTCCTCCTCCTTTTCCTCCTCCTCATCATTACCTCTTCAAGCATTCAGAAGGCTTGGAATCCCACTAGCCATTTGCTAGGAATTTTATCACGTTAATGATGATTCCTAGATCCTTCCTGGTGGGAGTTTTTTGAATATCAATACCAACAAAACATTCAATAAAAGCAAAGCCTAACTGAGAAGAAAAAGGGTAGCATGTTTGCATTGAGGACAAGGAACAACCTGGCTCCCTTAGCCTTTCCATATTACAGAAGATAGTGTGCTGCAGTGAAATGACTATTGGCTCTGAAGTCAGAGGGCCTGGTTTCAAATCTCACCTTTATGCTTCCTGCCTGTGGGAAATGGAGCAAGGCACATCAAAGGCAGAGAAAGAGGACTGTTGTTTCCTGATTTTTTTGAAACTATGTCTCTTTAACATGGCCTAAGATCACCTGGCTGCCAAACTGCTGCCTAATGGTGCCTCCTCCATCTCGTACTTGTAAATATGATTTTTTGATCTACATAAGTCTTTGCAATTATCCCTTGTAAATTTCATCTTATTAGATTTGGCTCAATGTTGTAGCCTGTCAACAGTTTGTTTTTGGATTGTGACTTTGTCTTCTAGTGTTTAGCTCTTTCTCCCAGCTTTGTGGCTTAAGCCAATTTGATAAGCGTACCATCTGTGCCTTTATGTATGTCATGGGTAGAAATGTCAAATAGAACAGGACCAAGCATAGATCCCTGGGACACTCCACTGGGAACCTTCTGCCAATTTGATATCAAACCATTGGACCTCACCATCCAACTTTTGTCCAAGCTGACCTTGACCATTCAACTAGATCCAAATCCCCCTAATTGTCCATACCATATCTCACCATCTTTTCCACAAGAATAACAACAAGAGGGATTTTATTGAACATGTGCTTTAGGTAAACTCTATCTACAGCATTCCTCCATTCTCCCAAGTGAACAACTCTGCCACATCTGAGTTTTTTGGTGAGTTCTCCATGCATCCACATTGATCTCTTCAGACAATTATCCTTTTCTCTCTTCATTGGAATCATTTCCCTTTCTGTCTTAAGAATTTAATTTTTGAAAACTTCTCATCTCTTCTTGGCTGACTTCCAAAGATTTTGGCATATAGGATCCTACCTCTCCTTCCTCTGAACCCTTTGAAATCTTCTCTCCTCAAATGTAGGATGCATCTCAGATCAGGCTCAATATTCTTTTCTTCCAACACAAAATCTAGGAGGGAGTAGTCATTTCTCCAAAAGTTTCCATTATTTCTACCTAAGCATCCTTGGTGGCAGAAATCAGATTGAGAATACAATTTTCCCTAGCTGGTTTCTCTACATCTGAAGACATCTTATCAGAGAACAGTCACTTTGTATTTTAAGGAATGAGCTAATGAATTGGAGCTCAGAAGGATTAAGGAGCTGCCATTCTTTATCCATGGCCAATGTCTGATATACTTGGGCACTCCCTTAACAATGCTGGTAGTTAGCATAAGAAAAGCTTGACAGACATTTTCAAAAGCTTTAGAAGAACTAGCTAGGAAAGAAAGCAATTATCATTAAACAATCATTTATGGGAATTAGAAGGGATTATCTTACATGAGTCGGTAGGTATAGGTCATAAACCATCCCAGAATCAACATCGATGGCATGGAATCCTGCAACTGAGCCATAGATCACTTTCAGTCTCTGTCCGTTTTCCACTGTGAGGTCAACTGCCAGAGGCTTCTGATAAAGGGAGTGGAATGACTGTAATCATAAAACAATATGGTGAGAAAGGATGAAATAAAATCTTCAACTCAAGCAAAAGATCATTTGGCATGGAAGTCTAGGTATTAGCCAATGTAAGATTAATAAGGAAGGAGAAAGCCCAGGTCGGTCAAGTTGTCCTAGGCAGGTTCCAGAACACATTCAAGACAAGCTACAAGATGTTCTTGTTAAACCTTAAGCCCTGATCAAGTCCTAAGAATCATATACTTGAGAGGTAAGAGCCAAGATGGCAGAGAAAAGCCAGGAAGTTGCCTGAGCTCTCCTCAGTTTCTCTCAGAAACAATGTTAAATCAAGCATTTAAATGGATTCTGGAGCAAGAGAATCCACAAAAAGACAGAGTGAAACAATTTTCCAGCTTAAGATGGGACAGTGCCCCATGCCTCAGGAGCAGAGTTCAACTTTTAAAAAGGAATAAAAAACAAAAGAGAGCCTTGACCACAGAAAGCTACTATGACAACAGAGAAGATCAAAACACAAACTCAGAAGAGAACAATGTCAAAATGCCTACACGTGAAGCTTCAAAGGGGAATATGAATTGGTCTCAAGCCCAAAAAGGATTCTGAAAATCAAGTAAGAGAAGCAGAAGAAAAATTGGGAAAAGAAATGAGAGTTATGCTGGAGAATTATGAAAAAAGAGTCAACAGCTTAGAAAAGGAAGCACAAAACAACTCCTTAAAAAATAGAATTGGCCAAATGGGGGAAAAAATCCACTGAAGAAAACAACTCCTTTAAGAGTAGAATTGGCCAAATGGAAAAAAAGTTACAAAAGCTCAATGAGGAAAATAATTCCTTAAAAATAAGAATTGGGCAAGTAGAAGCTAATGATTCTATGAGACATCAAAAATCAGTCAAACAAAATCAAAAGAATGAAAAAATTGAAGAAAATGTAAAATATCTCATTGGAAAAACAACTGACCTGGAAAATAGATCTAGGAGAGATAATTTAAGAATTATTGGACTACCTGAAAGCCATGATCAAAATATGAACCTGGACAGCATCTTTCAAGAAATTATCAAGAAAAACTGCCTTGGTATCCTAGAACCAGAGGGTAAAATAGTCATTGAAAGAATCCACCAATCACCTCCTGAAAGAGATTACAAAATGAAAACTCTAAGGAATATTGTAGCCAAATTCCAGAATTATCAGGTCAAGGAGAAAATATTGCAAGCAGGCAGAAAGAAGCAATTAAAATATCAAGAAGCCACAGTCAGGATTACACAGGACTTACTAGCTTCTACATTATAGTACTGGAGGCCTTGGAATATGATATTCTGGAAGGCAAAGGAGCTTGGATTACAACCGAGAATCAACTACCCAGTGAAAATGAGCATAATATTTTAGGGGAGAAGATGGACACCCAATTAAATAGGAGACTATTCAATCATTCCTGAACAAAAAATTCAATCTTCAAATACAAGACTTAAGAGAAGCATAAAAAGGTAAACAGGAAAGAAAAAACCATGTTATTCAAAAAGATTAAACTGTTTACATCCCTACACAGGATCTCTATTAGGGCAGTTAGAAGAAGTATACATAATCAGAGAGTGTGGGTATAAGTTGACTTTGATGTGATGATATAAAAAAATTAAGGGGGTTAAAAAAAGAAGTGTACTGGGAGAAGAGTAAAAGGGGAAGAAGAATAGGGTAAATTACATCACATGAAGAGGCGCAAAAGACCTATTACAGTAGTGGGAAAGATAGGAGGGGGTGAGCATTGTTTGAACCTTACTCTTATTGGATTTGGCTCAAAGAGTGAATAACATACACACACAGTTGGGTATAGAAATTTATCTTACCCTATAGGGAAGTAGGAGAGGAAAGAGGAAAGAAAAGGGAAGGGAGGGGGAGCTGACAGAAGTTGGGCAGATTGAGGGAGACGGTGGTAAGAAGCAAAACATTGGTGACGAGGGTCAGAGTGAAAGGAGAGAGAAAAGTATAAACGGGAAAATAGGATAGAGGGAAATACACAGTTAATACTCATAACTGTGAATGTGAATGGGATGAACTCTCCCATAAAAAGGAAACTGTTGTTTGCCTCCATGTTGACTGAATCATCATCGATTTTCGATTTTTACCTTTGGCATCTCTTTTTACTTTCTAGCCTCAAATCTGTGCTTTCCCATTCTCACTTAAAACAAGTGGATAGAAAGCTAATCTTGAAGCAAGAAACATCTGGGTTCAAGCCCTGCCTCTGACATATACTGATTATGTATGTCGAAGTTATTTAACCTCTCAATGTGCTCTGTGCAACTCTCTAAGACTATAAAGTTGCAGAGAAATTGCCAACTTCAATTAATAAATGGAGTTTCTTCATGTGAGAGTTCCCTATACTAATGAAATTACAAGTCCAGTTCTATCCCTTTAAATACCATGGTGCTAACCTATGGAGTATTATAAATGTCCCACTGACTATTCCGGAATAGATGGATGGAGTTGTTCTACAATGGTCACATTTATTCAAACTGGAAGAATCTTACATCTTGTTGTTCTTGCTGTCCAAGTGGAACTGTTGATTACACATCCTAAAAGGGATGAAGGACAAGATCATGGTTCACTCACCTTAAAGGCCATAAACTTGTGGTACGGTTTCGGTGCCCACGCATAGACCTCAACTGAATTCCTCAAAGCAACAACGAGAAATTTGATCCTCTCATATTTAACTACAACAGACAAAAAGATTATAATGACAAAGAGTTAAAAATCAAGGACCAGCTGTTTGTGAGTGAAGCTGCTTGGGTAGAGTCCAGTCTGCAGGAAAGGATGCTAGCAAAGGATCTATGGCATGCAAATCAGCAGCATTTCCTTCAAGCCTTGCATGGAAATGTTGTCTATTTCTGGTTCTCAATCCAATTAAACAAAAAAGGAAATAAGAGCCTATTGTGTAAGACACTATGCTCAGCACGTGTGTTAGTATGACAACAAAAAGTCCTTATCCTCAGGGAGTTTATATTCTACTGGGAGATGAAAATGTAAAGGGATAAGTAAATAAATATGAGACCTTTTGAGGATAGGATACTAAGAAACAGGCAGATTAGGAAAAACTTTACTTAGAAGGTAACATCTGAGGTGGATCTTGAAGGAAACTAGGAATTCTAAGAGGCAGAGAGGAGGAACAAGTATATTCTAGGCATGGGGCAAACCCTCTTCAAAGGCATGGAGGTAAAATGGATAAATACATTTTGGAGACACCTATATAGAGATGATAATTGAACCCATGGTTAGCTAATGAGATCAAGATCACCAACACCATAGTGTTGAAAGGAAAATTGTTTGGCCTTTTACCCTGATTAACAAAGCAAAACTCAGGACAAAGAGAATTAAAAGTTCATTATAAGTATGTCAGGGTAGTACTGCTGGGTTGGCAGACTGATGGCTTCAAGGCAGGGCCAGCTTTTATTGGTAACTTCCATAATGAGATAAAGACAATTCAGATAGGTCAATGTCAAAAAAAGAGGTTGGGCCCTTGAATCTTAGTTCTTCTCCTAGGTAGCGAAATAGGAGACAATTTCCCAGTAGGGGTAAGTGACAAAAAGTAGGTAATGCCAAAAGCTGCAGATTCCAGTTGCCTCCCCCAACACTAACAAGCAAGGCTGGGAACAATGGCTCACTGAGTCAGCATAGCTTTCAATCATCATATAGCATGAAAAGAGAAGAAAGTCCAGGGTACAGTAAACCCAAACAAAGAAGCAGGATGATGATTTAGCAAAGTAGATTGAGAAGGGCTGGTCATAGAGGTAGGGGATCATAGGCTTGGGGCTGGAGTGGACCTTAGAGGAGATTTAGCTTAACTCCCTCATTGTACAGGTGATGAAACTCAGACCCATTTGGGCCAACAAGCGACTTGACCAGGGTCACACAGCTAATAAGTGTCTAAGGTGGGATTTGAACTCAGGTCTTCCTAACTCCAAAGTCCAGAACTTTATCCATTAAAACACCCTGACATGTGAGTAAAATCCATGTGGTACCTTACAAAAAGTTCTAGGCATTAGGAAGGAGAAAGAAGCCTGAATAATCCACAGAGTGTATCATCAACCTCTTAATAATCGAGATCTGAAAGCCGGATTAGGATAAACGGGAAATACATGAGTAGGGAAAGGGAGACTGTCCAAGACTGTGCAGGCAGTTTTCTCAGATGAGGCCTATGGAAGCCAGACAACTGGCCTGCCAGTCACCTGGTGGTGCAGCCAGTTGCAAGATGCTTGGGGTAGGGGTGAGGGTAGGGATGGAAGGAGAAAGAGAAGCAGACAGAGGAAAATGATCAAGCTTTCATTTAAGAGTATGGAATCTGATCCTATTATTGACTGATAGGGATTTCTGTTGAAGTATTTCAGTCCTGTCTCTGAAATGAATAGCAACAGCGCAATCTTTTTGAAGTTCAAACATGTCCTCGTGCCAGCCTGCTTGCCAAGAAATCACTTGACGTCAATTTGACAGCGGAGTTTTAGCACTTGGTTTGCAATGCATCAGGCACTGGAGAGCTCGGCTCTGGAACAGGTTGGAGGAGAACCAAGATTGAGGGTAGCCTGTTTCTCCTGTCATGCAGGCCTGCCTTGTGTAGTTCCCCAATCCAAAGAAGGGAGTTCCATATCAATTGGGAAATGCTGAGGGGAGAACAATGAGAGCTGGACTCATATCAAAGCATATCTGTCACCACAAGCTCTTAGATGCCTTTGTTCCGATCGATCGGAATCTCTCTGGTATCATCTGGGAAACCCAGCTGTAAAAAAGCAGCCACATGAACAAGTAGGAAGAGACAGGGCTCTGAGGACAAGCTCAGTACTGTGGATGTCAGGACTTTGAGCACAATGCCAACCAGAACTGTCAGCCCAAATTAGTAGCCATACTGAAAGCAAGTCAAACCAGACAAGACTGCGACTGACAAGTAAGGAAGCCATGTGCGTGTTCTGTCTGCGCAAGAAAGTTGTCAAGCCTAGGCCTCAGCTGAAATATGTTGATTGTGCATGTCATCCACTCAGGTGAACCATTCTTTAATAAAAATGTTCTGGGAAAGCCTCTCTTTACAGTGAAAGAGGACAAAGTTGGAATACAGGGGCTCATCCAAATATCAGCTCAGCCTCTCCACTTCAAATACTCCATCTTTTTTGGTGCGGTCAAAGAATTTTTCCCTGCCCTATTTGTAATCGGGATTGTTTTTTTTTTTTCTTTTTGGAGGGAGAAAAGAGAGTTGAGAGATTTTAATGAAAAAAGCACAAGAATTTCTTTAAAATAAGTGAGGAAGAAGAAAAAACATTCCTAGCAAAGGGAAAAGTGGCTAAGGAACGACTGAGCTTCTGCCAAGCTATGGAAGATGGCCTAGTTTGGGGGCCTGAGGAATCTGTGGACATCAGCTATTTCTGGCCCCTCAGACATCTCAGAAAGGGCTTCTCCTTGCCCATTATTAATTGTAAAATCAATCTTCTACAGTTCCCCAGCAATTCAGGGGCAACTTGGGTGGTATTTATATCTGTGGGGAGCCACAAGGAAAGAAGTGCGTTTACTGTGGCCCTGGGAGGTTTAGGTCTTTGCTTTTGCCTTAATCAAAAACAAGTTGCACCTAGGAGTGTCTGCCTCCCTGTCTTCTCTCTCTCCCCGACCCCCTCTAGGGATGAATTTGTTGGTGGTCATCCATCCGCATATAAGGTATTATGGAGAGAATACTGGACCTGGAGTCAGGAGGCCTGGGGACCCTGGCTGTTACATTTATTTGTTTTTTGATCCTGGCCAAGTCCCATTTACTTCTCTGGGCTTCAGTTTCCTCACCTGTAATGTGGGGTAATAATGCCTATATGACCTACCTCACAGGGTTATGAGGAAAGTACTTTATAAACCTTATAGAAACCTATATAAATGTGAGCCACTCTTCTCATCCTCTTGCTCAGATGTGCAGGATGGTTGGTGTCATTACAACTTACCTCCAGGAGCGTAGGAGAGAGCTCTGATGGAGTTGTCAAAGATGTAGCTATTGACTTTGTGATATGCCATCATTGATATGCCAGCCCTTCTTGTATACTATACCTTGAGATCTCTAGTAACTCTCAGCAAAGGACAAGGCTAATTTCAGGGATACACGTAATTACAGGGAACACAAACAGTGGCTACCCAGGAAAGCCACCCAGGTGATCGGGCTGCCCACGGCTGTGCTGTTTTGGCCCTGCTATCCAGAGGTCTCATCTGGCTTTCTTGACAACTCAGCTTTGTGGTATGAGGGCCAGTTTAGAAACACATGCCTTAAAGCCTAGGCTCTGAAGGGGGCCAGTGGTGCCCTCATCAGGTTACTGGCAACAACTGCTGCCTTCCTGCTCCAAGGATCAAACACCCTCCCTCACTGATCGAATTCACAGATGGCTCTGTACCCATAAATGTAAAGTAGCTCTGTATGACTGTGTAAATACTTTGTATTTAATTACTTGTGCATAGTATGGATTCTCCCTGCCCCCCACCCCATGTAAGCTCCTCAAGAGTAGAAGCTATTTCACCTCTGTCTTTGTATTCCCAATGCCTAGAACAGGGCCTTGTACATAAAAGGTACTCAATAAACATTTTAAAATTGAATTGAAATTACAGAACCTATAAATATACAGGAGGCAGCTCTGCTACTGTAATTTCTGGGTTGGTGTCTTTACCCTCTGGTTTCATAATCCTTGAAAGGCCTGTTTGGGTAGCAGTTACACTCATAAGGAGAAGAGAGTTGATGTTTGCCTAAATTATCTGGTTCATTGCTTCATTTCTCCCCTGCAGACTGTCTGTGTGGACACAGCTCAATGTAAATGCAGATAGATGGGTCAGTGGAGATGGGATCAGTGCCCTTAGCACTGATACTGCCTCAAATGGACAGCTTGGGCCAGCCTGCATCTGTTCTGCTCACTGGATAGAGGGAGAGCTATTGAGACATAGCCAGCTAGCCATTTTGAACCACCAAGAGAACCTGAGAAAATAACTATCCATTTAGGTACATCAGTGGCCCCTTTCTACATTGCTTGCCTCTTAACCTCCATAGGTGCATGGCATTTTTGTACAGTAGAGACTGAGTACCCTGCCTCCCATCCCCACCCCCAGGCAGGGAAACCAGAAGTTGCTGTAAACTGGGTCTGAATTTATGGAGTAGGATAGAAGCAGTGGGTACAGAGAAAAAGGGTGAAACTCCAAGAGACATTTACAAGGAAGAAATGAAAAGAGTTGGTGACTGGTTAGATATGGGGGGGTGAAGGAAAGGGAAGCATCAAAGATGACTCCAAGGTTTTAAGCCTGGAGGCAAAATAGTACAGTGGAAAGAATTCTGGGAAATATTGCTGATTTGTAAAAATATATATATATTTTTTTTTGGTGAGGCAATAGGGTGAAGTGACTTGCCCAAGGTCACATAGCTAGTAAGTGTCAAGTATCTGAGGCCAGATTTGAACTCAGGTCTTCCTGAATCCAGGGCCTGTGCTCTATCCACTGCACCACCTAGCTGCCCCTGATTTGTAAAATTAATATAAAGATATAAGAACAAGAGCCATTCCCCCATGGATCAATGGTCAATAGGCAGTTTTCAAAACAAGAAATGCAAGCTATCAACAACCATTTGAAAAATGCTTCAATTCACTAATAGTAAGAGAAATGTAAATCAAAACAACTGGATCAAATTGGGAAAGGTACTCCCTGCTCTGTCATTCTATATTCTTTCTATGCTTTAAGGGAGAGGTGTCAAAACATGTTCCAACTACAACTCTGAGTGTCACTGGAAGCAGATTCAAATGTGATTGGAAAATATTTAACAAAATAAATAAAAATACAATAAAGCATAGATGCTATTACATTTTAAAACTAAATCAATATGTGGCCCACAGGGATCCTCACGTACAATTTAGTGGCCCCTATTTCTATTTGATTTTGATACCACAGCTCTAAGGAAGGAGCTCTTCACCTGGGACCCCCAGACTGAATGCTTTCAGGGAGTCTACAAACTTAGATGGGAAAAATGACATCTTCATTTTAATAGAATTGGCTTCCTCTGTAACCTTATGTATTTTATTCTATGCATTTGAAAACATGATTCTAGGAAGGGGTCTGAAGCCCTCACTTGTCTGCCAAAAGGGTTGACAACAGAAGAAAGTAAAGAACCTCTGCTCTTGGGTTCTTCCCAGCTTTGAAATTCCATGTTCTAAACCCCCATTTCAGCTCTAACCTACTAGGTGCTGCTCTGGACTGGGCATCAAGCATCGTGGAAACAGTGATAGACTTGCAGCCAGCATACTGGGTTCGAATTGATAGTTGCCCTTCTAGCCAAACTAGACTATCAGCCATTTATCCCACCTAATGTTCCATCTCGAGCCTCTAGTGTTCTATTAGGCTGTTCCCCATGCCTGAAATGTACTTTCTGCTCACTTCCATCTCTCAGAATATTTAAAACAAATGTCACTTTCTTCAAGAAGCCCTTCCTAATCTACAAGGTATATGCATGTTTTCTTCCTTCAAAGCCCAGGGCAAGTACCACCACCCTTGTGAAGCCTTCCTTGATTCCCTCAAGTTATAGAGACTCTCTCCTTCCTCACTTAAATTACCTTGAATTAAATTACCTTAAATTTCCTTATTTGTATACATATTGTCTCTCCCCAATAACATGTAAGCTCCTTGAGCACAGGGCTATCTCAATTTTTGTGTTTGTCCCTTGTGTCTTGCACACTATGTTGAATGTAGCAGATGCTTAAGAAACATTTGAGTTGAGTTGAATCCCTAACTCAGATACTTACAAGCTGTGTGACCCTGAGTAAGTATCTATGTTCCCTCATCTGTAAAATGGGCTGGCGATATTTTGCTAAATAGGCAAAATATTAACCTCCCCTTTCTTTATCTAATACAGGAGATGGTTCCTTTCTTCCCTTGTTAAATGAACATTTATTAACCAATTATCATGTTCAAGAAATAGGGACAGAGACTAGAGGCCAAGACTATTGAGAAACACTTGGTAAACCTAGAAGCACGATTCACATACAAACTTTTTCTTTTTTGCTGATACAAAGAAGCAGAGAATAGTGAGCTAACATTTATGTAGCTTCTGCCTTCGTATGCAAAGGAACCTCAGTGGAGCTTTCCAACAACTCTAGGAGGGAAGACTAGCAATATTATTTCCACTTTCCAACTGAGGCTCAAGAGGTTACATGACTTCCTCCAGGTCACACAGTAAGTGGTAGAACTCGGTCTCCCTGAGAGTATTTCCAAGAGTTTTGGCTGGCTAGGGCTTTGGCTCTAAGAGAAGGCCCGCCAGATTGGATTAGCTAAACTACTAAAGGATTTGAAGGGAGGTAGGAAGGGCAGGAGGAGGGGGAACCCAAAGTGAACTGGAGTTACTTATCATGTGAGTTGACCAGAATGGAATTGATGGAGTTAGGGGCATGACATAAAATCCCTGAAGGATTTGGAGTCTCACCTACCCTCATATTTCAAGCTGTATTTCTTCCTTTCCTCACTGACCATTTCCCTGATGAATAGTAATACCAAAGGAAGTGGAAGTCAAGAAGAGAGTCCAAGTGAGGTGAACCTTACCGACTTTGTAGTGCACACAGCCTTCCAAGTCTCCCACAGAGATCCAACCTTGCTTCTTTCCCATCTCAGGGTCATTACGCAAAATCTTGTTTCTCAGCCAGGACAAATAGTACACTCGCAACTTATTCTTCTTTCCTGATGAACACGGAAATACACAAAAGTGAAACAGTGTGTCTTCATCTCCTTTTTCCTCCATTCACTGTATTTAGTACAACTGTTTTCTACTGACTCCAGGCCCTAGGCTTGGGATACTCTTCTTACTCCTCCCCTTTCAATTTTAGAATTCCCAGATACTTTTTTTTGGGGGGGGAAGGTTAAGGCAATTGGGGTTGAATGACTTGCCAGAGTCACACAGCTAGTAAGTGTTACATGTCTGAGGCCAGATTTGAACTCCAGGGCCAGTGCTCTATCCACTACGCCACCTAGCTGCCCCCAGATACTCTTTAAAACAAATCAAATTCTACTTTCTTTAAGAAGTCTTCCCTAAGCCTTCACTCTGAAATGGATCCTGGTTCTTTGTTCCCAATCTCTCTAATGCATTTATTATAGAACAACATAATAATGGGATTTCTCTGTGTCTTATCTCCCCGTTAGACTCTAAGGCCCATGAAGGTAAGGACCAACCATATCTTATCCAATAGAATGTAAACTCCTAGAGGGAAGAGATTGTTCCCTTTTTTCCCCCTGCCTTGCACACAGAGCAGCCTGCTGTGACAGAGAGCCAGCCTAAAAGTGGGAAAGACCTAGGTTCAAGACCGGCTTCTGACATATACCCTAGGAAAGTCATTTCATTACTTTGTGCTTCAGGCTACTCTCCAACACTTGAGGTTTCAAAGCAAGTGTCCCCCTATATTGGTAGAGATAATGACCTCTACTAATGAAATCCTAGGCCCAGTCCCTGGCCCTATTTCTCTGGAGGAGGTATGCACGATGGATTGGAGAGGTGAGAGAAAGTAGAGGCAGGTAGAGTAGTTAAAAAGTTATTACAATCACTTAACCTCTCAGTGCCCCCAAATAATCCTCAATAAAGTACCATAAAGTACAGAGGAATGGAAGGTGTTTCCACTTTAGAGTTTCCAACACTGTTGAAATTAGAGGTCTGGCCTAAGGCAAGTCACTTAATCTTTCAATGCTCTACATAACTCTCTATGATTATAAATTATAGAGAAGGTGCCAACCTGCATTAGTAAAGTTAGTTTCCTCACCTGGAAGTTCCCTATACCAATGAAACCACAGCTGTAGTCTCTATTATTCCTTGAACATGATAATTGGTTAATAAATGTTCATTTAATGAGGGAAGGAAGGAACCATCTCCTGTATTAGATAAAGAAAGGGGTGAAGGTTAATATTTTGCCCATTCAGCAAAATATCCCCAGCACCTAGTTGTTATTGTCCATCCTTCATTCTTGAAGAGGACCAATGACTTTGAGAGGGTGATATCTTGACCTGAGTGCGAACTGGATTTAAGTGAGGCAGAGCTGGGTAAAGCCACCAATCTCACTCTCTTCTCCAGAGTCTTGGGACACAGGGCTTAGCACAGAGCAGGTACTTAGGTGCTAATTGATTGATTCAATGATCTGGAATCAAATGAGTATTTAAGACCCATGGAATTCAAAGGAGAGAACTTCAGGACTTCAGGAGTCTCTGACTTCCTCTGTGTGGGTCATCTCTAGAATGATACAGATTGCAACTCTTCTCAGAGTTGCTCTTGGAAAGTGGCTCTGACCAAAACATGCATTATCCTGTGGCTAACCTGAGAATATGGCTCTCTGAACTTGGCTAGACTAAGGGAGCAGCATATAGCGGTAGAATAGCTGAACTCAGAGTCAGGAAAACCTGTGTTTGGGTCTCACCTCAGATATTTACTAAGTGTGTGACCCAGGGTGAATAACAACCTCTAAGCCTCAGTTTCCTCATCTATAAGATAGAGATAATAATAGTACCTACCTCCTACGGTTGTTTCATTTTGCAAACCTTAAAGCACCAGATAAATGTTAGCTACTATTATTATTAGCCTGGTCCTTGAGACATACAGTCTACCCCTGGACCTTAACTTCAAATTTTTCCAGGTCAAGTTCAGCTGACCCAACCTTTAAGATCTCAGGGTCACTTCCAAGCCATAGTGAAGCAACAAAGAAGACTTTAATAGAGGTCCATTTTTTATCTATTAAACACCCCCCTCCTGCCTTGCCCTTCTTCTATTTTCAGATTCTTGCAATTGATGTAGGCAAGAACTTTAAAAACATGCTGTCCTTATGCCTGGAGGCTAAGCTGTCCAAAAGGGAGGTGGGCGATCTTGGGAGGTAGTGGCTTCTTCCTCACTGGAGGTCTTGAGGCGATTCCTTGGGCTCTACATGGAAACTGTGGTAATATGGTGACCTCCAGTTTGTTTTTGCTTTGATGTCTCTCCCCTTTCCCCTCCCTTTTAAGGCAGATGTTAGGAATATTTCTGTAGCCAACCTTGAAGGTCTCACTTCTGGGATCAATCTGGAACATATTTCCAGAGGAGTCTGGATGGAGTGTCAGGTTTCTGATGGCTACACCCACCCTCAGCCTCTTCTAATGTGGCCAAACTAAACTGTGGGCTTTTGAACCACAGCATGGCTTTCGATTCCACTCTTGGACTGCTCTTATGGTGAGGAAGTTCTTCCTGACATCCAGCCTCACTGGGCCCCTTTGCAACTTCCCCCCATTGCTCTGGGTTCTGCCCTCTGGGGCCAAGGAAAACAAAGCTAATCCCTCTTCCATACGACAGGCCTTCGAGTATTTGAACACAGCTAGCATGGCACCCCTCGGTACTCTCTTTCTAGGCTCAGTGTGCTCAGTTCCTTCAACCATTCTTCATATGACATGACCTTGAGGCCCTTCCCTATTCTGACTATCCTCCTCTGGAGGCTCACCAGCTTCTCAGTGTCCTTCCTAAAACATAGCACCTCAACCGAAAACAAGATTCCAGATGTGGTCTGCAAAGTACAGTACAACCAGCACCTCCCTCATTCTGGACACTATCCCTCTCTCAATGGAGATCGAGATTACACTAGCTTTCTTGGCTTCCATCACACCACTGACTTATATTGACCACAGAGGTCACTAAAATGCCCAGCCCTTTCACAGATGTGGCTCTTTAGCCACACCTCTACTATTTTCTACTTATGAAGCTGATTTTGTTAAGCCAAGATAAGACTTTATATTGATCCTTATTATATTTCATTTTCAACATTTTCAACATTTTCAACATTTTGAACCAATATTCTTGCATGTTTTCATATTCTGTCTTTCAGACATGTTAGTGACTCCTCCCAGCTTTGTGTTACCTGCAAATTTGATAAGCATGCCAAGCCGTTGCTAATAATAAAGAACAGCACAGGGCCAAGCACAAATTCCTGAGGCATTTCACTAAAGACCTTTGAAATGGACATCACACTACTCCTTGGGGTCAGCTATCCATCCCATATGTTCCATCTTTACCACACTAATAGCATGAAGGGATTTATTAAATCCTTTGATAAATTCCAGGTGAACTGTATCCACAACATTCCCCTTATATACCAGACTAATAACTCCATCTTTCTTTTTTTTTGGCTAGGTAATGGGGTTAAGTGACTTGCCCAGGGTCACAGAGCTAGTAAGTGTTATGTGTCTCAGACTGGATTTGAACTCAGGTCCTCCTGAATCCAGGGCCGGTGCTCTATTCACTGTGCCATCTAGCTGCCCCCAATAACTCCATCAAAAAAGGAAATGAGTTTAATCTGGTATGCACTGTTCTTGCTAAAGTCACACTCCTTGTGATCACTGGTTTATAGATATCCACCAGCCATCTTTTTAATAACTTCCTAGAATTTTGCCAGGAACTGAAGTCAAACTCATTGGCCTGTAGTTTAAAGACTCCATTCCCTTCCCTTTTTTGAAAATAGGGACATTTGCCCCTCTCCAATCTTGTCAGACACCTCCTGCTCTGCACAAGCTTATTTTTTTTTTAATGGTCTTTCATATATCCCTGACAGTGGCTTGGCCATCACATCTGCCAGTTCTTTCAGTACCCAAGAATGTAGTTCATTTGGGTCAGATGACTTGAATTCATCCAAGACAGCTAAAGGCTTGGTTACTATCTCCTTACTTAACTTGGGTATCATCTCCATCAATTCCAGGGCAAAGGTCATTTTTTCTTGGCAGAGAAAACAGAAACTGAATAAGAGTTGAGCAGCTTTGCTTTCTTTATACCATCAACTAGCATTGTCCCATCTATTTGAAGCACCTGTCTTATCCTACCTTTCATCTTCCTACTTTCCCCAATATAGCTAAATGATCCTAACCCCTTCCTCTGCCCTTAGCTTTCTTCACTAGTCACAGATGATTTTGAGTTTAGTATTGCTGCCACTACTCTTAAAGGCATAGTCCACATTTGCATTCATCCTCTTGCTATCTGCCCTCACTTTTGTCTTCTGAACATGTCTAAGGTCACACAGTTGGCCTGTGTCTACACATCTGCAGACATGTGGACAAAAAGTAAAAAATGCAACCATACAGAGTAAAATCTCCAAAACATCCAGATGTTTTCCAATATGTTAGAAGTAGTATAGAATAAAAGGCAATGGTCTCTCTATTGTTTTTTTTAGTTTTGTATTGTGAGTTTACAACCTTTGTATATGAACAACAAACTACGAAGAATGAGCATCTGTTCAGATCAAATAAAAATTACAACCAAGTTAATCTGACACGTATTTAACGGTGCATTTAATCATTATTGGACTGCATGGCAATTAAACCTGGAAGCACTTTCCACGAATGACTATAATTAGAATAATTTTTATAGAATCAAGCCTATTTTGTATATTTTTCCTTCTCTTTTGGTCAGATCTCTAGAGTCAATGTTAACAGTCTACCAGGGTACCATATACCAACTAATTATCATCACTGTGACCACACACATTCAAAGACAAAGCTCCCAGATCTTACTTCTCAGAAGCTTATATTCCCTTGCTCATGACAGCTTGATGTCCATGCTCCTTACCCCATACCCCATTTCTCAGGGATTATGGGATCATAGATCTACAGTTGGAAGGGTCCTTAGAGTCAATGATCACAATACTCATTTCACAGATGAGGAAATTGAGGTCCAGGGAGATGAAAGCCTAGGGTCACACAGCTAGTATCCGAGGCAGGATCTGAACTCAGATCTTCCTGACTCCAAATCCAGAGTGCAGTCTGTTACATCATGGTCTTTCCCCATAGTCCAACCCTCTGGCACTTTGGGCAGTTCTTAGATCCTTGTTCCTGTGCCAGCTGCCCTAGGCACTGGAGGGTTTGTGACAGCAGAAGCTTTGGGCCCTGAGAAGCTAGGTCATCTACTGCCATGGAAAAGGGCAGATTTCAAGAAGAATAGCTATGTAATACCAGAACAAGGAAAGGACACAGTGAGATGGGTATCTGTTTGGTTTCTTGGGCACTGTCTACCTTGTCTTGGTGTAGAGGGTTGGAGTGGGGGGGGAGAAACATGGAAGAGAAAAAGAGGACAAGCACTCTCCTTGGTACAGTGGGAAGAGTACTGGTTCTGGAGTTAACAGACCAGAGTTCTAATACTACCTCTGATACTCTGATCTTTAGGAAAGATCTCTTTGGGCAGCAGTTCTCCCTTATAAAACAAGGAGCTTGGTCTAGATGGCCTCTGAAGGCCCTTCTAGCTCCACAATCTCTAGTTCTGAATCAAAATAAAAAACTTAGAGCAAGACTGGAAAGACAATTTAAATAGGAATTCAGACACTCAGATAAACATGGAAGCTGATTAAAAGCTAAGCTTAGTCACAAAAAAAGCTAAGCTTTAAAAGTGTTTTTCTACAAATGTTGTTTTACGTTTGTTTCACTGCCTAAGAGAAGGTTTTTAATACAATTCACAACCTAATTTATGGGTGTAATAGCTTCCCTGGTTTATCAATCAATCAATCAATAAACATTTATGAAGTGCTTACTAGGAGTGAGGCACTGAGGGAAGTGCTGGGATTACAGAGGAAGGCAAAAACAGAATCCCTTCTGGATCATGAACAAACCTGAAATGGTGATCAGCACATTGAGCCCTTCCAGGACATCGATTTGCTGAAATCTGCGTCTACTTATCAGAGAGTAAACTCTTCCTTGGCCACTTCGGTCCAGCAGCCACAGCCCACTCTCTGTTCCTACCAGCAGATTGACACCTGCACATAGAAAACAATATTCTTAGTTAGCTCACACTGCTTCATCAGATTGTCTTGACACTGGATTTCTTCTTGCTATTCCTATTTACCGATACCCTTGCATAGTGGGTTTTTATTTCATTCAGTGTTTCCCAACCACAGGCCTCTAGCAAATTTTTACCAGTTCATAAAATGTTGATTGGCAAAGGTCCTATTTCTTCAAACACCTATCCAGGGGTGGGGAACCTGCAGCCTCAAGGCCACATGTTGCCCTTTAGGTCCTCGAGTGTGGCCCTTTGAATCCAAACTTCATAGAACACATCCCCTTAATAAAACGATTTGTTCTGTAAAACTTGGACTCAATCAAAAGGCCACACTCAAGGACCTAGAAAGCCACATGTGGCCTTGAGGCCACAGGTTCCCCACCACTGACCTATACACTTTGAAAAATGGACCCTATCTATTCTTGTTCCTTCCTGTATCTGACACCTCCCACCACCAGCTCCCAGTCTAAGCTTGTCAGAGTCTAAGCCTCAAAGAGTGAGAAGTAGAAAATGTAGAGACTTTGATCCTGCTCTAGGCTCGACGATGATGAAGATGATGATGATAACTAGCATTTATTTTAAGGTTTGCAGAGCACTTTACAAATATTATCTCATTTTATCCTCACAACAAATCTGCAAGGTAGATGCTATTATTATCCTAATTTTCTGGATGAGAAAACTGGGCAGACAGAGGTTAAGTGACTTGCCCAGAGTCATACAACTAGTAAATGGCTGAGGGTGGATTTGAACTCAGGCCTTCCTGACTCCAGTGTGCTCACCCACTGTGCTAACAGAGCAGGTAAGTTTTTGGAAACTGTCCGTCACATTTTGTAACTCTGACCATGGAATCTACGAACAACTACAGAAGTTACTTACATGCCTCTGAAAATACATCTGAATATTTTTATTGGAAGTCATTTAGGCTCAGAAAGAGAACTTATGATACCCTTTATCGAAATCTGTCAGCTAATGGCTTTCATATTTTTAGAATATTTCTCTATTTAAAAAAGAACTAATACTAAGCTACTTTTTCCTTGGGGAAAGACAACAACAACAACAATAACACCCCAGTACCAAGTGCCTATGAAATCAGTTTCCTGCTGACATTTCTTTAGGCTCCAATCTGACACATGGACAAGTTCTATTGATCCTTCTATTTATCCTCTAAAGGCAAGATAAAAATATTAAAATGAAAAGTGAAACTAAAGTAGTTAAAATGAGATTATTTTGAGAGGCAATGAAGTGTAATAGAAACTGGATTGGCAAAGTAGATTAAAATTGGAAAGTGGTACTGGATTTGGAGTTAGAAGACTAAATTTTGAGGCCAGATACACTTTTAAGTAGATGCACAACCCTGAGCAAGTGATTTAAGTCACTTGATCTCTATGACTCAGTTTTCTCATCTGTAGAATGAAGATAATCAAGTAGAAAAAGGAGGAGGCAGAGATGAGCCTTGGTGGAGAAGCACTGAGACAATATTGGGGAGTCCCCAATGTTGGTGATTAAGGGACAATTACTAGGGCCCCGGGAAAGAAGCTATGGTGCAAATTGTGAATGGAGAGAATCAGCAAGTTGAGTGATAATCAAGCTCGGGTTCAATAGGTAAGCAAATTTGAAGGCCAGGAAATAAGGAAAAAAGGAGTTCGTGGCATTGGTCTAAAATTGGCAAGACAGCAGACAACATGGGAGGACCCAATGCAAAGGGGAATAGTGGATGTTAGGAAAAGGATGGTTTGTCTCATCGCCCCTCCTTACTCCACTGTTCTGGTCACTTGAGATCACAAAAGTGAGGGCTCTGGGCATGGAAGAACTGATGATTCTATTCTGAGCAGCAGTTATCAGATACCAGCTGGCTCTCCCTAGCCATGGAGACAAGAGTAGTTTTTTCTAGCTCATCTTCCCATTCTTGTCTGCCATTCCTTCAGGTCTGGATTAATGGCATGATTAGGAAATTAGAGGGATGGGGAATGGATGGATGGATGGATGGATGGATGGATAGATGGATGGATGGATGGGGAGAATGAGTTGATTTTTTACTATTTACACACAAAGAGGCATATATTTTTGGTTTGAAGTTATAAAAATGAAAATTGATGCTCTTCAATTGGGAAATGGCTAAATGCATTTTGGTACATTAATGCAATGATACATCACAGTGCCCCATAAGAATTGATGAATATGAAGAATACAGAGAAGTATGGGAAATTTTACATGAATTGATACAGAGTAAGCAACGTCAGAAAAACAATGTGTACCAAAAACTCCAACAATGTAAACAGAAACAACAGCAAGAAAGGAAAGCGAATGCTGTATAACTATAATGATGGAGCTTGGCCCTAGAGAAGAGTTGGGAAAATGCAGCTCTCTCTCTCTCTCTTCTTTGCAGAGGTAGGGACCTAGGGGTGTGCCACATTGTATATATTGTAAAAAAAAAAAAAAAGGTTGGTTTTGCTGGACTGGTTCCCCACCCTTTCTTTTTTATTCTTTGTGGATATACTCAGAAATGATGGAGACGTAAAAACAAAATACTCTAAAAATATGTATACTTCTAAATGAGTACCAAGGTCACTGAAATCATCAGACATCCAATGTACCTATTTAGACAATTATTTCTGGCTGATTTGGTCACTGTCAACAAATGTTCTTTGACTGACAGAGACAATTAGGAACAAATGACTTCATTCTCTAATTTCCACTGGGTTGGAGCCCTTCATAAAGGAAGGGACTCAGTTTGTACAAGCTCAAAGAGGACCAGCTCACCCCACAAAGCTGCACAGAGAACCTCGGAGCTGAACTTCTTTTTGTACTTGCGGATTTCGGGGCTGTCACTCTGTGGGCGGGCATTGATGGGATTGACATTGACAACAGAGGCTTTCCTCTTTCCTGAATTCCCACGAAATTCATATTTCTCTTCATCTGATAGGAAAAAAAGGAAGAGGAAGAAGCTGTTAAAGGTGTTGGTCATCCATCTAGACAAAGACTAATTCAATTCTATAAAGTAAGTAGGAATCAATCCCCATTATTTGAATTTCTATTTAATATTTCTACTGGGCTAGAACCAAGTAGCATATTTTGTGTAATTATAACTTCAAAGAGGAAACTTTGAATACATGTTCAGGGGATAAATTCTTTGCCCTAATCAGGACCTAACTGTATGTGCAAATGACATAGGCCATACTCTCCATGAGCAGAGAGAAAAAAGTACACGTCAAGATATGGTGAGTATGGAGAGAGATAACTTGAGGCAGGGGATATCAGGGAAGGTAACAAGGAGGAGGTGACACCTGGGCTGGGCCAGGAGGGGAGTAGAGGAGGGGAAAGGAAGACCACAACAGGTGGAAATATGGGGGGTGGGGAGGGTAAGAGGAAACAAGTCTTTTCCAAGCATGGAGAATGATGAAGTCAAAGGCTCAAGGACCATAGAGAACAAGTCAAGAAGCTATTTTAAGATATTGTGTTCAGTATGCAATGCCCATCCTTAGCCACAAGTGAAGCCATGGCCCATCAATCAATCAGTGAACAAGTGTCCACTGCTTAAGCACCTACCCTGAACCAGGCCCTGTACTAGGTATTGGGGATACAGAAATAAAAATGAAATTATGTTCCTGTCCTTAAGAAGCTTACATCCAAATGAAAATGGAAAAATTCAGGCTTGTAACTGAGTTTTTCTGTTATGGGACAGATGTTTGGTTTCATGTATCTCTGTTCCCCCCCACACCTCTATCCTACCACAAAACACACACACACAGAAACAGATATACCAATCTGACTTTATACATCACTTGAAAATTAAGATTCCATAATTCCCTTAAATACCACCACAACTGGAGAATGTTATGGTACATTTAATAATTTTTTAAATTTTATTTTCAGTTCCACGTTATCTCCCTCCCTTTACTCCTCCCCCACTGGGAAAGCAAGAAATATGATACCCATTCTACATATGAAGTCATGAAAAACACATTTCCACATTAGCCATATTGTGAGAAAAAAAGCAAGAAAAATAAAGTTAAAAAAGAAAACAAACATGCTTCAATTTGCACTCAAGAATTCACTGGGTCTCTCTTTGGAGGTTGATTGCACTTTTCATCATAGGTCCTTTGGAATTGTCTTAGATCATTGTATTGATCAGAGTAGGTAAGTCTTTCACAGTTGATCATTGTTAAAATATTGTTGTTATTATAGTATGTTTACTAACGAATGACTACAATGAGAAGCAGTGGGGTAGAGTTGGTAGGTCTTGGAGTCTAGAGAGACCAAGATTCAAGTCCCACTTCTGACACATATTGGCATTTAACCTCTTTGGGCCCCTGGACACCTCTAACTTTCTAAGTTATAGAAGAGGTATTGATCTGAACCTGATATCTATGAAATCACAGGTATGGCCAACTCCCTGTTCCTCCCTCCCCACCCACCCCCAAACCACAAAGGCTGAAATATATCTTCGATCATAGCAGGCATACTTACAGGAGCCAAAGAAACGTCTTGAGGGGCTGGACGGAGGAGTGAGCTGGAGGAGTTTGGGATCGAAAAATGAGGTGAATGATGAGGTGGAAGAGGAGATGCTTTTGGATGACTTGTTTTTAGTACTTGCAACCTAGGATTCAAAGCAAGACCCATTTTGATTAGGAGGTGACAGTTAGAAGGAGGCAGTCCTCTCAGCTTGAGACGCACATAGCTAGAGGAATATAAGCTTTCAGCATTTGTAGTTTGACCTACCCTTCGAACCTGGAGCTGCATGCAGTGAGAGACTCTCTAGCCCTCTGGCTGGGGAGCATCAAGTCCTTAGAGCATGCATTTGCATCTAACAGAGCTAACAGTGGGGAAAAGGAATATACTAATTCTGCAGCCTGAACATGCAGCCCTAACATTGACTTATAGAAAAAGAAGTCCTGGGTGAATAGGGTGGTGGTGGGAGGGGGGAAGTAAGAGGAAGAATCCAAGATAGAGATGATGGGAAATTTGTACAAGATTTTGTACTTGGCATCAACTCTCAGTAGGGGGCACTGTGTTGGGTTGTCCTAATGCTGTTTGGTTTCATGATGGCTACCTACCCCTAAAGTGTCCCAAGGCATGTCTTGTTTTAAAAATGAAAGAAAACAAAAGAAAACCAAAATCAGTAATGGATGCCTTTAGGAATTTCATAATGTGCCTTGAGATAAATGGAGCCATGGGTGGAAATGTGGTATAGTGGAAAGAGTAATGGATTTGAAGTCAGTGGGTCTAGATCCCAGCTTTGCCACTAACTATGTGTGTGACCTCAAGCAAGTCACTTAACTTCTCTAGGTATCAATTTTCTATGTGCAAAATGAGTTGGTTGGCCTACTGGCCTCTAAAGGTCCCTTCTAGGTCTAGACCTAGGATCCTATGTGTGACCCTGGACAAGTCCCTTCCCCTCCCCGGGCCTTAGTTTCCTTCTCTGTAAAATGAGGGGTTGCCCTGGATGGCCTCTGAGGTCTCTGCTAGCTCTAAATCTAGATTGTATCACCTTGGACAAGTCTCTTCCTGTCCCTGGGCCTTGGTGTACAGTGAGGAGGTTGGGCTAGGTGGCCTCCAAGGTTCTTCCCAGATCTAGTTCTATGATTCCATGACCCTGAGATGTTCCAAAGCCAGCACTGTGATTCCCTGTTTTAAAAATCACATATCCTTACTCATTCTGCTCTGCCATGAACAAATGTTCCCTGGAATGGTCAGTCACTGTAGAAAGGGGTTGACTGGCTAGGCAATAGTTACTTAGAGACTGGTGATTTCTTTGCTTATAGGGATCTCACTAGTCAGGAAACTCCCTCTACCAGTGCAGGTTGGGATGTTCTCTGCAATTTCTTAGAGAGTGGACTAACATCCTGAGAAGTTAAGTGACTTGTCCAGGGTCCTTCAGCCAGTACATATCAGAGGCATGACTTGAGAGAATAATAATGCCCTTCATGTGAACAACACTACAAGGCCACTGAGTGCTTGCTGTGACAAACCTATTCTCCTACCAGTAGCTCCTATCTCACAGGGTTGCTGTGCAGTTCAAATCAGTTAATGTACATAAAGCACTTTCCAAGCTTCAAAGCCCCAGACAAGCTTCAGTTATGATAATATTAACATAATACAGGCATTGGCAGAAGGGATTTGAGCATGCTCAGGGCGCCATGGCTTCAATGGCACAAGTACTCCTCCTGTAGATTCCGAGAGCCCTCTGTGACTTTGTGAATTGCTGTGCTGAGCTGCTCTGTCAACCAGGCCCATGTGTGAAACCTTCCCAGAGCTTCTGAGGAGCTGGGGTCGCTTCCACATCATGATGAAGCATCAGAAGAGGAAGACTTCAGATACTAAAAACACTGTGGCCCTTTTGGAAAACCGATTCTAGGTGGGCTGGCGTCAGATACAATTTGTAAGGTTCAAGTCAAATAAATACCTGATGGAAGGAGCCAAGAATGCACTCTATCAAAATGGACAGAAAATAGTCAGAGAAGTTTTCTGTTTAAGTAGAACCAATCATGAAGGAGCTTTCAAGCTGAAATAGAGACATCCTACGTACCCTACATAGTACAAGGATGCAGCAGTGTCAGAGTAAACATGATACAGGCCTCGTAAATGATACAGAATGCCAGAAAGGTAAACTAAGGCACTTCCCTAATTCTAAGCAGGGCAAACCAGACCACCTGTGGCTGTTGTGGGACATTACTGGCAAACTAAGGAAAGGTGCCCAGGGGAGCTTTTGAGGCCAAACTAGCTTGAAGTCCTGGAAAATACTACCAGCCCCAGGAGGGATTTACTTCCAAGATGGGATTCAGGGTGAGTTAAATTGGCTAAGTCTAATAAAAGTCTGGTAAGAAGAGATTAGATTAAGCTATGATTGCTGAGAGCTGAAGATCATCAAAAGAGTACAGAATCATACTTGAGTATTTTTTAAAAGTTTCCTCAAAAAAAGTTTCCTCTATAAAATGATCTACTATGCTACCTCCTATTTGATACTTTGGGCTTTTAAAGTAGTTTTATTTTGGGGGAGGAGAGCCAAAAAGTATGCTGATCTCTTTAGTTAAGTGATCTTAACTTAAGTCTAAGTTAAGATAAATGCATCCTTTGGTCCTCTCAAGGCTCAGTTCAAGTGCCACTTCTTCCAGGAGACTTTCCCTGATGACCCCCATGGGTACTCCCCCCTGCCCAACTTACTTTGGATGTTGTTTGTCTCTGCTTATATGTTTATGGGGTGTTTGTTCCACGTGGTTTGAAAGGTCCTCGAGGGCTGGAATGATTTCATTTTTTGACTTGCATCCCCAGCACCTGGCACAGAGCTGGTGCTTAATAAATGCTTGTCAACTGGAATTGACTACCTCTGGCTGGAGAGGCAGCATGGCATCATGGGTGGAGAGCTGGCCTTCGAGTCAGGAGAGACCTGGGTTCAGGTCCCTCCTCTGACACATATTGGCCATGTGACCCTCAATGAGTAACTGCAGGCAACTCTGAAGATTCTAAGCAGCAGTGCAGGTGCCCATCTGCACTGGGACAGGGGATTCCTCACCTGGAGCACCCTCTGTTGATGAAATCACAATGCATAATCTCTAGCTGAAGCCTTCAAGTTAGGACAATGCAAAAAAGGCATCTGGTGCCATCAGGTGGGAGGATACCTAGTTGTAGATTCAGTTCTGTTTTCAAGAATGTATTTCTTGAAAGTTGAATCTGTAAACCTTACCATACGTGAGGATGACAGTAATGTCACGTTTGACCAAATGCTTCTTTTTGATTGACCATCTTCATAACAGCAACAAAAAACCTAAAGAGCAAAACCACATTTTTGTGGAGGGGGAATTCATCTAGGCCATAAAATATTTTATCTGGGGATGCTGATCAAATGTCTTTGGGGAGAAGTGCAGGTTTTAACTTTAAGTAAAAAGAAAACTGGAACTGCCCAAGGTGATAGCTGGGCCCCAGTAGGAAAGGGTGACCCAGGCCTGGCCTGTGTTTCCATCTTTCTCTCTCCCTCCCTTTTCCCTGTCCTTGGCTCTTCTCAGTTTATGGAGCTACTCTTCCATCTATCCCACAGTAGTTGTCTTTTTGAACCTTTTACTCATGCTTCTTCCACTAGAAGGGATTTCCCACCTATGAGATGAAATCCTTATGTTTATTTGCAGCCATTTGGTAGAGGCCTTGAGCCACTTCTAATGCTCATAAGCCTAGCTTTCAGTGGAGCATGTGGGCCTGGGAGAATATGGTTCAGTTGGTCTGGGGTCACTGAGCATTTCCATGTTAATTACAGCTATTACTGATTTTATGAGATGATTGATTTGTATATAGAAGGGGCACTGGGCTGGGACCTAGGAGACCTAAATTCACATACCACTTGTGTCATCTACAAGCCATATGGCCATGGCTGAGTTTTTCAGATGATAAGGCCTGGGCCCAGGAGTTGTGCCGCAGAGCAAATGAGAGATTGGTGGGAAAGTGCTCAAGGACATGAAAAGGGCTGTGTGAATTTCAGATGGTAGATCACCACTCTTTTCTCCTGTCTCTTTGTATTGGGGAAATCTCCAGGGCTTTTAGAGCAATTTTTTTCAATTGACCTGTTGGTCAATGAAAGGCAGTTCAATCAGTCTAGGCCTTGGCTGAAGATGAATTTGTCATTTCTCACCTGGTGCTGTGGTACATGATCCTTTAGAATTTCCTTTCTCAATTCCTCATTACAGCATCATAAACCACATCACCAAGTGAGAAGTGACAAATTTGAGATGGTTGAACTAGATATGGCCCCATTTTAGAAAGAAGGAAACCGAAGACCAGGAAGATGGGAGAGGAAGTGATTTGCTCAAGGTAACTGGATTATTATAGCTGGAGGCAGTGTTGATTAATGAAATGATTGCTGAGTTTGTGGGTCACTGGACCTGAGTTTGAATCCCAGCTCTGCTGTTTATTAACTTGTGACCTTGGGCAAGTCATTTAACCTCTCTGGGCCTCAGTTTCCCCATCAGTAAAATGAGGGGTTGGGCGAGATGATCTCTAAGGTCTCTTGTTGCTCTTTATCTATGATTGTGTGAACTATACGAGAAGGATGTCTGTGCCCATGCCAGCGTGAGGCAATTGCCACCAGGTACAAGTGATAAGGCCCAGTCACACACCCTTTGTCAGGGAAAAGAAAACAAGAGACAGACAGGTCCTAACATCTCCTTCATTTAGGCAAAGGACTCTTAGCACAATCAGGAAGGCAGCAGCTATCACCAAATAGCCTGAGAGAGGGTCTCAACCTCTCTCTCCCTTGGAGGCTGCCTGTAGCAAGCTTATAAAAGCAGAACTAGCTCAGGCTATTTGGCTGGTGTTTCTAAGCAGGCTCCAACACTACAGAGTTGACTGACTTATTGGAAGGAAGAGCAGGGGAGTAAGGTGAACTGACTGTGTGGCACTGTGTGTAGCTGCCTGTGTGAAGCTCTGTAGTCTCGTTACCTCTGCCATTTTTTCCTGTGGGATCCTCACTTTCTCAGGAAAACTCGAAAAAGCTCTCTACACTCACTTCCTCTCCTCTCACTCTCTTTTAAACCTTCCATAGTCTGACTTCTGGCCTCATCATTCAACTAAAACTACTCTCTCCAAAGTCATCAATGATTTCTCAGTTGCAAAATCTAATGGTCTGTGTTTGATTCTCATCCTTGATCCCTCTGTAGCACCTGAAACTGTTGGCCACCTTTTCCTCCTGGATTCTCTCTCCTCTCTAGGTTTTCATGACACTGTTCTCTCCTGGTTCTCCTCCTACCTATCTGACTGTTTCTTCTTAGTCTCCTTTGCTGATACTCCAACCATATTGTGTCCCTTCACTGTGAGGTATTCTCCCAGGCTCTATCCAAGATACCCTTCTCTTATCTCTCTACTCTCACTTGGTAACCTCATCAGCTCTGAACTGGACTTCCAACAGGTATCTCAAACTCAATATCTCCCAAACCAAAACCCATTACCTTTCCTCTCAAACCTTTCCTTTTTCCAATCTTTCCTATAGCTGTCAAGGGTGCCATTGGAACAAGACTTCTGTGTTCTCCTTGACTCCTTACTCTCACTCACTCTACATATCCAATCAGCTGCCAAATCTTGTCATTTCTACCTCTCCAATATGTCCCCTAATTTCCAATCACATCACCACCACCTTAATTTAGGCCCTTATCACCTCCTACCTAGACTATTGGAATAGCCTCCTATTTGGTCTCCCAACTTCAGGTCTCCCTTCCTCTAATCTGTCTTCATACAGCTGCCAAAGTGATATTCCTAAAGCACAGGTCTGATCCTGTCCCACACCTACTCCTACTCAACAAATTCCTATGGCTTCCTATTACCTCTAGGATCAACTATAAGCTACTCTGACCTTTAAATCTCTTTACAACCTGACCCATTCCTACCTTTTCAGTCTTTGTACATATTATTCCCCTCCATATGCTCTTTGATTTAATCACACTGGCCTATTTGCTGCTGCATACACAATTTTCCATCTCTGTATCTATGCAGTGGCCCTCATGACCAGAATGTACCTCCTCCTTCCATCTACTTCTTAGAAGATCTAGCTTCCTTTAAGACTTAGCTCAAGCTTTATCAACTACTTGAAGCCTTTTCTGCTGCCTCCAGCTACTAGTGCTTCCCCCAAAAAACTTGCTTGCATATATTATGTATACACTTGTCACCCCACTAGACTGTAAGCTAATTGAGGGAAGAGATACTGACTTTTGTCTTTGTATTCCCAGCACTTAGCACAGTACCTGGCCCGGGGTAAGCACATCATAGATCTTTACTGATTGACTCATTTCCCTGTCTCAGATATATCCTTGGGGAGAATCTGTACAGTGGGGTTTGTACTACAAAGCATAGGAGAACTTAGCCACAGCATGCACCAGAAGGCTAAGGCAGCATTGACCTTTTGTCATCAATGGCTGCTTCCTTGAAAACACCTTTGAACCCTTCCTTATTCTCTAGCGTGTGACTATGCCAGAGGTTGTAGGATCCTGATAGATGGTACTGACACATACACATTTAGATTAAGATCTTTCTCCCTCCCCGCAAAACAAACAAACAAAAAAACCCCTACCTTTAAGGATATCACAAATGCTACACTGAATTGGGTTACTGATCAGTCAGCCTAGAATTTGTCTCTGATACTGACACAGAAGAACATGAACCTCAAAAAAGTTGGGAAATGTTTAGGGAGTGCTCCTCTTTGCCCTGTAATGACATGCTCTGGATCGATGGAGTCATGTAAACCCTCCTTGACCCCATTTATTTTCAGCAAACAGTTTTTCAACTGTAAAAGCATCTTTTCAAATATGTTTTAATTAAAACCGAATGTATCTGTAGACATAGCCTCAAACATGTGATTCAGTGAGGAAGAAAAGCAAGCCAAGAGATGGGGTTTTGTCCCTGAAAGCATGGAGGAGCCAAGGGAATTGCAACAGGGAAGGTATAATTTCCCCAGCTAATATTAAAAGTGTTCACGGCATTCAGGGGAACTGCTGTCCTCCTGTTGGGAAGGGCTGTTGATCACATACAAACGGAAATTTACAATGACTAAGAACTCATTTTCACCCCTTCTCAAACAGTTAGTTTTACCTTTGATTCAACTCCTCTGCTTTTGGCTTTCCTCTCTGGTCCCTTTGGGGCCCTTGTCCTTGGGAAATCCAATCCTCCATTGCTTAAGTGGTGCCTGGTAACAAACTCCAATTAATGAAAAGAAGAAACCCAGCAACAAACACATCTGGAAAGAAGCTCACTAAATAGCACTGGGGTGCGACTTAACAAGGCCCAGCTATGCTGCTTCAGTGTGTACACTTTGATATTAGCCTAGAGGGAGACCAGAGACAAGACAAATTTCTTAGAACTCACAACACCCACGGTTTCGAATGCTTAGGTATTCGTGTTCCCAGCAGCTGCTTAAAAAAATAAACCAGAAAAAAAAAAACCCAAACCAACAATTCCCAACTAAATGAAGGAGACCCCTGTCAATGTTGGGCCAGAATCAGCCCATAGACACCCAATGCCATAGGGAGATGGAGCTAGTATTCCCTTTTGGGACTGGAATGTATTTGCTCTGTAGCAAATATCATCATTTCCCATAAATGAAAGGCCCTTTCACGTATTGTCCACTTTGCATGAGGGACCCAGTTCCTATTTTAAGCAGTGCAGCTGAGTTGGCCTTCTTTCCTCCTACTTAACTGATAGTATGCTAACCCATCCACTTTTCCTACCTCACAGGATTTAGAGCTGGGAGGGACCTTAGCAATTTGAGCCTTTTTACCCTTAGATTTGCAATAATCCTGTTGCTTTAGTATCTATTTCCAAGGTGGTAATAATGAGAATATATAACTGTGCCATCACACAAAAAAGCTGCTGTTGAATGATAAAGTAAATGGGAAATGCTGGTCTAGAATATATGTGCCACACTTTGTATAATACCTAGATTTCTTCTTGATTTCACATAAACTGTAGCTGGTGATTCTTTTTGTAATGGGATCACAATTGATCTTTTATATGAATTTAGATATATTGGCTTTGCTTAAAGTGAGGTGCACATATGGAGCAAATCATGGTAGAGTTTGTCAGTCTATATTAGCCTATACCTTCAAAAATCTATTTCTCATGTACCACCCTCCCTTCTTTGCTGAAGGAGGGGATAGAGGAGTGAGGAGATGGGTATGGAAGACTGCATTATATCATCACACTTTGTTGATGGCTTGGTTAGTTTGACCGCAATTTTTTTTTTGCCCCTACCTCTTTCAAAAAGAATGCCTGTTTTATATATAAGGCAAAAGTTTTAAACTCTTTTTTGATATCCTGGATCCCTTTGGGCAGTGTGTGGTGGAGTCTATGGATCCTCTTCTCAGAATAAAAATTTTAGACACAGAAAATAAAATACATAGGATTATAAAGGAAAGCAATCTAGTTTTGAACTTTGTTAAAAAGACTTATTCTAAGAGATGGGAGCAGGGAGGGAAGGGAAGGGATGTATCAGAAATAATGATGATGTAAAAACAAAATATATCAATAAAAATTTTAAAAATATGAAATTTATTTCTCTACATGCCTCCCCCCTCTTTTATAAGTTTTCCTGAGAAATCTCAGAAAAGGAAGAGAGAAAAACTGCAAAAGAAGATCTGAGTCCAGATCCCATCCATGTCACTTACTAGCTATATGACCATGAACAATTTTCTGGGATAACAATCCCTGTCCTACTAAGCAACGAGGGGGTCATGAGGAGGAGTAGATAAGAACATTTGTGCAAAAGCTCTTGAGGACCTAAAAAGGCCTTTGTAAATTTCAGGTGAATCAGAATGAATTAGCAACAGTGGAGGATTTCTTTACAAATATGTGAGTGTGTATGTACAAATGTGTGTGTGTGTGTGTGTGTGTAATTTACATGAACAAATCTAGTGTTAATGATTTTCTAAAAAGAGACTTTCAATGGTTTCTAATGTTCTTTTAAAATATTTTAAATTCCAATGGCCATGAACAAATATAAATATGAAAATACTGTGTGTTTAGAGTAAAAGAAGAGGGCCAGTATATGCTCCAGAGAGCTGGTGATGTGTCCAGAGCACTAAGTTGACAAATGCTGAAAGCAAGGCAGACAAACAGGGGAACAGGGCAGGCCCAGCACCGCGTGGAACCCCAAGAGGGGCCCTGTGGGCATATCCCGAGCTCCAGAAATATCTAGTGGTGACAGTAAATTTTGCAATTAACTTGTCTGCAGCAAAATGAGAACTTCTGTTCATGAATATGGGGGATTTGTTTTCCAAACTGAAAATAGCACCTTTTTCTTGCTGCTGTATTCATTTCAGAGAACCACAGTGTACAGGTTGTGAGCTGCCACGTCTTCTCGATCCTCAAGTCTTTTAAGACTTCAGAGTACAAATTAGCAGGTAAAAGTGGCTCTTATACAAACATCGGGATAGGAAGGATGTGGAATAAAGTTGGTAGGGCCAATCTTGCTAGTACTAGTACACTAAAAATGCCCCATTTTTCTTCTACTGCGCCTTCTGCTCACACCTCAGGGACTCATTCCATCATGTTCAGGAGCATGTGATTACTATACTCAGGGTGTGGGTCCCCCTAAGGATGGTAAGTAAGGTGCAGTTTTAGACTTAATGATTCCTGCCCAAGTGAATACTGCCTCAAGTAGCTTGCTCTCCAAATCTCAACCTTGGTCAAAATGGTTCCTGGCAAGGAATCCATAAGTAGAGCAATACTTGTTCCCCAATCCTGTGGCAAAGATAGAAGTTAAGGTTCCTGGCTGGCTGTGCTTGTGCAAGAAAAGGCACCCCATATCAAATAGTTGAAAGATTGGGCAATCTGCCAATTGAGAAAAATGGCCCCAGAAAATGGACAGGGCCCTGCAAGGATAATACACTGCAACTACCTATTGCTCATTGGTTGGACTCTGTGGTAGCTAGAGGGAAAACAGATCATCCATCATTTAGAGATGGATTGTGAGAGCTGGATGATGGCTCCTGTAGAGAGGGTTAAGCCAGTGATTCATGTGAAGAGGAAAATACCTGTTGGTATGCTTCTGCTGTCATTTCTTACGTGGGGAAAGTCTACTTTCAGACCTTTGGTTTCTGGTTTGTGTTCAGAATAGCAAACAGAAGCCAGAGGGAAGCTGGGAACTGTCTTCTCAAATCACCTGAGCAAATGCAGGTAGTGTGCCATGTGTTTTTGCTGCAAGTGACTATTAACTAGTATTTGTGGAGTTGGGGGGAAAGGTAGAAGGGAAAAACTCACACCATATTACACTCTGCTGGACCCTTGCTACCCTCTGGAGGCAGGTACAAGGGAAAAAGCAAAGAGAGAGTCTTGAAGAGAACTCAGGACCTAGGGAGTGAGCTCAGCTTTGTCAGCTTGCCATAGAGTATGACTCCCCTAACAAGAGTTCATCATTTTGAGACCCTATCAATTGATCATCTTGAGTCCCCTGTGTTCTAGTAAGATGCCAGTGGGCATACCTAACTTTTGGGGAAGGTGTCCCTCAGATGCCTTTGAACAAGCACTCATGCCCTGTAATCTCATCAAGCTGAACTGGGGAACTGATCACATTGTTAAGAGACTGTTAAGAGTTAAGATAAAAAAAAAAGTTAAGATCAACAACCCCCCCTACATTATTTTATTTTATCTTATTTTTGGCTAGGCAATGGGGTTAAGTGACTTGCCCAGGGTCACACAGCTAGTAAGTGTCTGAGGCTGGATTTGAACTCAGGTCTTCTTGACTCCAGGGATGGTGCCCTATCCACTGAGCTACCTACCTGTCTCTTTTTAAATACTATAATATATACTATGTGTTTAATATTGGTTGCTTATGGGGAGAGATTCTTACATAGAAAAAAATGGGCCCTGAGCACTAACTTGAGTAAATACAAACCCAACGTAAGGTAAGCAATTTATCATAGTATGACCACAGAAGAAAGTGTAGAGTTGAGGTAGCTCAACCACCTATCTGATGTAGAAAGGGCATTTATAGGCACTACTTGAATACTTCAAATGACAGGAAACTTACTGTCTACTAAAATAGAATATGCCTATTTAGCCAATTCTGATTGCTAGGAATTTGGTCTTTACATTGAACTGAAACCTGATTTCCTGTCATTTTCACTCCTTGTGTCTGGTTCAGCACTCTTATGCAAATCATAATGCCTCATTCCTTTTCATGACAGCCCTTCAAATATTTGAGGACAGTTGTGGGGAACAGTGGTATGAAAAGAGCACTGAACGTCGAGTCAGAAAATCTGGATTCCCATTTCAGCTCCGTGACTTGCTAGCAGCATCTAACTTCAGACAAGTCATATCACCTTTGGGGGATTTCTCTTAGATAATCTCTAAGGTACATCCCAGCTCCAAATCCTTATAGTTGTCCCTCCTAGCTCTTCTCTCTTCAGGCTAAACAGTCCCAACTTCATCAAAATGATCCCCTCCCTACGCTGATTGCCGTCTTGCATTTTAGCTTCCTAGAATGCCTCATAAAAGTGTGGCCCTTCAAAGTATTCATAATGACTTTACTGAGCAGAGTAGTTCAAGGCTATTTGGAATGGAACTATTCTGACTGAGGACATCCTAGGACATCCTGAATACATGCATTCATACGGGCCAATGCCAATACTGTCAGAAGAAAGAGAAGAGGCACACATCTGAAATCTAGAGTCAAACTGCAAATGTGCACAAGTCATATACAATAAGCAGAGCTCAAAGCTTCTGTTAGTGCATCACTGGCCAGTCGGTTAGTCTCTACTACTGTTTGTCCTCTCCTGTTAGGATGCAGATAATATTGGAAAGCAAAAGAACCAACCTTGAGTAATAGTATTCTTCCTCGTCACTGCTAACAATCTCATCACTGGAGGATGAAAATTCGGAGGCTTTTAAGAACAGTTTGATATTATCTCTTCCCCTAAGGAAACCAGGAACCTGTGAGAACAAGGAAAATCACTGAAGTTGCTCTTTGCTTCAGGGTGGGAAAGATTGTACAGGCTTTAAAAGTCCATTCCAAATATTTCCCACTCAAATGTAAATTCCACCTCCCTGGACAGAGTCAATATTTGACCGAGGATGAAATACCCAAACATCAATGTTAAGGCAAGTTTACATGTCCCCAAATGGAGGGAGCCATCATTTATTCAGTCATTTTGTGCCTTGTGGCCCTCCTGGAAAGGAAGGCTGTCTGCACAGGGTATTCAAGGCAGTCAAGCAGATGGGAAGCAATAGGACATAATGGAAGGAGAACTGGATGGAGGGCAGGATATTAGTCCCAGCTCTGCTGATCACTCACCAAGACGCTTTGGGCAAGTCCCTTCCCCTCCTGGGCCTCAGTTTCCTCCCTGTAAAATGAGAGGACTGGACTAACTGGCCTCTGAGGTCCCTTCCAGCTCTAGAGCTAGGATCCAATAAGTGACCTTGAGCAAGTCCCTCGCCCTCCCTAGGCCTCAGTTTCCTCCTTTGTAAAATGAAGGGGTTAGACTAGATAGTCTCTGAGGTCCCTTCCAGCTCTAGAGCTCAGATCCACTGAGTGATCTTGGGCCAATCATTTAACCTCTTGGGCCTTCAATTTCTCCATCTGTAAAAAATAAGAGTGTTGGATGAAGGGCCTCTGAGATCCCATCAAGCTCTAGATCTGGAGTCCTATGACCAGATGACTTCTAACTTTCCTTCAAACTCTAGATCTAAGGTGCCTTCCAACTGCTCTTTCTCACTGAAGTGAATTATGGTGATTCGTCTGGACTAACATAGCTAACTAGGTACTTTGGGAGGGGCCTTATACACAGCCCCATTTGACTTTCTGTTTGGCTCCCAGACAAAGTGAACTCAAAACCTTCATCTGAGGTCCAGGAATGGCTGTCTCTCTTAGAGATTTCCCCTCTCTAGTTTTGCCACATTGCAGGTTGCATCCAGTGACATGAAGGGGTATCCTAAATATCTCAAAAAAGTTCTCCAAAAAAAATCCCTTTAGGTTGAAAAATAAATATATGCCCCACTGCACTTTCTGGGCCCAGGAGAGGCTGTTGCAAAAACAAACCAAAAATAATAGGGTGTCACAACTCTCCAAAGATCGGATAACCTTGGATTTATAGAAGTAAAGGTCCATTTAATGGTTTGTAAGTATCTAACTTTTTCTGCTCTAGTCTTTGAGGTTAACCTAGGAAGTATCTGAGGGTTGGCTTCTAATAACAAAGTGATCCATCTTTACCCACAAATATTTTCTATTGAACAGAAGAACATGGAAAGCAAAACAAAATGAGGGGCTGAGATATGATCATCTTTAAGGTTCTTTCTGGCTCTAACCTTGGATGGGCTTATGAAATCCTTTTTTCCATTTCAGTTTTAATTGTAAATCTTTCATCTCCCAGGGTAACCTAACAATAAGTAATCTTTCTTAAAGAATTTATGCTCCTCGAATAAACAAGGTTCTTTCATTGCTGCCTGCTGCCAGGGAGGTGGCAGTATGGTACAGTAGGGAAAGGAAAGTCTCTGCTCTGCTCCTTAGCATCTGTGTGATCTCAGACAAGCCACAATCTCTCTGGGCCTCAGTTTCCTCTTCTGAAAAGAAAAATGAAGTTAATATCTTTTTTCATAGGATTGTTATGGGGAAGGGGGATTCAATTTGTATTTCTTCATTACACTTAATCCGGTGTCTGGCATGCAGCAGAGATTAATGAATGCTGGGGGATCAATTGATTGGTTGGCCCCAGAAGGAAGAGCTAGGAGAAAAAAACATTTGAGCTTTCCAAAAGTGGGTTGCCTTGGGATCTGGTGAGCTAGCTCCGTTCTGCCGGAAGTTTTCAAGTGAAGGCTGGATTACCACTTGTTGGGATTACATAGAGGGGACTCCTATGTAAGTGTCTTTGGATCCTGCCTTATGGCTTTGGGTGTCCCTTTCAACTCTGAGGTTTCAGTAATTCATAGGATCATAATATTTTGAGTAGGAAAAGAGCACATGGTCCAACTTGGGTCATTTTACAGATGAGAAAACTGAGGTCCAGAAAGAAGGACTTAGACAAAGTCATACAGCTAGCAAGCAGTAAAGTCAGGATTCAAATCCTGATTTCACATCTTTCTCTGACACTACGCTGCCTTCCTTGCTGTGAAGTTTCATAGAGGATCATAAATCTAGAGCTGGAAGGGACCTTAGAAACCATCAAGCTGACCCATCTCACTTAACGGAGGAGGAAATTGAGGCCCAGGGAGGTTAAGTGAATTGTTCAGGGTTATATAAGCACTGTCACAATGTGAGGATCGAATAATCATACAACTCAAGCCAAAAGGGACCTCTGAGGCGGGCCAGTCCAACTCCTTTATTGGACAGAGAAGGAAACCGAGGCCAACCTCAAGAAGTGAGGTGACTGGTCCAAGGTTAAATATGGATTTTCAAAGGTTATGTCAGCGGAGGCTTTCACTCAAATAGGCTGAAAAGTATAGGCCTGGAGATGGACTATGTCTCTTCTACACACCTAAGAGTGCTCATCACCAGACTACCTACACAGCAATGTACCTTTTTAGCCATGTCCACTAGTGATATCTGTCTCCTAAATTATAGGGGTGGGAGGATGCTATAACCTGGGCTGGCAGATGGAGTAAACAGGATGATGAAATCACAAACCATGGAAGTAGTGAATGAACAGTGATAATGATAACAGGTAAAAATCAATCAAGAAACAAAGGAAAAGAAAACTTACTATGATTTGTACTGGTGGAGGGGCACTTTCGCCATTTTTGTACAGTGGCTCCAGGGCCCTGGTCAGGGGAAGTTCAGGCCTAGAAGATCCTGTGGATTGCCCAAAACAGAATTAGTGACAGTGTTGATGTCACTTTCCTTTGCACCCATTCAATATCCCCAAAGCATCCCTACAGGACAAGAGTGTTCCTTTGATTCTCTCTGAAAAGCATTCAGGACATGTCACCAGGCTAAGTTCTCAGGGGCTGGCAGCAGCAGTGAACCTCTCTGCAATGACTACTTCCTGCTGCCTGAGAAGGTAGGTGTGCAGGTCCTCTCTCAGACCACTGAGCAGGAAGAAAGAGAGGGATCCAATAAAGCAATAGCTTTCAACTTTTGCCTTTCCCTCCTCCCAAGAATCTGACAGAACCCAGAAGTAGTTGCTGCTAAGTGGGTAAGAAGAAAGACCTAACCTAGGATGATTGGACACCCTATTTTGGCTGGGACAATTCCAATTTTAGACAATCTCTACCTGGTCTTCTTATTCACAAACAATTGAATGCTTTACTGTGGTTTTGTGAACTACCATGATGTAAGATAAATTGGCACTCAGGGCCACTTGCCTAGGTGTCCAGTCCTTTGTCATGGAGTAGATTTGACTCTGGAAAAGCTGCTTTCTAGCCTAACAGGGCATCAAGTTGCTTTGCAGCAGGGAAATGGAGGTTTACAAAACATGTGGGGCTGAGGGGACCTCCTGGGTTTGGGTTTACTGGTACCAGTCTCCCTCTCACCATTATCCACTACCCCAGAGAGGGAGGGCTTAGTAGGAGCAGGGCAAGGAGCAAATTTTTTGCATATATCCTCCCCAATCTGGTCTGCCCCAGGTCAAGTCTGTACTAGTGAAAAGAACTATAAAATGAGAAAGAAAAAGAAAAGTAAATCACTATGCAAGCAATCAACTGTATCGGAGACAGGACAATTTATGCAAAATAAGACCTCACTTTATGCTAGAGGCCAAGACCTGAAAAATACTTATGGAAAGGCACATTTTGGAAAATGAATGATTTTACCATAGTCTTATATTCTACTTTTAGAATTGTTTGAAGTTAAATTCTGATCCATCCTCAAAAGACAGGGGCTTCTAAAGTTTGTAAGGCGCTTTCTGTTCCCTGTCAGTTGTTAACAACAACAACAACAATAACAACAACAACAACAGCCAGCAATTACTTGGGACTTTAAGGTTTGCAAAGTGTTTTATCTGTTAACTCATCTGATGGAACAGGTAGGTGCTATTATCATCCCCACTTTAGAGATGAGGAAACTGAGGCAGACAGAGATTAAGCGGCATGCCCAGGGTCACACAGCTAGTGTCTGAAATTGAATTTGAACTCAAGTTTTCCTGACTCCGGGGCACTTAGGCAGCACAATCGATAGAATGCTGGGCCTGGAGTCAGGAAGACTCATCTTTTTGAGTTCAAATCTAGCCTCAGAGACTAGCTGTGTGACCCTGGGCAAGTCACTTAACCCTGTTTGCCTCAATTTCCTCATTTGTAAAATGAGCTGGAGAAGGAAATGGCAAATCACTCCAGTATCTCTGCCAAAAACAAAACAAAACAAAACAATTCAAATGGGGTCATGAAGAGTCAGATGCGACTGAAATGACAAATGACTTCAGACCCTGTGCCACCTAGCTGCCTTAGAATGAGCTGCCAAGAACCCTCCCCACTTCTTTGCACACCCCATCTCCTTTAATACATGGTGAACTAGCCATTTAAAAGAACCACGGGGGAATTTTTTTTTCAGATGATCTTTTTTTTCTTATAATCTTGAATCTATGATAGGAATTTCTGCTTTGTAAGTTAGGATTTTCTTGCTCTAGTTTTTTCACAAAGTGGGGCCCACCTGTTGTTAAACCCTCAATGAGAACGAGTTTTAAAGTCTGTTGAGAGCCTTGTCTCTCCTCTTCTATTTAGAAAAGAGGTCAAGCAGAGGCCAGGGTAGGCCCTTGGTGCATTTGAATTTTGGAAATGAATAGCACACCCCTTTTCTTGTTGTTGTTTTACAGCCTTAGAGTGCTTGGAAATCTGTGGCAAGATGCCCACTTTGCTGCCCCAAGGTGCAGGTGGTTTGCAGAGCGGCCAGTTTCCAACAAATCCATCCCCTCCTCAGGCGGGTAGCTGGAGGCTCCTGGCTTGCTTGCTGCCCCTTTTGTCCTCTGCTGGGAACGGCTCATTTTTCCCCAAGTCCCTTGGTGTGGCCTCAGCCCAAGGAGGAGGTTTGGGTTAGTGCCTGAGGTTGGAAGGCAAATTTGTAGCAAGTTTCTCTGATTTCCTGCACGAGGAAGCATGCAGTCCCAGGGGAAGCTCCTGGTCTGTGAAGCCCACAGAATGCAGGAGAGAGGCAAGGAATTATCCAGTCTGTCCACACCCACAGACACACAGCCAGCAGCTAATATGGTATTTTCCTATGCATCTTTTCCTTCCCCCCCAACCCAGCCTAGTTTTTCCTCTGCACTTTCTTACCACCTTTGGGCACTGGGGGAAAGCATGGAGGGTAGAATTGAATTACACTCAGCATTTTACTCTAGAAGCAGTTGCCTATGGTCATTCGAACTCCCTGTTAGAAAGAGCCTCCCAGCTGTGCTGGAAAAAGGAGGAAGGAGATTCAAGATGTGGTGTGTGTGTGCGCGCGTGTGTAGGGGGAGGTTGCACTTGCAGTATGACCCTGACCTTGGGCGGTAGGGGCTGCTCATGTGGGTTTTGACTCTAGAGACAAAACCAGTACCATGAAAGAGTGACCACACTCCCTAGTAGTGGCTACATGTCTAGAAAATACAAACAAAACTTCAGTGGGGCAGATAGTTGCACTAATTTGCTGGGTGGAAGGACGATGAGATGCCTGGATGAAACAAGAGAGGTTACTTTCCACTTAGCATCCCGGGGTACCTTATTTTACAACCCAAATAAGGATCATGGAAAATGGATTACAAAGTTATGGGTCTAGAGCAGGAGTTCTTAACCTAGGGTTCATGAACTTGGTATATAGGTAGGTAGATAGGTAGATAGATAGATAGTTGTATTTTGATGTAATTGGTTTCCTTTTTAATCTTAATGTAATTTAGTTATTACATTTATAAGCATGATTCTGAGAAGGGGGAATTGGCTTCACCAGACTGAATGTCCAAGGGATCCATGAGTCAAAAAGAACTCCTTGTCCCTTGTTAAGAAGTCCTTGTCTAGAAGCAGAAGGCACGTCTAAGGCCATCTAGTCCAACCTCTTCATTTTATGCAAGAGGAAACTGAGGCCCAGTGAGAAGAAGTAATTAGCCCAGGGTCACATGGGAAGGAAGTAGCAGAAGTGGGGTTTGAACTCAAGGTCTTCTGATACGGTCTTCCTATTGGATCATACTGTCTTTCTTAGGTTCTGAAAAGTTTTGGTTAAACAAAATATCTCTAAATTTAATTTGATTTTAAATTCAATGAAGAGATTAGCTATTTAAAGGAATGTTATTGTCTTCAATGAATCCTTATAAATTTTATTCACATACACACACATATGACATACATATTTTTTGTAATGAGAATCTTCACCTATATATTTAGGATGCTAGATCTCGATGATTCTCCTAATAGTTTCTTTAGTAACGTTTCCTCTAGTTATGACAGTCTATTATTGATTTATATTCAGATCACTATTTCTCTATAATTTTGGAAATATATATGTATACATGTACATGTGTGTATATATACATATACATGAAGATATTTAAGGTGAGGCTTGACTCTTCTTTCCCTATTTTGGAATAATAAAAAAGCCACATAATATATATTTGGTACATTGACTTTGGCACTGGATCAGACTCTATCAACACCTGTGAAACACCTAGAAAATACTCTCTTGACTCTGCTTTCTCTCATCCCACTCACTTCTCAGCCTCCTGTGATCTGGTTTCTATCCCCACCACCCTATTGAAATTGTTCTCTCCAAAAGCACTACAAGCTGATCTTGTAATGATAAATCCAATGGCCTTCTCTCAATTCTCATCTTGATCCACTTCTCTGCAATCAGTGTTTAATACTGTTGACCATATCCTCTTTCTGGAAACTCTTTCTTTGGGTTTTTGTGACATTTATCTCTTCTGGTTCTCATACCTTCCTTGGTCACCATCTATATCTCACCTCACTCTGGGTGTGCCCCAGGGTTCTGTCCTGGGCTCTCTTCTCTTTGACTTTTACACACTAATTGTGACATCATCGGCTTCCATGGGTTGAAAATCATTTCTATGCAAATAGCTCCCAGATCTATACACCCAGACTTCCTCTCTCTTCCAAACTCTAATTCCACACATTCAACTGCTTTCTCAGCCTTGTCACTTGGATGTATTATAGGCATCATAAACTCAACAGAGAATTCACAAACCAACAGAACTCATCATCTTTTCCTCTTTTCTTGACTCTCACTTCCTGCCAAGGGCCATCCCATTCTTCCAGTCATGAAAGTTCTACAACCTGGGAGTTATCTCTGATTCTCCTCTCTCACATATTCCACATATCTAACGAGTTGCCAAGTTTTGTTGATTCTATTGCCACCCTAGCTCTCAAATTTCTCCATTCAGATCATAGTAACCACCCTAATTCAGGGCCTCATCTCCTGTCACCTAGACTATTTTGACAGTCTTCTAATTGGTTTCCCTGCTTCTCATCTCTCCCCTGCAGAGGGATCTTTCCATAAAGCTGCAGAAGTGATATTTATAAAGCACAGGCCTGTCCATGTCACTCCCTGCTCGAAAAGTTTCAGTAGCTCCCTATTGACTCTAAGTTGTTGTTCAGTCGTGTCTGACTCTTTATGACCTCTTTATGGGGTTTTCTTGGCAGAGATGCTGGAGTGGTTTGCCACTCCCTTCTCCAGCTCATTTTACAGATGAGGAAACTGAGGCAAGCAGGGTAGAATGACTTGCCCATGGTCACACAGCTAGTAAGTGTTGGGGTTGAATTTGAACTCAGGTCATCCTGACTCCAGGACTGGCACTCCATCCACCAACTAGCTGCCCCATTGTCTGTAAGATTAAATATCAATTCCTATTTGCCATCTAAAGCCCTTCATTTGGTTCCAATTTATCTTTCCAGATTGATTATGAAGTACTCCCTCCCCCCTAACACTCCTCACATATTTTACATTCCAGCCACACAAGTCTACTGGCCATTCTCTGTACGTGACATTTCATTTCTAGTCTCCAGGCCTTTGCAGAGACTGCACCCGTGTCTAGCATGCTCTCTCCTCACCTTTACCTCTCGGAATCACAGGATCCCTTAAAGGCCAAGCTCAAGCATCACCTCCTACATAAGGCAGCTAGGTGGCACTCTAGACTTGGAATAAGGAAGATTGGAATTCAAATCTTGTATGAGACAGTAGTAATATGACCCTGGACAAGTCATTTAACCCCTGTCTGCCTCAGTTTCCTCATCTGTACAATAGGGATAACCCTACTTCACAGGGTTGTTGTGAGGCTATAAATGAAATATTTGTAAAGAATTTTGCAAACTTGAAAGTGCTATTATAAATGTATGTATTGTATACACATTTTATATTTACTTATCTATGTTCCTCTTTGAGGACAGGGACTAGTCCTCTTCCCAGCCCCTAACAGAGTGCCTGGCACATAGCAGGTGCTTAATTAATTACTAAACTAAACTGAAGCAGACATTTACCTTTGTAATTCATCTGGACTATGCAAACAAGTTTCATAATCATCAGATCATCCTTCAACCTTCTCTTTGGCATTGTAGGGATGGTCTTTCTATTTCTTTTCTCCTAGGCATTCTGTAAACTCCTGATGACTTCCAAGTCATTCTGTAAAGCACATATCTCAAATTCACATCAGAATTTGAAATTCATGCCACAAGGTATGAAAGGTATTTTCTGTATTCATTTACTTATGGGTCCTATATGACTATATCAATATACAATCAATGTACAATGTATATTGATATAGTCATATAGGACCCATAAGTAAATGAATACAGCCTTTGGGGATGTTTATAAGATGCTGTATGTGCTTTGCCATGATTACTCTATGAAAGTATTGTTATCTCATTCTTCTTATCTTTTTTAATGGAGTTCAGAAAGAAATGGTCCAAGAAATAGCTGCCATACTATTAATCTTTTATATTTAATGTTCTAGGAACTACTTTGCAGGTGGGTTGACTACCTGCTTTTTGTAATTGAATAAGAGTATTGGGGTTCAGGCTCATCTTCTGTACACTCACTAAAAGCATCTTTGGGACAATTCTAGTAGCAGACAGGATGATGGAGATGATATATACCTCATCCTGTTCCCTCATGGTTTTAATGTCACTAGGTATCTATATTTTGAAAGCTTTTCATTCTAAGTAGTTTGAAGAGTATGAGTATTTGGCATGGTGATATCATTATTATTCCTAAAAAACCCAAACACTTGTAGGATTTAGCCTTTTGGAGGGCCATAGGCCTACTTCCCATGTTTTTCTTCTGATTAGTATAGAAGCTGAGAGGCAGAATCCACTCTCTGTTTACAAGAGTTTACATCAACCATTGGATATGTGTTTATAGGAAACCTGATCTCTTCTTTTTCATTCCCACTTCTCTGAGATTGTTCCTGAAGCCTTATCAAATTTAAAGGTTACTTACCAGCTTTCTGTTCCCCTCCTACACCATTACCACCTCTAAGCTCTGGTTGGGAGCTAGGAGAGAGGCAGACCTGTAACTGAGTGATCTTATTTAACCCCTTACTACTAGAGAGCGGCCCCCAGAGTGCATTTTGAGCAATTGCCAATGTGAGAGAAGTAGCTTTGACTTTTCCCCCCAGAAAGGTCCTAATACCTCAGAGCCTGTGGTTAATTGCTCAAGGGCCATGAGAAATGCTACAGGACTAGGCTGGTTCATTCAGCTGATGGATAGAAGATAAACTCCTTGAGGGTAGAGACTGTCTTATTTTTGTCTTTGTATCTCCAGTATCTCACACATTTAAGAAATGTGTGCTAATTGGCTGAATGGACAGGCAAACTGACCCAGACCCCACTGATCGGCCTGGCTGGAAGCTGCAGTTGGAATAGCCCTTGGAAACAGCTTTCATTCCACTGATGGCATCTACAGTCAGGCTTGGGTAATGGTCATCTCAGCTTTGAAATGCTTATTTCCTATATTATTCTATACTCAAAAGATTTGTCTAGGGGAAGGAAAAGATTTGCAATTATACAACAGTCTTATGCAAATGCCCTTTAATATTCCTAGTAGCCACAGTCTTGCTAGAGAGACCCCCCCCTCCCTCGCCTGCATTTCAAAATTGGATTTCTGATCTCATCTTCAAAATGCTTCAGTGCGTGCTATACTGACTTCTACTGGAATCTTTTCATTGGTTGCTCAGTTAAAAGGCTCATTTCCCCACCTTGTCTTTATTCAGTTCATTCCAGTACAGTACAGATACAGGGCAGAAATATTTATGTGTGGCAACTATTCAGGTATAGGATTTCATTAGGTTAGTAATAAATGAATAGCGCATAAAGAAAAAAATGAGCTAATGGGCGTTAAGAGCTGCTTATTTCTGCTGCTATCTGTAAACTGAAGATAATGGCAATAGTTTTTCAAATTTGCAATTAAACAATCTAAATGTGCTTCAAGTAGCCAGTTATGGCCAAGCAAGGATTAATAAGAAAGTTACTATTCTTTATAAGTTGGATCTGTGCTTTCAATTGGCATAGGGAATTTCCAAAGGAGGAAACGCCTTCTACCAAAGCAGATGGGCATCTGCCCTGCAGCTTCTAGTCTTAGAGAGTTGCCAGGGTTACTGAGTGGTTAAGTGACTTGTCTATGATCACACAGCCAGTATGTGTCAGAGGTGGGATTTGAAGCTGAACTTCCTGATGTCAAGGCTGGCTCTCTCTCCACTAAGCCATGCTACCTCTTAAAAAACAAAACCAAAACAACCTTGGGGCCGCAAGGTGGCACTGCAGTGGATAGAGCACCAGCCCTGGGGTCAAAAGGACCTGGGTTCAAATCTGATCTCAGACACTTACTTGCTTTGTGGCCCTGGCAAGTCACTTAACCCCAACAGCCTCCAAAACAACAGCAACAACAACAAAATCCTCTATTTTATTTATCTATATCATGTTAGCTGTATTTATATATTTTGGAATAAAAATTGGAAAAAAAATCTAGCTAGTTAATCCAGATATTCTCATGCATTCATATGGTGGATATTGTATAGAAAATCTAGAGGATGGTGCCCATGGCTCTGATCTGAGCTAAGAAACAAACAGGGAAGTCACCTCCAAGGCCTAGCCTAACTGACCCTCAGGAGAAAATGCTGCAGCAGGGTAGATACTTTTTTAGGTATGCTGTGGAGGACAGAACCTTGGGTTGGTAGTGACCTGAAGAAAAGGAGATTCTTTCCACAGGAATATAGAAAACCAATACCAGCTGTCCTGGAAAACCTCTCCTGCAGGAGGCTGGTAGAAGTCCCAAACTGGTGCTGAAGGGAGAAAAAATGCTGAAACTATCTATAGGCAGAGGGCCTGGGCTTAGGGCCTGGCTTTGTTCCTTCCAAACTGTGCCACCTTAGACAAATCTTGCTCTGAGCCTCAGTTTCTTTCTCTGGTAACAGGTGGCTAATAATGATACCAGAGGGTAGCTCTGAGGAAAACACTTTGCAGCCCTTAAACACTCTAGAAATGCAAGTTTATCATTATTGTCTGGAGTTTTCATACTTTGCAATGGGATTTATTATTCTTTCTGTAATGGTGTTTGTCTCAACTTTTTCAATGGTTCAGATAGTTCTGAGACAAGTTACTATCCTGGTTTTATTCTTTCATATTTCATTTCCCATGGCTTATTGCACAGGTGGATAAAATAACTGCTTTTTTAGTTATTATCATTATTATTATTATTATTGTTATTATATTGGATTTGTGATTTTATTGGTGTAGGAGGCCCCTGATGAGGCGCTCCCTCTACCAATATAGGTTGGTACCTTCTCTTCAATGTATAGTTTTAAAGAATTGCCTGGGACACTGAGCATTTAAGTGACTTGCCCAGGGTCACATGTATCAGGGAGAGGACTTGAATCCAGGTCTTCCTGATTCCAAGGCCAGCTCTCAATCCACTAAGCCAAGCTACCTTATTATGATTTTATTTGTTGTTTATTATTGTAACAGTCACAGAACACAGGGGACAAAGTCAAAGGCTGGGGTTGCCAACAAAACCTGTCCTAGGCTTTACCACCCTTCCAAGCTGACTACCACCAAGGATGCATCCTCATTTCTTGTTCTAGGGGTGGAGTGAAGGAATGGGGGTAGGAGAGTGAAAGTGGGGACTCCTCTTTCCATAGCTTCCCCCAAGCTTCAGAGGAGCTGTTTAGACAGTTTCATTTATGGCCAAGATATCTATTCCCTAAAAGTTGCCAGGTCCAACTGAGACACTAAAAGCCTTCTCTCGCCTCCAAAAGCAATATTACTCAGGTATGAACTGTTGGAAGGAAAACATCCCAGGAAATGAGACTATGGCAGGAGAATGGTTTCCCACTCACTGGGCATCTGCTGAAATACAAAGGAGGTTTAGTACTTTTAGTGAACCAGTCTCACTTGTATTGACTGAACACGGGCTGTTAGACATTAGCTATGCGTTGTGACTGGGGAAGATTGGCTCTAAGGATTCACCTGATGTTGCTCTGTTGGTCAGACGACATTCCATCGCCCACTGTCTGTTGCCAGTGAATTTACTGTTACTCTTTGGCCTCTGAGCCCGTCCCCCAAAGGACGGCTGCTGGGAACCACTGAAAAGACAGAAAATCACTTGCCACTCGCTGGCATTCAAAAAGGGAAAAAGCACAACTTAAGTTATAGACCAATGACCAGCTTTCACAGATTGATCACAGATTGAGAAAGGTGATTGTATGTGTTCATGGGAGTGAAGCACATGTGTCAGCTTGTGCATATATGCAGATGTGTTTGTGTATGTATAGATCATGGATATATCACTAAAAGGAATACTGGTTTGCATTCCCAATTCAAAGTAACATTCCTAAATTTCAGATTTTGTCCCAAATATTTCATCTTACTTAGAATTGAGAGTTTCTTGATTGTGGCTATGGGAAAAGGTGGCTAGTTATAGCTTACCCCCCCCCCCCATAGCTTACAAACTGTATTTAGTTCTAGGAAGCCCTAGACCATTTATCTGAATATAATATTTAGGCAATTTGATTACCTAGGTAGTAGTACTTAATATCATATCAAATGAACAAGTGAATAAAAAGTAAAATAAGAAAGATTTTTTTTTGTCCTGACTTTATAGGTTAACTCCTCTTAAGGAAACATAGTTTGGGGTCTGGGGATAGTGTGGCCCAACAAGATGCAAGGTTGGCCTTGGTGTCAGGATGATCTCAGTTTAAGCCTTGCCTCTGGCTAATGCCACCCTGTGTGACCCTGAATCTCCACAATTTTTACATGTCCCAGGCAGCCCTCTTCTACTATAAAACTTCAGTTGTCTTAGTAGAAGGAGTTTTCACACTGGGAAATTCCTGCACAAACGAATTCAGAGATCTGCTCCCTCCCTCCAAAAAAAAAAAAGCAAATAAAGTTACTAAAGAGAGGGTGATCCCTCTAGTAGTGGAGAGGCAGTAGGGCCTAGTGGATAGAGCTTGGACCTAGATTTGGGAAAAGTTGCCTCTTGCACTTTCCTTATAATCACTGGCAAATCCCATAATCTCTCAGGGTCAGTTTCCTCATCTGTCAAAAAAGGACATTATTATGTATAGTTTCCATGTCTCATGTTTATTCTAAGAATCTTCCAAAATAATCCATGGAAAGCATTTTGCAGACCTTAAAGGGCTTCTCTATTTTTTTTGAAGGGAGTACTCACATATTAAGAGCTAGCATTTACGTAGTGCTTTGTAGTTTGCAAAGCACTTTAATCCCCACAACAACCCTGTGAGGTGGGTGCTATCATCTCTGTTTTACAAATGAGGAAACTGAGGCACAGAGAGGTTAAATGACTGGCCCAGGGTCACACACCTATTAAGTGTTTAAGGCAGGATTTGGAATTCCAGTTTTCTTGACTCCACTGTGCCACCAGCTCCCTCCCACATCTATAAGATCAAAGAGCCATAAGAACACTGAAGAATTACTAGGACAGGCCAGTGCTTCCAAGCTGCCCAGTGGCTCAAGGTCTCCTTTGCTGTAGGGATAGCAATTGTCTCATGTAGACCTTGCACACACCAGAAGCCCACATGCTGGTTTTTCCGGAAACTTCTATTCATAATCTCACTTTGTGCAATAGTTGGTTTCCTGAAAAGTTATTTGTGTAATAACTTCTGTAAACTAGATACTATTTTAAATGCCCTAAGGGTTCTCTCCTTGGCTTTCTCATAGGATTCTGTGCCGGCTTCTCCTTTGGCCCCTTCCAATTCTGTTTTGTAGTAGTTACTTGTGTCTTCCCTAGACTGGAGACTCCTTGAGAACAGAGACAAGGGTAAATTGGGGCTCTGGCTCTCTAGCCTAGCACACAGTAGATACTTAATAAATGTGTCCCCATTGAATTAGATTGAACTGAATAGATGAATCCTCTATTGAAAGGTTCACATCCCATGAGCTTTGGTAGATTGGAGCACTAGGCACCTCTTGGTCTGTAAAGTTGGGTTTTTTGTTGGCTTCCCTCCCCTATGCTCTATATAGCTTCTGCCCTCCATGACTGCTCCCTTTCCAGAAGGGGATCTATGACTCTAAGACTAATCATCCAATGGGAGAATTTGTCTTATAGTAAGAGCATTGTGCTCTTCATGTCAGACCAGACAGACCTTGGTGTGTACAGTGAAGTATACAGTACCAAAAGTGCTGCAAAGAAAGGTAGGCCAGGAGCAAAAATGAAGCACCCCAATAAAAAAGACCCAGAAATACCAAGATATCAAGACCCAAGATATCATCTTGAATCCTGGAATGTTCCTTGGAGCTTTTGGCCTGATTCTGCCTTTTTGTCTCCCCTGTCTCTTTGATGACATTTCCTCCTGACGTGAGAGGATGTTTTGTGTGTGTTGAATGTGTGGTGTTTGCCGAACAATCCACTCTGAAGCTCTACCTGTGTCTCTATGTAGGGGACATTTGGTTCAAGGTATCTCCCTGTCACTGCAGTCACCTTTAAAATGGTTAATTCTGGCCAACCCTGATCATAGCAAACCAAAGTGATGTGGGAGTTTGCCTGGGCTTCCAAGTCACACGGTCAATGGGGAAAGGGGAAGGCTTTGGGGCCAAACTGTCAACTAGCTCAAGTTCGGAAATTTGGCTGCCTCAGATGTGGGTAAAACACATTTTCAAAAAACTTTCAAAAGAAATCATTTCAACTGTGGTTACAGTATGCAGGCCAAAGAAGACTGGGGGCATTCCGAACATTCTGGGTTTGACTTCAATCGGAGAGAGTCTGGAACCACTGAGGCTGGCTTCAGTTTTCCAAAGGGCCATAAATAAATCACTAGGGGCTTGAACACAGAGCGCAGAGGTACTTACATTGGATGGCGGCGAGCCTGGTTGATGATATCCTTGCTGCGGAATCTTGAGGTCGTTCTTTCTGGGACCTTAAAGATATAACCAAATATTTCAGTGCAATTCTCTACCATTGGGAATCCGAGGCATTAATTTCAGGATGACTGGTAAACTAAAGTACATGTAGACTTTATAAATCAGATGAGAGGAAGAGTGGTACAATGGAAAGAAGGCTGGATTTGTAGTGAGAGGATCTGGGTTCAAATCTCACCTCCATTACTTCATGTGTATCCTTGGACAAGTCCCTTCCCCTTCCTGGGCCCCAGTTCCTTCTTCTGTAAGTTTGAGGTCCCTTTCTGCTCTAGAGCTATGAGTCCACAATGCTGACTTCCCATTCAGTGTTCTTTTCATAATACAGCACTGTCTCTTAGGTCAAGACCAGAGTCCTCCTCCAGGGAGGGGATAGCATAGCATGTAGAGCTGGACGGGGCTTTAGGACTCTCCTAATAAAACCCTCTCATTTTAAAGAGGATGAAACTTGGTTGCAGAGGGGATCAAGTTCCTCAGGCTCACACAGAAGGAAAGCCAGCACTCCAACCCAGGGCCTTGGCCTTCACATCTACTCTATGCCACAGTTGACCTTCAGGTCCTCTAACCTCAGCTAATAGTACTTTTGGTATCCTTGGCTCATGTCAGGTCATTCTCCCCTCATTCTTTGCTCCGTGCCTCTGTTCTGGGAAGCCTGTTCCCCTTCTTTGTATCCCTCCCTTTCAAAACCTACCTATTTTTGAAACATGGGTACAAGATACGTCTCTTCCATGAAATGTCCTCTCCTATAACACGAGGGGCTTCATTCATTTTCTTTCTTTCTTTCTTTCTTTCTTTCTTTCTTTCTTTCTTTCTTTCTTTCTTTCTTTCTTTCTTTCTTTCTTTCTTTCTGGCAATTGGGGTTAAGTGACCTGCCTAGGGTCACACAGCTAGTAAGTGTCAAGGGTTTTATCTGAGGCTGGATTTGAACTCAGGTCTTTCTGACTTAAGGGCTGGTGCTCTATCTACTACACCACCTAGCTGCCCTGGCTTCATGCTTTCTAAAGAGCCTTCCAGCTCCAACAATATGTGATTCAGGGAATCCATAAAGCCTTCTCCACAAGCTCTAACCCATAGGGAACACTCCTTTAACTGATGTCCCATAGCTCTTAGGGCCTGGACCACAGGTGAATCCTTGGTTCTTTTGTGTAGAATTGTCACATACATGTGTAAATCTTCTCTTCCCAACAACACTGGAGGTTCTATACTCGTTCCACAAAGCTTACGTCATCTAGCACAGTATAACATACAGGGACCCTCAAGAAATTCTCATGGATACTTCCTTCTTCAGTAGAAGAGGGAGACTATAAGTGTTGAATGCTAAGAAATGGGAGACAGGTTGTTTTGCTTAACTATTTCTTTCATGGTTGCAAAGGAGGGCTCTATTAGTAAAAAAAAAATGTGGTATATTAAAAAAAAAAGACAAAAGCTATCACTTTACATACAGAATTCAGAGTGTTCCAATGGTACCCCAGTGATGTCAAGAGAAAGAGAGGAAAGCCTCTAGCATGTTGGTTGGACATGTGGAAGGATATGGACAAGTGTGGCCCAGAATGGGCAGACATGGACAAAGTGAGATCTGGATCAGTAGAAAGGAATACCAGATATCTACAGTACTTCCCCCCTCCTCCCCGCCCCAGAAGCTAAAGCAGAACTGGACATTTTCCCTCACTTTCTTTATCTGTCATCCAGATTAATATGAAAGGGAATTAAATAATCACTGAGAAGAAGTGGTACCTTTGGAGGCTGATCTTCAACTGGGTACTTGCTCCAAAAGACATCATCTTGCACTGAGGTTTTAGGCCTGATGGCCACGTCCGAGAGGGAGTAGCTGTGGTGGTTGTCTTTACTCAGCCGGAGATTCTCATTCTTGAAATATACCAAAATATAGGGGACACAGATATATATCATCACAGACTCAGTCACCATCCGGTAACCTCTTTAGTCTAAGATCATGTCATAAATCTCATGGTACTTTTTAAAAAGCCCTGAAAACAAACATGTCATTCCTTAACATACAACAAAATACCTAATTCCTGAACTCAAGCAGATGTTAGACAGCATGTCTATCTTAAAGGGAATTTCTTTGGAGGAAATAAATTAAATTCAAATGTGAACACTCTAGTGAAACTAAGATTCCCCTGACACTGAAATAACAATGCTGACTTTAGCATGCCCCATTTCGAAAGTGCTTCACAGTTAGGAGCCCTGAGGGGAGGACCATAGAGAGATGTCCAATGTGGACAGCTCCTGTTTTACCCAATGGCAAACCAATGAAAGGAGTGAGCACTCCAGTCATTCAAGGTTGGAGTTAAGCCTCCTGATTAGGATCTGCTTCCCAGTTTGAGCCTCAAAGATTGCAGGATTTAAAAAAACCAAACAAAACAAACAAAAAGATTGCAGGATTTAGGAAGGTGGAGAAAGAGAACATTCTGCACAGAATTCAATATTTCCAATGGCTACAGCTAAGCAAAGAGGGAATGTGGTATAGTGACTAGAGGGCTATCTTTGGAGCCCAAAAGATTCAGATTCAAGGCCCAGGCTGTGTGACCATGAGCAAGCTACTTAACTTCCTCTCAGTACTCCAAGTTACTCGCTAAGACTAGAAGTTGCAGAGCAGGCAACACATGAACGGCATTGGTAGAGGAAGTCTCCTACACCAAAGAAATCAGGGGTCAGACCACAAAAAAATTCAGTAACTTAAATCAAGGCACAGGAGGCACGCTCATCAAATTCATCGGTGACACAAAGCTGAAAAGAATGACTAACACAGCAGGTAATGGAGTCAGGCTCTGAGAAGATCTCAACAGACTAGAACACTGGGCTAAACCTAAGATGATGAAATGAAATCGGGAGAAATGCAAGGTCTTACACTTGGGTTCAAAAAATCAGTTTCAGCTTGTTTTAAGGAGAAACTTCCTACAGGGTACTGGAAAGAGTACAGGATTGGGATTCAGAGGATCAGGGTTGGACTCTTGGGTAAGGACAATGACCATTTGTGTTCTTGAGCAAATCACTTAATATCTTTGGGCTTAAATGATAAGGTTGGATTTTAAGGTCCCTTCCAGCTCTTAACCTGTGATTCTATGAATTAGTTATCCAAAAAATGGCACCTCAGAGGGTAGTGGGTTCCCCCTCACTGGAGGTCTCTAAGCAATGACTAGATGACCACTTGTGAGGTAGAGTGATAGCCAGGGGGTTCTGGTTCAGGTGAAGATTGGGCTAGATTGCTTCTGAGGCTCTTTCCAGCTCTTGAGATTTGAGGACAAGAATATAATGGCCCTTTTCAGAATTCATCCTCCTTGACCTTTCCACAGCTTTTGATAGTATTGATTACTTTCCCTTTTCTGGACACTCTTTCCTCCCTTGACTTCCCTGACATTGCTTCCTTCTGGTTCTCCTTCTACCTGACTATTCCTACTCTTTCTCCTTTGCTACATTATTATACATCTTCTGCCTCTTTAATGTGAGTTTCCCCTGGGGCTTTGTTCTGGTCTCTGTCTATCTCTGTTTCTGTCTCTCCTATAAGGTCTCTTTAACTTTTATGGTTTCAAACATCATCTCTAAGTGAACCCTATATATCTAGTTGTAATCTCTCTCCTGAACTCCAGTCTCAAATCTGCCTGCTGTACATCTGCAGCCACAAAAATGGAAACTCTATATATCCAAAATGTAACTTAATCTCTTTCCCCTTCAATTCACCCCTCATCAAAATTAGCTGTTTGAATGTAGTCAGACCTTTGACAGAACAAAGATAAGGATGAGAATATTATTTATTATAAAAACTCTCATCTGATATCTTAAAACTAACTGTAAAGACAACTATGTTTATCACCATTTTGAGAAAAGTGAGACCAGTAGCCCCCACAACAAGGAGGTTCAACATGTCCAGAAACTGCCTTAGATATCATTTGCTGCATGGCCAAGTTAGAGACAGGACAGCCAAGATCAACAGCCACTTAAAATATTGGTTCATTTGTAAAACATCATGAAGAAGGACAGAAGAATAGGAGACGTACTGCCTCACAAAACTTTGAAAAGCAGGAAAGGCAAACAAGTCTGCAGAAAGCTGACCCAGCTGACTCAGATCACCCCAAGAACATCTATGTATGAAACTGGAAGAACAACAAATAGATGCTAGATGGAACAGATCTGCCAGCATTTCTATTTTCATCATCAATGACAATGGGACTTTTATATTTGGACTCTATTGTAGCATATGTGGTATGCCTCAGTACCCAACATGTTATATGTGGAAATGGAAATGGCAGTAGAGAAAACAGAATAAGGAAAAAGTGCAGGTCTTGAATAAACACACACAGACAATCCTGGGTGAAAATGAAACAATTTTAAAAGCACTCTGGGATCAATTTTCAAGATATTTTAAAGACAGAAAATTTCTAAAAGAATGTTTCACTTTAAAATTGTTGTTAGTAATGATAAGCTCAGAATTTGAGCTGAGGTAACACTCTAGATAGACATTCAATCTACAAAGACATAGATTCACCCCAAATGGCATTCTGAGTTGGGAAGTCAACAAAGAGGTGTCTGTTCCCAAACATCTGGAGGACTATGTGGATTTGTCACTTTGAATTTAGATGTTTTGGTGTCACAGAAACAAAACTAGTGAACACAAGACCTGCCTACCAACTCTTCTTTTTCATCTCCTCCCACCAAAACCAAAAATAACTCCTCCCCCCACAATTACTACCATAGAAAGAAAGAAAAGGAACAATCACCATTATTTTAAGAGTTCAAATGAGCTATCTCTAGGGGAAAAGGGAAAAAATTCTTTTAATGGACCTGACTCTAAAGAAAAATCATGCAATGGAAACCAAGAAAAGGAGTATCCAATTAAAAGGCATCAAGCATTTGGGCGATGTTGGAAACAACTATTGTCTTACTGCAAATATGGAGAAGTGAGAGAGTGAGTGATGCAGATCTCTTTCTCCCTCCTCCTTTCCCACCTCCAAAGCCCTTCCTTTAGTAACTGAGGAATGTTAATCATCTTACTGATAAGGAAAGGTCATCTTACCTTTGTTATTCCTGTCCTCTGCAAAGCTGGTGTACAAGGACTAGAGCTACTGCCAGATATCACCCGAGTATGGGGAGGAGAGTCGTGGGCAAGGGCAAGGGTCCAATTCAAAGGTGTCTGGGAACCCTCAGATTTCTTTGTGTTAATGTTCATCTGAAAAACAAAATGGGAAAGTGGGAATGAGGGCAAATACATGGTGTTCCAAATATGGTATCTCTTACTTTTCTTATTCAGAAACTCAAAGAATTAAATTATAACTAAGATAAGATGCCCTAGAAGACCAGACATGCCAGTATTAAACATACACTCTGAACCAGATGCTTGGGTTTATGCCTGGACCAGGACATCTGTGAGTACACAGATGATATTAGTCAGAAACCAGTGTTTCTGATATGGGCCTCTGATGTGGTCATGGGAGCAATGGGGTCTCTCTGCTCAAGGCCACAGACACAGTACCTTCCTCCCTAAGAGGAAGGGTACCTCAGTACTTTATTAAAAATATATTTGGTAGCCAAATCATGGCAAGCTCTATATGACCTACTTCCAATTAACTGATGGGAATTACCATCTGTCAATCTAAAGTTCTATCTGCCTCCTAAAATCTCTATTAGGAAGATAACACATAATGTCCAAAACTCTGTCCTGGGGCTATTTAGCAAATTCTCCTCATCAAAACAGACTACAGCCCTCCTATGATGTGGTAGCTTTCCCCAGTTTTGATCTCTCTACTGATGGAAAAATGCTAAGACCCCAAATGCTTTATCTTAAGACAGGAACCAAAGGTAAGATTGGCCTAAGCCCAAACTCTCATTGAGTGCCATGGAAAATATCAGTGGTTCAGCTAAGGACTACATTATAATGCCCTTCATCCCTCATAGTCACATACCAATGGGGGTTCAAAACTCATGGAGTAAAGGAAACATATATGCCATTCGAATCAACTAACAAACATTTATTAAGGGTCTACTATGTGCCAGGTGCTATGCTAAGTGTTGGGACTATAAAGACAAAAATGCTCAAGGAGCTTATATTCTAGTGGTGGAGAAAATATTCATGCACATTTGTGCATATACAAAACAGATATTACTAGAAAGTATTAACAGGTTGGGGTACTCAGGAAAGGCCTCATGAAGAAAGTGATGCTTGAGCTGTATATTGACAGAAACTAGGGATCCCAAGAGGTGGAGATCAGAGTTGGAGATAGGGAATGCATTCTAGGCCCAAGGGGCAGCTAGTGCAAAGACATGAAGACATAAGATAGAACATTGTATGAGAGCTACAGCAAGAAAACCAGTATGGTTGCACCAAAGAGTATGTGAAAGAGAACAATGTGTAAGAAGACTGGAAAGGTAGGAAGGGGTCAGGTTGTGAAGAGCTTGAAATACCAAACAGAGGACTTTTTATTTTATCCTGAAGGTAATAGGAAGTCGGTGGAGTTTATTGAGTAGGGGATAGGAGTTTAACATGGTCAAACCTGAACTTTCAGAAAATCACTTTGGCAACTGAGTGGTTGAAAGTTAGAAATGACAAGTGATCTGGCAAGTCAATGGATATGGGAAATGAATGTGTGAGAAGTTGAGAAGGACACTGAGACTGTAGAGCAGTCTGAGCTATGAGTAGCATGTATACAACTCATGATAGCAGGGATTTGGTACACACCAGGTACTGAGAAGGCAGGGTTCTATATCAAGCCAAATCTTCCAAAAGCATCCTTACAATCAGTGTTCTGAAACTATCACACTAGTGCATGATAACTAGCAAGGGAGTCAGGTTTCCCCAGCAAGTCTAATAGATGATGAACACCTAAATGATTGCCAGGAGAGATACAGTCACCATCTGGACTGAGGAACAGCAAGTTTCTTTCTTGTAATATCTGGGTCCTTTAGCTATGTCAGCACCATGGCCAGCAGTTTGTTGGCACTTGAGATTCTGACTGACACATGGTATTGTACTAGGTCACTGCTACTTTTTGGAAACTTAACAATGACAATAATTCTCCAGAAACAAGGAAAGAAGCAACCTGGGAAAGAACAGTTCAGAGCAGTTATATGTGTCTTCTAGAGATGAAGGATTTTAAAGTAACCATTTAATTTTCTGAGGAAAGAGAAGAGAAAGAAAGAAGTGGAAAAATAACTAAATAAATAAAAGAAAGAAAAATGAATAATTTAAGTAAAATCAAAGAACTACAGAAAGTGTAGGCAAACAGGAGTGGGGGAAGGGAAGAAACTGTGGGAACAGATCAACATTGAAGTAGTTCAAGAAAAATTAATCACAAGGACAGAGTACTGACATTAACTGGAAGGGGATTTCAAAAAAGCAATACTAATGAAACAAATGTAGGAAAACACAAGCATAACCAACATAAATTTAAGAATAAATGGATTAAACTATCCAATAAAATGAAAAAAATGACAGAATGGATAAGAAAAAAAACTTCAACAATTGATCACATAGAAAGGACACAAGTAAAAAAGTAAAGACATACTGAATCAAAATCAGAGACACATAGATTAAAGTCCACCCTGCTGACTGGTAGGGAATGACAATTATAGTTACTGGGGAAATATTGATAAGCAACTTTATGTTAATTATCGCAATGCTCTGTAATATGAACATACTTGCCCCCTGACTGAATGAATTTGCTTTGCACACTTATGCAAAGACCTAAGTGAATTCTAACAGCTAGACACAAACAGGATACATTTTCAATAGTTGGGGGCAGAGTCATAAGTGATCAGTGATCCTAGAACTCAGGAATAACAGGAAGAAACTAGTGTTGGGAAGGTTATAGTGTGTCCTTGTTGACAGCAGGTCCTACTCAGAGAGAGAGGAATGGTAACATGTGGAAGGCTGTCTCACTGAGTTGGGTGAACTCTATCATATATAGTTCAGACATCTTAGAAGCATGGACAGGAGAAGAAGCCTGAGGTTGGGGATGGGGGTGGAGTGGAAGAGAACTTCTGAAAAATGTGACCCTTGCCTATTAGTGAATTCTGTTTAGCTTTGATCCTTCAATAGATCTCTACTCTCATAAATGTGGTGATGCATTCCAGTGGTCTAGAGCAGAGGTGTCAAACTTGCAGCATGCAAAACTCCCCAGTGTGGCAGAACCAAATTAAAATGTTACTGAGAGATGTTTAATAAATAAAAATACAACACAATATAGATAATGTTAATTTGTAGTATTCTAAGTCAATATACGGCCTGCAGGGATCTGTTCCTATTTGAGTTTTATACTAATGATCTAGATCAGCTGTTGGAAAACTATGGTCATCCAACCTTCAGCTCATGAGCTAAAAATGTTTTTTTCCATTTTTTAAAATAAAGTTTTATTGTGAAGTTCACAGGCCTTCCAAAAATAGGCAGCTAGTGGATTTGACTCTCAGGCTATAGTTTGCCAGTCTCTGGGATCACCATCCATCCATGTCCTCTTATCTATATCCTCCCATCAGTCTTTCCTAGGTGACCCATCCAATATGCCAAAGGCCTGTAGTGCAGTGGAAAGAGCACTGGCTCTGGAGTTGGAAGGCCTGAGTTCAAATCTTGCCTGTGATGTTAACTGCCAGTGTGACTCTGGGCAAATCACTTCACCTCTTTGTGTCTCAGTTTCCTCCTCTGCAAAATGATGGGGTTGGATGAGATGGCCTCTGAGGTTCTTTCCAGCATTGAAATCTGGGATCTTTTTGACATTCTGTAGATAGCTTTATACACAAACGAAATTTTGCAATATATTCCACTGCCTCTACAAAGTGGATATTTATAAAATATAGGCCAGAAACCAAGATGGATAATTACCCTCACAGTTTGATAGTCATTCCTCCTCAGGGTCAGTCACTGCTGAATAGACTGGACTGAACTATGTTTTCTCTTTAAAACATAACAAAAGCCTCAAATAGTCCAACCATCCTTATCTCATTGATACTGATTAGCTCAGACTGAGGGTTAAGACAGACCATCCCTGTATCACTGACTCCACCCATTTTGCAGACAACTTGCTTTTAAGGTCACAGGCAATGTTTTAAAAATAAATATTGATTTCTAAATGAGAAAACTTGGATTTTTTTTCCAATTCTTTCTTGAGTCAAAACCTTCCTGAGACAGAGCATGTGCTCAGTAATAGGCTATGCTTCAATTAGAATGACATTTTCTTTTTTATCAAGATCCATGGGCCCTGGGACTTAGGCTTCTCTGTATTATTCTGGCATCATCTATTTTCGGTTCAGGGTATTTTTTTCAGCTGATGAATAAATCCATAATTTCTATAGTATGACCTGATAGCTACATTCAAATCTTTGATAAAGAAAAGTTCAACATAAAAAAAAAAATCTAGGGCTTATGTTCTGATAACCACAAAGGTGTGATCACTCCTGTCTTGCAGAAAAGTTGCTAGCTGTAGGATGTGGTTTTTTCCTAGGCACTGGCTTGCCAAGTCTGTCTGCACATAGCATCATATAGCTGGAAGATACCTCAGAGGTCATTAAGCCCAACACCCCCTTTTTACAGAGGAAGAAAGTGAGGCCTAGAGAAGTGAAGTGATTTGCAAAAGGTCACATAGGTCAGAAGTGCTAAGAGCCAGGATTCAAACCCAGGTCCTCAGAATCCAAAGCCAGCTCTCTTTCCATTGCACCACACAACCTCTTGACATGCCAGGAAACAGCTGGATGAGAAACAAAATAATGCAGCTAATCATCCAGATGTTTTGGCAATCACTTATCTCTAAACCTATCCAGATGTTTAGCCGTCAAACATCTGGATGGCCGCCTGAGTTTTTCACTTTTCATCCTGGTGTTTGGCATTGGACAGTCCCAGCCTAAGCCTCTTTATTTATGTTCAGGGAGTTGATTTCTCAGAAAATTGTTGACCCTGGGAAGTAGATGCAAAAAAGAATATAAAGGCAGAGATGTTTTGTGATGAACTCAACTGGTTACAAAATTCCCAGAAAAGATTACAGATAGAAACAAGAAAGATAATCCCTATTTTGGACAGGCAGCATTTTGTCTTAGAAAAGGGAAAAAAATATGTGTGTGTGTATGCGTATATATATATATATATATATATATATATATATATATATATATGCATACACACACACACATATATGTCAATGAACACATATGTATAGAGGCCCTTAATGCTTTCGGTTTCTTTCCCCTCCTCATTCATTCCAAGCTTCTCTGAGAAATAGTTAACATTCTAAAAAAAACCCCAAGAATAACAACAACGAATGTATGTAAAACCCAGGTGACTTTGAACCAAGCAGGCACAGTTGATCTCTTAGCTGAGTGATCAGATCTGGGTGATCTGACCATTTGCTCTTGAGCAGGGTGAGAAGATGACTGTCACAACCAGGTGTTATTACATGAGACCAAGAGCAAACGCACCATTGAATAAGACTTCAAGGAAGATGCAGTGTCCCCTTTTGGTAAAACAAACTCTTCTGCCAGTGGTCAGAATTTATAGAGCAATAATCATCATTCACTTTAAAGGACTCTTTTAATATTGCTGGGCAAGTATGTAATGGAGATTTGCCGGTGGAAGACTTCATAGCAACAGTGACTAAGGAAAAGAAGGCAATCACCTGGGGCCCTGATGTTGATCAGTAATAACAAGGTAAAAGCAAGTTTTCTGACACATCATCAACATGTGACCATACTTGTACACGGGGAGGGATGTGCAGACAGTGTAGTCGCTGAATTCACATACTTTAGCTGGTCCACTGCCCTTATGATATTTTTGACAGATGGTTATCTAGGATTAGGAATTCAGGCCATGCTATATCTCTTGCACAAGAACAGAACCTATCGTTAACATCATGTTCTAATTGACTGAGCTAATAGAATTTTGAATTTTAGATCTCATCTTCCTTCCATGCTACTGAGCTCTACCCTCCACCTCTGACCCAGAATCCAAGCACCTGACATTCAAGCACCCAACTTGGGGCCCTAAAATTATGATTGCTGAGAATTCACCATATCTAGATGCCCTCAGATCTATCACACTGCATTCTGGCCATCTGTCTTCCATTCATGTACCTCCTCCCTGTTCAATTCACATAAACACATTCCTAGAAAGGGTGTTCAAATCTATGGCTCCATTTGCTATCTCTGATGTTTTCTGGCCACCATTCCCCCATATGAATGATCTTCCCTTATTAAAATATGAATTATCTTTCCCTATTAAAATGCAAACTCCCTAATGGAAGGGACTGTCTCAGTTTCGTCCTAGCAACCAGCACAGTGTCTGGAACATAGTAAATACTTAATAAATAAATACTTGTTTCCTCTCTCCCCCTCCCTTCTCTCTTCCTCTCTTCTATCCTTTTTCTTTCCTTCCCTCTCTCCCTTCTTCCTTTCCTTTCTTCCTTCTTTCCATAAGCCTATTACTAAAGACAAGAAAGAAACATAGTGGGAAATGGCTGCAACCCAGACCCTTCAACAGTGGTTCTCAAAGGGTGTGCCATGAAACTCCATTTCACAGACTGAAACTTCCCTAGTCTCTGCCCCTAGCGGTGCCTTCAGATTTGGCATCAGTAGGGTCACAATAGTAGCTCTATTAGAGGAGACACAAAACCCCTTCCTCTGCCAGGAGTCCTGGTATGGAGGAGGGGAAGGAAAACCAGAGGAATTTCAAGGCTGGAGTAATGGGTCTGTAGACCCAGTTTTCCTAGAAGTCTTCTGTTGCCAATTTAAATGTTTCAATGTGTCATGATTCCTTACGGCAATGAATACTATGCTGTAAGCAAAAAAAGTTTGAGAACCACTGCCCTACTATGACTTAGACACCCCAGGAGCATAGCAAGAAAAGATTAGGGGAGGGAAATGAATTGTAGCTGTGCTCCTAGCCTTCTAAAAAGTGAAAACCAAGATCACTTATTTTTAAAAAGTCACTAAAACATAGGAATAAATGAACCTTTCCTTAATATGATTTATATAAAAATAAAAACTAACATTATCTGTAATAAAGGAAACACTAGAATCTTTTCCAATAAAATCAGAGGTAAAGCAAGAATGTCCACTGTTATCACTATTATTTGATTTAGTTCTAGAAATGCTAGCATCAGCAATTAGACCAGAAAAAGAAATTGAAGGAATAAGCATAGGCAAAGAGGAGGCAAGATTATCTCTATTTGCAGATGATATGATTATTAATTTAAGTAACAGTGTAATTTTTCATCATATTGGCATGGCTCAACCATGATCAATGAATATTTCTCAAATTATTTGTTTTCCATTATTTCTAAAAAACAATGTTTTATAACTGTATTTAGCTAAGTTCTAAGTGTGTCTTGATGAGGTTAACTCCCAGATATTTTACGCATTCTGTAGTTACTTTGAATGGAATTCCTTTTTCTCCTTATGCTGGGTTTTTATTTGTAATAATAAAAAAGGTCAATGATTTTTGTGAGTTTATTCTGTAACCAGTTACTTTACTAAAGTTATGAAAATTAAAACAACTCTGGGTTTTTGTCTCACACCCATTAGATTGACAAAGATGGCAAAATTTAAACATTGAAGGGCTTTGGGGAAGATAGGTACATCAATATACTATCACTAAAACTGTAGGACAGTCCAATTCCAATTTTGAATTACATTAGAAAAGTCACTAAATAGAACAGACCCTTTCATCCAACAATATTTTTACTAGGCATATATCTTAAAAAAGGATCATAGACAAAAGGAAGGACTTCATATATGCAAAATATTTCTAGCAGAACTCTTCGTGGTAGCAAAGAATTGTAAACAGAGTGGGTACAAATTGAAGTCTATCTCCTTTTCAACAGAGAAGTAAAAGAACATAGGTACAGAATGAGGAATATATTATCAGATATATTGATTTCTCTTGGGTAGCTGTACTTTTTTTTCTTATAAAGGAAGGTTCTATGAGAGAGTGGGCCAGGAATCTTTGAAAAGTGATAGTTATAGTATTAAGAAGAGTATCAATAAAACCTTTTTAAAAAAGTGAAAGCCAAGCATTGACAGCCCATTCCCTACTCCAGCTTCAAGTGGAAAATTATAAAGAATAACTTCTAAGAAAACCAGAAAAACAAATGAACCAAGGGGAGCTAGGCAGATTTTGTCAATACTCAACAGAAGAAAGGACCCTTATAACTTTTTTGCTGCCGTGAAAAAGTCAATCAGGAGATTGGAGAATCAGTGTGAGCTTTTTTATGAGGACAGAAAACTGGGTGAGGGGACTGAAAAATGATGCTTGCTTGATTCACCATGAACTCTCTTAATGTACTGTGAACCATGGAATGAGCACTCCTGAGTTCTAGCTCCATGGCTGTGCCCTACGGCAGGTGCATGGGGAAACCCAGCTGATAGGGGCACTGGGCTCTATATCTCAGAGAAGATACACATGGCCATGGATGTCCAAGCGGAAGTTCAAGGATGGTATTATTTCAGGAGATGATGTATGGATAACTAGATGCATTGTTTTATCTATATATTTAACTTGCTGGGAAAGTTGTACTATTTCACCCAGAACAATTTTACCTCTTTCTTTGGGCTGCTTGGGGAGGAATCCGGAGTCTTTTTCAAAGCCTTTGGAGACTCTTTGTTCTGTGGCTTATGATCATATTGTAGAGATAACAGCTGAGTTTGATCTTTAGGAAGGGTCCGATGAAATTTTTTGACATATGGAGCATCTTCTGGTTTTCTCTTTAAAAAAAAAAAAAGGATAAAATTAATATGTTAAATTAACAATTCCAAAGGCAAATATCAATGGTCACTCCTTCATCCATAGAGATAATGTATTTCAATCCTCTAAATACTTTCCAAGTATGAAAAATTGTTCTCTATATTACTCACAAACCCCAACTTCCTGTGCTATTTAGCAAGCTTTCATCCTATTCCTCAGTTTGGTTTCATAGCTGCATCAAGAGCTCTCTAAGATTGTGCTACAAGAATGTTCTACTTTCTCCTAAACCAGAGACTTAACTGAATGCAGGAGTTTGGGAGAGCTTCTGATTGCCCATTTGAATCAGGCAATTGCTTGCCTTTTTAATACAAAGAACCTGAAGATCAGCTCTGAGAAACAATATTGGAGTGACCTTCCATATTGATTGAAACAAGGTGGTGAGAGACAGAAGGAAGAGAGAAAAGCTGTACTGTGGCCAGGGCTGGAACTTAGAGAGGTGGTCACAAATCCCTACTTTGGGGCTCTCCCTTGGCTATACCTCATGTTCCTCGGACCAGGATGGCACTTCCCTAAATAGCTAGAAAAACTTCTTGGGAAATGTCTGGAGTGAAAATTCGTCCTAGGCACTAGACTTGATTCAAATGGACAATCTGAAATCTGAAGACCTAGCTTTGAGATCTGGCTTTGCCCCCTTCCTAACTGTGTGGTCTTGGTCAAATCACTTCTCTGAATTTGTTTTCTCATCTGTAAATATAAGAAATAATACTTGTGATAACTCCTGAAGCTGAGGCAGGCTCTCTAACCACTACCCCATGCTATGCTGCTTCTTACTTTTGACTCATACTGGCTATATGACCCTAGGCAAGCCACTCAATCTCTCAGTGTCCTAGGCAGCCCTTAAAGGCTAACTTGTATTGGTAGAGAGAGTTCCCCATTAGAAGCCCCCAACACTGCCTAAAGCAAGGGGTCTTGCTTAATTAACCTTTGTAGTCTGAGGAAGTCTACAGAAAGACTCTTTCTCAGAATAATGTTTAAAAATATAAAAAATACATTAGACAATGAAACCAATTATATTGGAATATAGTTGTCAAAAATTAAAAGAACAAAAACAAAAACAAACAACCAAGTTCATGGAACCCTGATTAAGACCCCCATCTTCAGAGGCCTACTTCAAGACTGAAATCACCAGATTTCAAAAACCAAACCCAACTGAACCAAAAATTTACTTCCTAGGATTATTGTGAAGATGAAATGAGAACAAATAAGTAAATTGATCTGTTATTAAGAGGGGCTATAGAAAAGATAGTTAGCTGAGCTCCCTCCCTACCCCACTACTGCTAGAGGTAATTATCAGCTCTAAGTTCAATTTTAAGGAGATTTTATTCCATCCCAACATATAGCTGCTTTGTTTAATTGTCTTCCCAGAATGCAGTAGTTTATTTGGGTTCATTATATCCACCTTACTAAGTACAAGTCACTGTATTTATTTCTAGAGCACACGATTTGGATCGACCATCTCCAATTTCAGCTGGTGTCATTTCCCGGGTGATTCTTTCACACACTGCTTTTGTAGTTTCCTGTTTCCTACGGCTTGTCAGTGGCTGCCGGAAAGTACCAACTCACCCATGAAGTCTCAGCAGGAGGCCTGCCTTTTTAGTGTCACCAAAGAAATGGAACACACATTCTAAGAACTCAGAAAAAGTTAGCTTCTGCAAGTCAAGGAGGCAGTTAGGTAAAACAGACAGAGGGTTAGACCTAGGGTCAGGAGGATCTGAGGTTGACCGCTGCCCCTAGATGCTTGCTAGCTAGCTGTCCAACAACAGGCAAATCATTTCCCCTCAGTTTCCCACTTTGCAAACTGAGAAGATTGGACTCGGTTGCCTCTGAGGTTCCAGTCTACATCTAGGATCCTGCGTGTGAGCAGGGAGAAGTCATTTCCCCTGCCTGGGCCTCAGTTTCTTTGTCTATAAAATGAAGGTGTTGGACTTGATGCCCTTGATGAGCCCTTCCAGCTTGAGGTCCAAGATCCTACGTGTGACCTTAAACCAATCACTTCATATCCCCGGGTTTCCTCCTCTGTAAAATGAGGGAGTTGGATCAGATAGTCCCTAGGATTGATCACTTCCTACTCTGTGTGTGACCTTGGGTAAGTCACTTCTGTTCCTCTAGGTCTCAATTTCCTTACACAAATGACATTGTTGGACTAGATGACCTCTAAGGTCCCTTCAGGTTTTAAATCCATATTTCCATGGTTAAATTCTCATTTAATAGATGAGCAACTGACTTAGGAAGTTACAGTGACTTGCCCTAGGTCATACAGCTCATTTATAATGGAGTTGGGACTCAAACTTATATTTTCTAACTCCAAGTCCAGCGCACTCCGTTACATCATCTTACCTTCCTAGTGATAAACTCTAGACTAAATGCCAAATCAGGGCCAAATTAGAAAAGAAATCTAGTAAAATTCTGAATAACTAGAAATCCACCAAACCAACATTATCAGTGTCCCACCCTTGGTTAAAGGGAATTTGTTTCTGATTTAAATTTTGAGAGAAAACTATCAACACAAACAGAATACTAACTCATATCAAGGATTTCATCAAAGAACATCTTTCAAGGAATGGCCTGGGCTAAAGCCAGGTTCAGGCCAATAGGCACCAATATTGTATAATCGTGAGTGACGTTCAGAGTTATGACTCAGAGGTCCTGTAAAAACCTCCATCGGCAAAGGTTTGATTATTGTCAACAAGCTCACTTTCTTTGAATTTTGATGTATACTGGACTTAGGAAAGCAGAGTAAGAGGATCAGACTTTTTAAAAAAGATTTTCAACAACAAGAGAGTGAAACAAATAGTGGGAGAGGTTAACCCTTAGTTATCCAGGAAGTTCCATTACCTAGAACCTAGCACCCCTTGTTGCCTAGTACTAGAGTTACACAGGGTTTTGTTATGGAATACCAGAAATAACTTATGTGTACACCCATGTTCAACCAGGACCGTGAAACATGGATGCTTAGGTTGTGTAGGGTACATCCTGGCAGTCACTTGAACAAAATATAGCTTTAAAATTTCTCTGCAAGCTCTCTGCTCATGGTCTCCCATCTTTCCATATCTTCTGGTCCTCACTTCCTTTAAACCTACTCTTCCTTCTAACTGCAAACTCCAGTCATTCCCTACTACCCTATTCTCTTAGTCTATCACCCTCATCTGGTCTTACTTTGCTTTCTTCAGTCTGGACCCTATAGCTGACCCATGTAATTATACACTGCTTATTATGGTTAGAGATTGTTGCCCCACTGGGCATAGTGTGTACAAGAGTATGTGCAGCCTAGAGTTCTATTTTGTCTCTCAGCAAGACCAGTGCCGGGGACTTGTGATAAGGAGTGTAGTTAGATTCTGCATTGCATAGCATATCTGCATGGCAGATATGCTCCCTAGGCAAGGGTGGGGAACCTGCAGCCTCGAGGCCACATGTGGCCTCCTAGGTCCTTGGATGCAGCCTTCTGACCAAGTCCAAGTTTTATAGAACAAATCCTTTTATTAAGGGGATTTGTTCTGTGAAGTTTGGATTCAGTCAAAGGGCTGTACTTGAGGACCCAGAGGGCCACATGTGGCCTTGAGGCTGCAGGTTCCCCACTCCTGCCTAGAGTCTCTATAAGGGAAGAGTAAATGACTGGAAGGGCACAAGAAAATCTTGCACAAGGGATGTGAGTGACAACAGTATGGCTATTTGTGCTAGGTTCATGACATTGGCCTGCTAAACAAGTCACTTAAACAAGCTGATTAAATCTCTCAACACTTACCTACTCTAATTCTTTTGAGTATACTCTGTTTCTCTTGGATTATAGTTACTGCTATTGGTCACCAGTGTGATATGGTAGCCAGAAAAGGCAATGTGAGCTTAGGCTACATTCAGAGAGGCGCAATGACTACAGCTGAAGTGGAGATTCTCTTACTGTACTGCATGTTCCTGCCATGGTCAGACCATGTCTAGAGTACTCTATTTAGTTCTAAGCACTACATTTTAGGAAAGACATTGAAAAACTGGAGAGTGTCCCTAGGAGGGCAACCAAGATGGTAAAGAGCCTCCAAATCATACCATATGAAGATGGGTTGAAGGATGCTTAACCTAAAGGAGAGAATATAGCTTATTTTGTGCATTTAATGCATGGTAGCTGTCTTGGATAGCTTTTGAACAATAAGAGCCATTTAAAGATAGAGCAAAATAAATTTGGAGAGGGCTCAGTGAGAAGCCCAATTAAGAAAAGTCATTTCTAGGACATTTAACGATGAAGCTAGAAGGAACACAACAAACAAAAGAATGGAAAAGATCTGTAAAACATTTTATAACAAACTCTTTTCCCTATCACTAACAGTGGAGTCACCACATTTGGATGCTAACATTACAGTCCTAAATCAGCTACATGAGGCAATAAGAAATGGCATTAAAGAAGAAAAAATGGGTTACACTAGGCCAAATATATACACGAAGGTGGTCTGTGTTAGAGGTGACATAATTTCAAGGAATTTTTATCTGAAAAAGAGGAAGACACAAAAACTTTGGGGAAAAAAATCAAATCTTACTGTCACCCAAAAAAGCAATTAAGAAAAAAATGAACTTCTAATATACATACATACTTTTTCATCTGTACAAAATTTTTATGAGAATAATATACTTATGCATCAAGAGCACCTAGATTTGACATGGGGAACAGATGTCAACCAACTCTTACATCCTCAGGTTTCTTTTTCTGCTCCTTCTGTTGCTCCTTGCACTTCTGCCACTCAGTCAGGACTGGATCCTTGGTCTTATCCTGCTGCTGCTGTGGTTGCAGTTGTGGATTAGCAGGCTGCTGTGGACGCTGTTTCACCTGGTGATGGGCCAGCTGCTGTGGAACCTGCTGGGCTGGTTGCTGAGGCTGGTGATGTGGTGACAGGGGATGAGAAGGCTGCTTTGACTGGCGATGGGCCAGCTGCTGAGCTGGTTGCTGTGGCTGGTGATTATAGGCTGGCACCTTTGGTGGCTGCTGCACTTGGTGGACTGTCACCTTTGGTGGCTGATACACCTGGTGGAGCACCACCTTGGGTGGCTGCTGTGCCTGGAGATGGGGTGGCACCTTTGGTGGCTGATACACCTGGTGGAGCACCACCTTGGGTGGCTGCTGTGCCTGGAGATGGGGTGGCACCTTGGGTGGCTGCTGCACATGGTGATGGACTGACACCCTTGATGGATGCTGTGACTGGTAATGGGCCAACTGCTTTGGCAGCAGCTGTGTGTGGTGATAGCCTGTCAACTGTAGCCCATGATGCGCCTGGTAAAAGGCTAGATGCTTTGGTAGCAGCTGTGTGTGGTGATGGTTGGGCTTTGGTGGAAAATGCAGCCAGTGATGATCTGGAGATGGTGATTGCTGCTGTGCCTGGTGACGGGCCGGCTGTTTTGGCAACTGCTGTCCCTGCTTTGGCAGCTGTTGTCCTTGCTTTGGAGGCTGCTGCTGCGCCTGCTTTGGTGGTTGCTGCGTCTGCTCCTGCTTTGGAGGCTGCTGCGTCCGCTCCTGCTTTGGAGGCTGCTGCGTCTGCTCCTGCTTTGGCAGTTGCTGCGTCTGCTCCTGCTTTGGAGGCTGCTGCGTCTGCTCCTGCTTTGGAGGCTGCTGCTGCGTCTGCTCCTGCTTTGGAGGCTGCTGCTGTGTCTGCTCCTGCTTTGGAGGCTGCTGCGTCTGCTCCTGCTTTGGAGGCTGCTGCGTCTGCTCCTGCTTTGGAGGCTGCTGCTGCGTCTGCTCCTGCTTTGGAGGCTGCTGTGTCTGCTCCTGCTTTGGAGGCTGCTGCGTCTGCTCCTGCTTTGGAGGCTGCTGCTCCTGGTGATGCTCTGGTTGCAGCTTTGGCAGTACCTGAGCTTGTCTCTGAGGCTTCAGCAGTAGTCCAGGTGCCTGTTTCTCCTGTTGCAGATCTTGCTGCTCCTGCTGTGATAATTGCAGTGTTGGTAGTACCTGAGATGGTTTCTGAGGCTTTGGCAGTAACTGTGGTGCCTGCTTCTCCTGCTGCAGATCTTGCTGTTCCTGTTGCTGCTCCTGCTTCAATAACTGCAGCTTGGGCAGTAGTTCAGGTGCTTGTTTCTCCTGCTGCAGATCTTGCTGTTCCTGCTGTGATAATTGCAGCTTTGGCTCTACCTGAAGTTGTTTCTGAGGCAGGGCCTCTGGTGCCTGTTTCTCCTGCTGCAGATCTGGCTGCTCCTGCTGCAGACCTCGCTGCTCCTGCTGTAGATCTGGCTGCTCCTGCTGCAGACCCCGCTGCTCCTGCTGTAGATCTGGCTGCTCCTGCTGCAGACCTCGCTGCTCCTGCTGTAGATCTGGCTGCTTCTGCTGCCGATTTTGCTGCTCCTGCTGCAGATTTTGCTGCTTTCGCTGTAGATCCTGCTGTTCTTGCTCCAAACGTTGCCATAGCAGCTGTTGCTGCTGCTGCTGTTCTCGCCTCAGTTGTTGCTGCTTTGAAAATGGGTTTTTCTTATTTTCCTGCTGCAGCCTGAGAAACTCTCGTCGGAGGGTGGATTCACCAGGAAGATTAACTATGGAGCTGAAGGAGAGGACACAGTCGCATGGGTAATTGATCACTCATACAATTAAAACTGAGCATGATCAAGTCTTTTAGGGGACCTACTTTACTATAGAGGATATTCCTCTTTAGCAACCAAGCTAAACCTATTCTTCCTTAAACTATCTCTAGAAATGTCAAAATTTCCTTGTTCATTCCCTTGATTACTGAGCCCTGATGGAGACCTGATCATTCCAGATCCCTTTGCCATCTTATCAGGAACTTAAGGAGGCTGGAGATAGTAAGGAAGGACCCTCCTCAATGGTTATATAAAGAAAGTAATTGTTAACTGTCCTATTAACTCTGAGGACCTAGGGTTGCTCACTACTAGGCCCAGGCCCACCACTGCCTGGGAGGTTCATATGTACATCATTATCTCATGCAGTATTTGGCTGGTCAAGCTCACCTGGGCTCTCCTTGGTCTTCATTTAACTCCTCCTCCTCCTCCTCTTCCTCCTCTTCACCTTCACTTCCACTGTATTCATATTCAGTTTCGTCTGAAAGGAAAGAACGGGTGTGAATGGGTTGGGGGTGGGAAACACGTTCCTGGGAAGAATGGTCCCTTTTCACTTGGTAGCATCCTGCAAATCTAACAATTACAGAATGTGGTAGCTAGAAAGTGTCTTTGAAATCGCCTCCTAACAACTTCATCTTTATGCACAAGGGAGAAAAATCCAGGAAGAAAACTGGCCCAAAGCTACAGAGGTACCAAGCAGGTTGCACAGTCAAGATTTGAACACAGGTCTTTTAAAATCAAATTCATTTGCTCTTTCTAGGTCTACAATTAAGGTATGAGCCAGGTTCAAAGAAGGAGAGGTGACTTCCAGGACATCAGAGGTAGTTTTGATTGGGAGCCTATGTTCTTCTAGCACTTGGGAAATAATGTCTTTCCTGCTCAGGGCCAACATCCTCAGCTCTTTGAAGAAGAGCCTAGCCTTCTCAGCCCACTGGCATTGGATAGACCCACAGCAGAATGCTAAAGGACAGACCGAAGAGCCTTCCTGATCATTGGGCCCAGGGGACAGGTTCAGTTAATATCTAGCAGCTCCCAGTTAATCGCTCTCCTGTCTGGGCAGCAATTCCCTTCAGACTAACCTTCTTTGGCTTCAGGAAGGAAGAGGATTTGGAGTTTGTGCCAGCTAGTGTAATGGTTAACGCTCAGTAAATATTTGTTGAATGAATGAATGGTACCTATTAGAAGTGTTTTTACTATATCTTAGAGTCTGCATCTAGTTGGGATCCTCAGATCTATTTTTTATGCTGCAAAACAGATTGCATTTTCTCTTTTACCAAAGGGACCTAGAGGGGGAGGCAGCTCTATGGCCCTGCTCTCTCTCTCCCCACTGCTGTACTAGGGTCCTGGAATGTCATTAGGCCCTGCTTTTCCCCCATTGAGAAGATCATCATTTTATAACCTAAGCACACTTAATGTAAGCCTCTTACTTCTTTCCTGCCAATTGTGTTCCACTATGTAATCTTAGGCAAGTCCCTTCCCCTTTCTAGGACTCAGTTTCCCCTTTTAAAAAATGAGGGTATGTATGTAGGTTGGATCTGATGGTTTCTGAGATATCTTCCAGCTCTACAATCCTATTCTATAAATGCAAAAATATAAATACTACAATTTGGTGTTGTGCTCAAATTAATATTCAATGGTGCTTGAGGCAACCATAGTTTTTCTATCTTCCATGGATCCTTCAGATTTCTTCCTATTGGTAACCTTGTGACAGCCTTCTAATGACCCAAATTAGCTTGGTCCCAACCTAGACATGTGGAACTACTGGACATTTGGTCCAAGCCTATATACCCATCTTTATTATTGTAGACCCATTTGACATATCTATATAAGGTGACAAATGTTTTCTTTCTGACATCATTTACCCCAGCAGTTATTTCCAAATTTTAGCCCAAAGAAGAGAGTAACAGGAGAGTTGGGTATCTGTCAACCTCATCTTTTGCTGTGGTTGAAAATTAACTTAGGCTGCCACAGTATTTAAGAATACCACACACATTGCAAACACTAATCCTTACCTGGTGTGGCTATCAAAAATTATCATAGAAAGATTAGTGGTTTGATTAAAAGTCACTAATCTCTCTATGATAGTTCTTGATAGCCAAGATATCAAAGCAAAGCAGAGGACCTGAGCCTTTCAGTCATCTTATTTCATATGAACATTGTTGCTTTTCACCAAAGCAGACAGATACATGAACCACTGATTGCCTCTGAGCACCCATTTTATTAAGTGTGGCATCTCAAGCTACCTTTATCGCCTTTCTTTTTCTTGGCTCGATCCAGATGGTCTTTGAGCATGATCCGAACTTGTCGTTCATTTGGCAAATCTCGAATGAATGAATGCCTCAACAGAGCCTCAGTGGAGGGACGATGTATGTAATTTTTAACCAAGCAATTTTCAATAAAGTTGAGGAACTTCTTAGACCTAAAAGAAATGGAGACACAAGTGCGATCCAGTAGAAGCATGTAACATGTTTTTTGAAAGGAGCTCCCAAGACTAATATTTCGAGAGATCATGGCCTTTCCTAACTCAGACTTCTGTGTTGCCTAATGGCAAAGAGCCAGCAATACTACTGAACTTTTCAGGAAGGGTGGCAAGGCCTAGTGGCATGTCCAAAGCAAACAACAACCATGCTTTGTCTCCACAGTACAAAAGGGACAGTTGGTAATGTTCTGGTTAATCAGATCTATACAGACAGTCCCACTAGACAGTTCAGACCAAAGTGAATTTACTCTTTAGCCTGAGGGATCTTGTTTGACTATCAACATGGATCTGATGAACTAAATTATTACCAAATTTCTACTATACGTTTAAGGTAGAGACCCCTAAATTGTTTGCTCCAAAGAGAGAGTAGTGGACACACTAGGGCTCACTGTGCTCACAAGATGGGCCATGAGACTGCTCATAACTATGGTTAAGAATTGGGTCTCGTAGACTTAGCTACTCTGATCAATACAATGATCCAAGACAATTACAAAGGACTCATAATGAAAAATGCTCTCCACCTCGAGAGAGGGGGAGAGAGAGGGAGGGAGGGAGGGAGAGAAAGAAAGAGAGAGAAAGAGAGAGAGAGAGAGAGAGAGAGAGAGAGAGAGAGAGAGAGAGCGAGCTGATGAACTCAGTGAAAACTGGAACATATTTTTTTCACTTTATTTTTCTTGCTTTTTATTTTTTGTAACATGGCTAATATGGAAATATGTTTTGCATGATTTCACATGTATAATTGATATCATATTACTTGCCTTCTCAATGAGTGGGGGAAGGGCTGAAGGGAGGGAGAGAATTTGGAATTCAAAATTTCAAAATGAATGTTAAAAACAAACAAATTTTTTAAAAAAGGGAAGGGAGTCTTGTGGCCAGCTCATCTAAAGAGAAATAAAATCTATGGGAAGGGTGACATTGATTCACAAGGAAGAAAAGCAGTCACTAAATCACTGGCACTGCTTACACTGGGAGGTCTCTAGTATCAATACTGACGAGTTCACTTCTGATTGAAGAAAAACAAGAGCACAATGCAAATGAGGCCAAGCTTAGGGCTTCTATCCCTATGTGGGTTAGGGAGCTGTTTCTGCTCCACAGCCACTAACCTCTAACCTCAGGTGACCATTTCATCTGTTTCTACCAGGTGCTTTTGGGGGGGGGGAGGGGGGAGGGTTGTGGAAAGAAGAGGAGGATGCCTAGGAATGAGGGTGAAAAAAAAGTATCTGCTGATGCTATGCAGTAATGTAGTGATCACAACATACTGAGGGCTGAATGTTATTACTAGCTGGCCAACTCAACACCAACTGGCAAGTTGGACCTTTTAGCTAAGACACAAGCTAATAGCAATAGGGAAATGAAACTGATTGCCCAAATGGACAGAAATTTCTACTCGGCTAGACAGTCAGTCAATCAATAAACATTTATTGTTATTGTTATATTGTTATGGGGAAGGGCTGAGCCAAATCATGAAAGAGATTAAGATGTCCAATCTTACCATTTTCGGGATTTCAGTTTGGGAGGAGGATTCCGGGGGATGAGAAAGAGAGCTCTCATGGGATGCATATCACAGAGGGCTACAAAGGAAAATACTAGCCGTCAGAAGCAGTGAAACGAATGGCTGCCTACATAGTGCACCAGCCTTGCCCATCTCTGCATTTTGCTCTGCTTAAAAACATGCTATGTAGCAACTAGGCGTTTTCTTCTCATAACTAAGAGAATATAATTAAAGACTCATTTGAACATAATCAGCACAGTCCCAAGAGATTCTAAAGCTTCATCATCTCCAGGTGTGTAAAATACAATTGACAAATCAATGCTAAATTGGACACTGCACAACTTCTCTTCAATGATGCATGATGGGTGAATTGCACCTAAATGTGGAAATCAAATTCTGAGGCAAGGGTGGGCTTCCGCCTGTGTTTTTGTTTGGCAGGGATCTCCAGCTGGGAGAAGTAATTATAAGTTGGATAAGTCATCCAGGCTCCTAGCTCACACTACACAACAATAAACAAAAGAAAGAAGGCTAGCTTTCTCAAAACCCACCCAAAAAAATGGTTTTTGGGGCTGCACCTCCTAGGTACAATGCGCTTCAGCTACCTATGATATTTAGGATTCTGCATCTAATTATTAGGCTTCAATTATGTTTTTATAAATTAAAAAAACCTCAACAAACCAAAAACTTTATCTGGGCTTCCTAAGCTCATTACCTCACTGGTTTGAGAATGTTGGGTTTGTCTGTAAGCATTAAAATATGTGTCTCACCCCACTTATTTCCTCTTGAGCTTTGGTCAAAGAAAGCTGACAGGGCAAAAGTCCCTTGCACAGAGAGCCTGCCCTACTCTCTCCCCAAGGCCTTTGAATTCATTTCAGAGTTAGGATAGTTAGATAGTAATGGCTCCTTCCAGTCTCCCCCCAAACAAGCCTGGAGAAGAATTGTAATGCTTAATTGGCCTTTCCCAGACAAGCAGACAGAAGCAAGCCCTATAGTTATCTCGCTAATACTACAAGAAAGAAGCAGGCCGGGGGTGAGCATTGTCCTCATCTACTTATTGACACATTGATGAAAGGAAGGAACCTGTCCTAAACTGAAGGCAGAGTTGGTCCAAGGTTCAAAAGCTCACACTCCCTAATATCCAATGTTCAGTTAGTAGCCAGTCGCTACCTTTTGTGCCTTTTAAAAGTCTCTCTTCTACATTTGTGCTGCTACTCCCTTAATTCAGGCCTTTCCTCCTTTACTCCTGGATTCCAGGCCTCTCCCATTCATCCTACAATATCGACAGCACTTCTCTAGTACTTCAAGGTTTGTCTCATTTGATCCTCATGACAACTCTGGGAGGTAAGTTCTATTATTGTCCCCATTTTGTTCTTCATTCATTTCAGTCATGTCTGACTCTTCGTGACCCCATTTGGGGTTTTCTTGGCAAAGATACTGGAGTGGTTTGCCATTTCCTTCTCCAGCTCATTTTACAGATGAGGAAACTGAGGCAAACACGGTGAAGTGACTTGCCCAGGGTTACACAGCTAGTAAGTGTTGGGGTTGAATTTGAACTCGGGAAGAAGAGTCTTCCTGACTCCAGGACTGGCTATCTAGCCACTGTGCCACCTAGCTGCCCACACTACCCATTTTATAGATGAGTAAATCGAGGCTGAAAGAGGCTGCTACTTACCCTGTTCAAAATTATTCAATGACTGTCCATCAGATCAAGTCCTAACTCGTCAGTTGGTCATTAAAAGCCCTTTATAATCTAGCCTTGCTTAACCTACCTCTCACCTCCCACTCTCTCTCAGTATGACCCAAGTGGTTCTAGTTACCATCCTTGAAACAGACCACAATGTATCTTAGCTCAAGATGTACCCTTCACTGGCTTATTTATTCTCCCTTTTTTCCTGTCCTCCAGGAAGATTTCCAGGGACTCCAGCACACACTTATCTCTCTTTCTGTGACCTTTCCCAACCTCACGTTTTCTCCAGCATCATGTTCTGCCTCAGCATCAAAGTCCTTCATCTGTGTTTGTCTTGTCTTGCCAACAAATTCTAAGCTGAGGTCTTATACATCTTTGAATCCCTTCCCTGGTCAGTGTCTGACACGTGATAAATGGTAAATGAAGACTATTAAGCCAACTTGGAAGGAGAATGCTGGGGGGAGTAAAGTCTCTAGATCAGGGGTGGGGAACCTGCAGCCTTGAGGCCACATGTGGCCCTCTAGGTCCTCAGGTGCAGCCCTTTGACTGAGTCCAAGTTTTACAGAACAAATCCTTTTAAGGGGATTTGTTCTGTGAGGTTTGGATTCACCTTGGCTTTATCTTCCCCATTTGACTTGATACTCTCACTACCTATGCACTCACCTGACTGTGAGCTCCTAAAGGGGAGAGCTTACCACTTATATTCCTTCTCATACTCCTCAGTGGCCCAGCCTCAGGTTGTTACTCCATAGCTTTTGGCTGAATTAAATGGAAGGAGAAAATTGTAAACACTACACTGGGAACTTCTGGCTTTAGGTGCATCCAGTGTAGAAAGACAAAGATTGAGAGGGGATCTGAGCAAGTGTTATGGAATGGTGAAGGATGCCCACTACATTCTCACCCTGACTCTTCAGTTGGGGGGCAAGGGAGAGAATAGGAATGGATTCTTTAGCATCAGTATATGTGAACTGTGCCCAAGGGCTCCCAGGCTCCATGTGGGGACAATGTATGTACAGCTTAAAAAAAGCACCTCCAAGGCCATCCAGTGGGGAGGGAAGGATGGTGGGGAAAGCATTGATGAGATTCTGGGTAAAGTTGCTTCAGTACTCCTTGCTCTCCTATAAATAACCAATCCTGAGAACACATCACTTGGGCATCTCATGAACATGATTTCCTCAAATATGAACAGCTCAGAAGCTTAAAGGATGAAGCAGTTAGTCCTGGCTCTTCTGTACGGGATCCCCAAAAGGAAGTTAAACCACAACTATATGGACAACACTCAAGATCAAAGGAATATGAAAAACTAGATGGAACTGGTTGGTATACCATAGCGTGGAAGGGAAACAGCATCAGACTGGGTGATGCGAGCCCTGGTTCTGCCTCTAAATAACTGGATGACCTTGAGCAAGGTGGGTCTTAGTTTCCCCCATCTATAAACTTCACTAAATTATCTCTGAAGTTTCTGCTAGCCCTGATATTCTATGATCTGTCAGCCTACATGGATAGAATGTTCTTGGGGGCAGGGAGGCTGTTTCATTTCATCTTTGTAGAGTCAGAGATTCTGGGTTCAGATGCTAGTTGTGCCGCCTGTGTGACTTTGGGCAGGTCACTTTCCCTTTCTGGGCCTTAGTTCCTTCCTCTGTAAAGTGAGGGTGGTTGGACTAGATGACCTCCAAAGTGCCTTCTAGCTCTAGACCTAGGAGCTTACAAGTGACCTTGAACAAGTCCCTTCCCCTCCCTGGGCCTCAGTTTCCCCCTCTGTAAAATGAGGGAGTTAAACCAGATGGCTCCTAAGCTCCTTCTCAGCTACAGAACTCTGATTATATGGGATAACTTGGGCAAATCCCTTTCCCTCATCTATAGAATGAGGGGCTGGATTCAGATGACCTCAAAGGCTTTGGCTCCATATCTGTGAACCTATGTTTATGAAGACACAAAGATATCAATGGGGCATTTGTGGTACCCATCTCTCCTTCTCATGTGATCAGCCCACCATTGACCTCAAGGCTTTATCCCCTCTTTGAATGCTCCTAACAAAGGCCTGCTCTGTGAGATCCATTCTCTCGTGACTCCACATTCTAGTTTACCAGATATAACTATCATTCCGGAAAGCAATTCCCCATAAAGTGGCAGCTAAATGGTACTGAGGCCAGAATGCTGAACAGAGTTACAAAGTCCTGAGTTCAAATCCAGGCTCAGACACACACTGGCTGTGGGATCCTAGGCAAGTCAATTACCCATTGTCTGCTTTGGTTTTCTCATCTATAAATGGGGATGATAATGGCACCTATCTCACAGAGTCATTGTGAAGATGACATGGGGTCAAGTCTATAAAGGGCTTAAGGCACTCCCTATGTAAATGTTAGCTGCTGTGATTATGATTCTAGGCAGTGTGGTATGGTAAAAGGAGAGCTAACAATGTCAAGGTTCAAGTCCTGTCTCTGACACAAGCTGGCTATATGACCCTGGGCAAGTCATTCAGCTTCTCTCAGTGTTCTTCGAGTCTTCCTCAGACTCAAAGTTGCAGAGAAGGAGCTAACCTGCACTGGTAGAGGGGGCTTGTACCCAAGTACCCAGGAGCTGGCTATACCAATGAGATCTCAGGTATAGTCATCATTATTATGAATGTTATTATTATCATTATTGTTATTATGGCTTGATATTATGGCTTAACCTCCCTAGAGTACCTACATTTTAAAAGAAAGACTCTTAGAAAGAAAACCTCAACAAAAAGGAATCATTTTCTACAGGTGGCATTTGGGGACAGCCCTGAGCCAGGCTGGTCAGGGCACTGCTACTCTTGGTGGGCATCCTGGTCCCTCATGGAATGGGGCACAGAATGGCACTGTTTTCTTCTGCCCTCTCCTTAGCTTGAGGCACAGCTAAGGCTGAGGTCTGCTTGACTCCACACTGCAGCTCCCCGTGGGTGAGCAATGGTATACCACAAAAACTCCTTTCAAGGGGCAAAATCTGTGGCTTCCTTGGTTGCCATGCTGAAGATGAGGCATCAAGGCCAAAGTCATGGGATAACCCTAGTGCAAGCAAGCAGGAAGCCACAAGAAGTGCCAATGTGGACAAGGGTTTCAGAAACAAATTAGGGGCAGAAGACAGGCAGAGAAAAGTTGCAAACCTTGAAGCAGCCAGGCTTCTTTTTTCTGTTTTGTTTTGAGGCAACCAGGGTTAACATTTTTTGTTGTTGTTGAGTCATTCTTTAGTCGTGTCCGACTCTCCTTGACCCTGTTTGGGGTTTTCTTGGCAAAAATACTGGAGTGGTTTGCCATGTCCTTCTCCAGCTCATGTTACAGATGAGGAAACTGAGGCAAACAGGGTGAAGTGACATGGCTAGGGTCACACAGCTAGAAAAGTGTTTGAGGCCAGATTTGAACTCATGGAGAGATGAACGCTCCTGACTCCAGGCCCTGAACTCTATCCACTGCAGTGTGGCCACCTAGCTGCCCAGCAGCCATGCTTTATAAGCAAGTCAATGCCCTGCCATCCTCCAAATGAAGGCCCCAGCAGTGGGCAATATTGCCTCTCCTGTCAAAATTCAAAGGAAAAGGGGGCTGGAGTTCATTTAAGCTCATTTCATAAACAAAAATGAATCTTGAGCTGATGAAGAAAAACAACTAGCTTGTACAACTAGGCTTCTGGCTAGCTACTCCTTAGGTCACATATCCTGTAGCCTTTCAGTCAATAAGAATGGAAGTAATAACCTCCCAGCCAGCGATCTCTCTCCTTCTGCCCCTGAGATACCATCAAGCCCCAGAAGTTCTGGGGGTCACTAGTCCTACCCCCTGAAACTGTCCTTCCAATGGAAATATACAGGTATTTCCTGGCCTTTGTGGGGAGGAGTGGTGAGATGATTCTACCAGGGCTTATTTAGCCAATAACCTAACTGGAGGAATTTGGAAGGAGGCAGGAACCCTCTCTAATCTCCCCCTCCCCAGCCCCAAATCTCCCCCATTTGTTTGTCACAGGGGAATGAGAATGAACTCTTTTGGGTTCAGGTACTAAATCCAGTTATGATACACATGTTATCAGGGAGTGAGAACATGTTAAGTCAATTCTTAACCTTTTTTGGTGCCCTGGACCCTGTAAAGCCTAGGGACCCCTTCTCAGAATCATGTACTTGAAGGCAAAAAAAAAAAAAGGCAAAGGATGACAAAGGAAATCAAAATATTTTTTTAAAAAGTTTACAGGCTCCAGGTTAAGAACCTTTATATTAAATGGCTTGCAGCATTTAACAGCTGAGCTGGGTTAGTTTTTCCTGATCCTCCTATGCATGGAGAGAAGGAATCCCCCCACACAAGTGTGCATACACACACACGTGCACACATACATAAGCCTTCACCCACATTTCTATAGCTGCTCTTTTTGGACAGCTTGCCTAAGTAAACCCCATACCCCTGTGATCTTGATTCCATTCTATCTCTGCCTTTTCTCTCTCCCTGCCTGGAGATAAGGATTTGTGTCTTAGTTGTCCTGGGAGTCCCAGCATCAAGTGTTGTGGCCTTGCAAACATCATGGATGTGCTCTGAGCTTGTGGTTTTGAAAAGGGGACAAAACAGAACGAGAATTAATCTTCTTGTCCTGCCTAAGGGCCAGGTCATTTGGGAGACCTCTCAGAAGCCGGGGATGCCTCCAGGGTGCTGCTGCAAGGACCCCCTACTTACCGCTCAGAAGGCTAACTACGCCACTAGTCCACGTGGCTTAAGACTCCGCTGGGCTCCTGGTCATTCAGTATTGTCAAAAGCTATTACCAGGAAACCAAACTGAAGGAACATTTGGTCAGCCTGCTAGAGGAGTTTGTAAGAGAGAAAGGCATGCCGCTCTCAGCAGGGGGCTGTCCACAGACATCCTGATTCTGAGTAGCTTGGGGAGTCCCGATAGCCCTGTGGAATCGCTGCCAGGCACTTGCTCAGAGCATGGTACCTACGGGGCTATGAGTGCAAGCTCCAAAGGGACGTGTACAATCCCTCACCCACGCTACCAATGACCAAATAGTTACTCACGTGGAGCGCCCTCGGCCATTTCCATGGCGGTGATTCCAAGGGACCACAAGTCACTCTGTTAAGAGAAAGATGATGAACAAATTCAGCGGGGTGCTTTGCAGAGAGAGCACTGGCCTTGCAAGCAGGAGGCCTGCCGCAGCTAGTTCTTACTGTTTTCGGATCCCAGGTCAGCTGCGTCTCCTCTTGGCCTCCCCGGTCTCCATCTGTGTGACCTGCCTCACAGCCCGTGTGAGAAAAGTGCACGGTACACCTTAAATAAAGCACGGGCTAGCACCAGAGGGTCCCAGTTCAGAGGCCGGAGGGACCCCCTAGGTTATTTAAGCGGAAGTGGCATGGAAGTACTTGGAGCAGAGGAGTCACCGGTTGGGAACACTCTTTGGGGGAGAACTGATGAGCACTGGCTTTTCACAGTTGGTGACCTTCCTAAGTCAGCTACAGTTGCAGTCTGCATCCCAGGTTGGCCCTTTGGCTCAGAGGACCTGGAGTACCCCTGGGGTATGCTATTTTAGCTATTGAAGCCAGCCTAGCCAAACCTCCCTCTAAGGTTGTTTAGTAGAAATGCAATTCGGTAGTAGGAGTGTCCATTTTGTATAGGGGCGGGGGAAGGGGTTTAGTTACTGAGGTGAAGGGCCCAAGCTCAGGATAGGTGACTAGGGCATTGCCCCTGGGTGCCCATGTTAGGGAAAGGAGCTTGCTTTAGACCTCAATGTGGTTCCTCAACACTCACAACCACCCCTGCTCCACTTCTCTTGTCTGGTTCTAGGTCTCTACCCTCTGAGCCCCATCTCCACTGTGCCCCTTTCCTAAAACCTGCCTTCCCCTACTGCCATGCTCCCTGCCGACTCTCTCCCCCTTTTACCTTTTCCTCAGGGCTGGGATCGTTGGCCATGCTGTGGGAGGAAAGCCAGCCTTTTTGGGGGGGATGGATTGCTCCCTCTCCAGGCATACATAATTGCAACTGACTAAGATGGTCCCCTGCCATACTTTTCATGGGGGTACCTGGGATCAGCAGCGATGTCAGAGGGAGCTCTGAGGTTGGATCCTGATCCTGAGGCTGACTCCACCCTCTAGTGAGCCTTTTCCAGCTTGGCCCTGCTGTCCTCCCTCCTCCAATGACCTTGGCAGCAGAAATGTTCCAGGTTCTCTGCCTCTCCACCCATGGGGCTGTGTGTTCTGAGATCTGAGGTCTCTCCCAAGGCCTACTCTCACCTCCTGAATTTTTCTCAAGTGCCCAAATTCCTAGCTATGGCTCTGATGAAGACTCACCTAGTCCTTGCTACAAGAGATGGCCCCTAAGGCCTCCTCAGAATTTGGAATAATTTTCTCTTTGGAAATGAATGGTGCAAAACAGTAGCCTCTTGTGGAATGGCCTCCACGCTAAGGCCTTTCTGCCCTATCAAGTACAGGAGCATTAGGCTTGAGGCTGCCCCCTCTCCATCACCCCTTTGGGAAGTCTTAGCTAAGCGTTGCCTAGAGACATAGTATGAGGAAGGGGGGAGGGGAGGGGCTTCCCACATTCCACGGAGGAAAAATTCTAGGTAGACAGATTAGCAAGACAAAGCAAGGTGGGTCTCCCCATCTAGATAAGGTACATTATCCACAAAGCAAAAGGCCACTCTTTAGGAGGTAGAACTAAAAGGAAGCAGCTTAAGAGCAGGAAAAAGAAAGAGAAAGGAAAACCTCCAGAAGCATTTTCAGAAGGGATAAAAATGGCAGGAAGTCATTTGAGTGCTTAAGTTAGGGTCTATTGAGACCACAGGGGGAAAACCATTAGGCCTCTGCTCCCTAATGCTTCTTACACAGAAAAACCTGTTATGAAAGACAATAAATACCTAGTCGTTGAAAGGGGTGATTTTCGAAATGGAGGCTGTGGGAAGAGAAATGAGCACATATTGGCTAGAGAAGTCCAGCACCTCTCTTTTCTATTCATTGCCAAATAGCAGAGGAAACAAAGCTGCCACTCACCATCACAATGAAACATAGCCCAAATCAAAGCAGAATCAATTGTCCTTCAGCCAACCAGCCTCTCAGTGTCAAATTGATTGGTAAGGTGCTTTGATTGGGAGTCACTCTCCCTGGGACCACACTCCCTTGTCCTAGGCACTCTAGGAGGTGGTGAGGATCAGAAAGTGGTGTGGGGCCATCTCAGGGATGGGCCAGGTAGAAAGGCTGTGAACACTCAAGGCTGGCCCAAACCACCTGGGAGTGATACTCTCCTCTTCTCCTGCTTTCATACATTCACATTGCACAGTGGTGTTGAGGAAAACATTTCAATCTTTCATCTCAGCCCTTGAAAAGACCATTGCTTACCAATGCTTCTATTCACTAGACCCCATGTTCCCCATCATTTTACTCACTCTGTAATCGTAGGTCGAGTCAGGGTTTTCATCGCATGCAATCACCTCTGGTGCCATCCAATATGGCGTCCCAATGAAGGTGTTTCTTCTGCCAGCGGTCCGGTCCAGCTGGGCACTCACTCCAAAATCCACTGAAAAATTCCACACATGTCCAAAGAGTAAGTCGGTGACAAGATGCTTTGATGAGTTATTGCCTTCACTTGGAAAGCAGATACGCAAGCCACAATGGAGAACAGATTGAAGCTCCAACATGGGAAAGTTGAACATGGGGCCTGCTCCAGGAACACTGGGAAAGAGGCTTCTGCTGATGTTGACGTTGGAAAGAGCCCCAGCAGTACTGTAATAAATCTATGGTTGGCTTGGCTGAATGCTTACCATGAATATTAAAACTAAGCCCCATCAGTACACCCTGAATAGTGTTTGGATTTGCCACTTTCCTGGAAGAAGGACAGGGATTGAAAAGAGCATCTGAAAAAACACAAAACAGGCTGGACTGGGAAGCTTCACCAATAATTTGAGAAAGTCCCATCATGATGGGGAAGAAAAATGAGTTTCATGGTCAAGTTTAAAGGAAAGTCTTCCGCAGCTAGGTTGAAGCAGATATAAATATTTACTGTGATGTCCACATCTTAGTTTTGGCTCTAAAAGTTAATCGTGGGATGCTTTGGAAAGAGTGGCATTAGCAACTGTGGGATATATTCATCTGTGGGATACATTAGAAGGAGCTTGGCATGGTGGTCTCGGACACAGAAAATGTCTGGGCTTCTCAGCTTGGAAAAAAGGCAGCCTTTTTCTGAAGGAGGGGGAAAGGGGAAAAACTTTTGAGGACTTTTTGGGTTTTAGGCATATGAAAGTTGATGAAAAAATGTTCCCATCTGCACTAAGAAGAGAGGGAAGGGACCCAAGAGGAAGCAGGAGGGATTGAGGTTTGTGCTTAGGGAGCTCTTGCCAAGCACAAGGATTATGGGATGTTGGAACATTACCACTGGACGTTGTAGAATGTCCTTTTCTAGAAGGTTTCAGAAATAGGTTAGATCAGGGCTTAGCAAGCTCCTGAGCAGGATCACAGAGTTAGAGCTAGAGAGGAACCTTCAAGGTCATTTAGTCTAATCCCCTTATTTTCCAGGTAATCAATCTGAGGCCCTGACCCTAGCAATCTAGGCAGCCATGTCCCTGTGGCAGAGTCACCTTCTCTCGATTCCTGGTGACATGACTTTGTCTGAGAGGGAAGCACGGGATTGATTGCCCTCCCCATCCCTGTGCCTCACTCGCTTCTCTGCCCTCCTTGGGTATATGATTTCCTAAGGCAGCCTTCAGTTCACTTGTCTGTAACCTAATTACCACTAGTGCCATAAAGGAACAATACTGCTAGCAATTACGGAAAACCATATGAAAAAAATCTCAGACAAGAGCCATGTTCTGTCAGCGACCTTGTTTTGCCAGAAACAACAAAGCTGAGGAAGGAGGTGATGCTGTTATCATCAGTTTTTCGCTAAGCTTTAGGGATCATCTGGAAAATCTTTAATTCCTACCGGACAGTAGTCATCTTTATGGAGTTAACAGTTAATGTCCAGCTTCATGAAATTGCTCCCGAAGTGGGAGGGGACCCAAAAGGTGAGGCCGATCTCAGGGGCTAACTGGCAACACCTGGCTACTAGGTCAGTTTCCAGAGCAACCAGCTGATTTCCCCCCACACACACACAACACCTGCCCGTGGCACTGTCCACACACCCAAACAATTAGCCAGGTCTCTAAGAAGAAGCAGCCAGTTTCACCTGAGTACCTGATGAGTTCACCATCAACTTGCCCCTGCTGCTTTTCTATTCTGAGCTAACACTGGGTTGTAGCTCCCAACTTGACTCTTATTCTGAATTTGGACCTCAGCTTTGTATTGAATGTTTAACTTCCCATTTCCTGGCCCTGCCCTAGACTTTGCTCACAGAAACACAGAACTGTAGCCTAGGAATGGATCTCCAAGGTCACCTATGTCAATGGTCCGATTCCATGCAGGAAATCTTAAGATTTTCAAGTTGGTTCGGGAACCTTAGAGATCATCTAATTCAATCTATTCATTTTGCCCATTTATTCAGTTATGGAAACTGAAGCCCAGGGAGGTGATGTAACACAGGGTTGCACAGATAACAATAGGCCACTCTGAGATCAGAACCTGGGTCTGCTAAGTCACTACTCTATTACTTCATGCTTGTTAAGTGGTTACATGGGCTCTATTTGAACACTACCAATAACAGTAAGCTCACTACCTCATTCCAGCAGAAAGGAATGGGTTATCTTGTGAGACACTGACCTGTAATCTCTCTCTTTGCATCCTCCAACCACTGGTCCCTCGTTGTGCCCAATGGGGCCAAGCATAATAAAGCTAATCCTTTTATTACTCGGGCAGCCCTTCAAATCTTTCTTTGGTGACAGCTATCATGTATCCCATTAAGTCTTCTCCAGGCTAAAAATCCCCAGTTCCTGCAACACTTTCTCATATTTTTGAGGAATGAGGTACTTTTACATCAGTAATTTTTTTCTTTTGTTAATTTTTTTTTTTAAATACAGTAAATTGATGAGAAGCAACATAGTGGATAGAGAGAGCTGACCTTAGAGCCAGAAAGACTTAGGATCAAATCCTGCCTCTAACCCATATTGTCTGTGTGACTTTGGGTAAGTCACTTAAACTCGTCCCCAGGGCCCTAGGCAAGTTGTAGATAAGGTAGAGGGAGTTCCCTTCTCTGGGAATTCCCTACACTGATGAAATCACAAGTCCATTCTCTATCCTTAGCCAAAAGTTAGTGATGACTTTTGTCATTACGTCATAAACATCCAGTGGTGTGCTGGTAAATATTTAACCACCAGCTCTCCAGAAAAGACACACAAACACTTTTAAATTTAACCTGCATTACTAACATTGTTTAGACTTAAGAAAGTGATGGAGAAAATCAACAACAAATACACCGAGTCTTGATTTGTAGCATTTGCAGAGTTTCAAATGTAAATGCTCATCTCGAAAATTTAGCAATTGGTTTTTGTTTTTTTAGTAGCTCATATTAGACAGATATGAGAGGGGCACACCCCTGCAAATATTGCATCCACCCCAACCACTTTCTCTTTGTCTTATAGCCCTCCCTATTCTAACTGCTGTCTACTGAGAAATTAAGATAACCACTATTTTAGGAATTGTGTGTAAAATGAGAGTCACACTCTGAAGGGGCCACATCGGGGCCTCTCTCACAGAATAATGGCCATGGGTTGGTTGGTTTGTTTGTTTCCTAACCAATTCACCTAGCATGTCAGAGGCCCTTTTAGATACTCCCAGCTTCTTGGCTACATTACTGTTGTTTGAAGATTGCCAGAAATCTGACCTCTAGATAAGTGGGGTCCCACTGTATGTCCAAAATTCAGGGCTCTGCCCTTTGGGTCGGTATGTTATCCGTGCTGTTTGTTTGGGACTTGGTGGAATCTGGGTGACCTTCATAAATTTCCACGCTGAATTTCTAAACACTGTGGCTTTCAGGAATAGAGAAGATAACACATTTTCCTGGAATTACTTTTCAACCTGATACACATTTATAGTCATTTATTTCAAGGACAAACATGCTTACAACTTTCTGCTCCCTCAATAAGAACTCCATGGAGCATGCGCTCACAGAGAGCATAAAATGTAGCTCTGGTGCTATTTGGACACTTTTTCAGCTGCAGACAAACCCCAAAAAGACTGTGTAGGATAGAAAGCCATTTGGGAGAGGCCCTGTAATGATAGGATCTGAGATCAGCGGCTGTTCTAATGCTTGCAGGTGATTAGCTAGCATTAAATAAAGCTGCCTTAAACAACAAGGCTCCCTGAAGTCCTCCCACTCCCACCCCAGCCCTTCTGAATATGTTGTGAGAGCAGTCCTGACGCTAACACTTGCTAGCTCTGTGTCCTCAGGCAGATTGCTGCCCCTCTCTGAATCACATTGTCTGTTTGTTACTCTCCCTAGGGTGACAGCAATACTTTTGAAACCTGCTCATCCCACAGAGAGGCCCACGAGGGTCAAATGAGGCAAGAGCAGCAAAAGCCCCAGACAAATGTGAGTTACTGGTGTTACTTTAAATCTCATAATATCTACTGCCCAAACATGACAACAAGGTCATGTGGCTAGCAGGTACTGAAACATCTGGTTCCAAAGTGAAAAACACCATCAACCAATGTTGGGTGCATTGTGTGGTCCAGGGGAAAGAGCACTGTGTCTAAGGCCCCAGGACCTGGGTTCAAATCCTTCTATCTAAGATGTTTATTATCTCCATGGCTGGGCAAATCACAACTTTCCTGTGCCTCAGTTTCCTCCTCTTTAAAATGAGACTAGAGGGCCTCTGAGGTCCTTTCCAGTTCTCTGAGGGCAGGCACTGTTTCCTTTTTGTTTGGCACACAGAAGGCATTTAATATGTACTTATTGATTGATCCACTATCTCCATGATGTCAAACAATGTGTTGGGTTAGTCTTAGCAGGAAGAAAATCAGCTCACAATTACCTATTACTTTATGGTGACAAAGAACTCTCACATGGATCCTCTTATTTGATTCTCTCCACAACCCTGCCAGTATAATGCAAACATCCTTAAACAGGTAAGGAAATTAAGGCTGAGAGAGGAGAAATGATGGGGCAAAGAATAAATGAATTTAGAGTTGAAAGTTTAGCCAAAGCTGGAAGGGACCTTAAGTGATTTTTTTTAGCCAAATCTCTCCATTTTAGAGATGAAGAAACTGAGGACCAGATGGGTGAAGGAGACTTGTTTAAGATGATGTAGTAAGCCAGTATTAGAGTTGGTATTTGAACCCAGGTCATCAGATTCCAAGTACAGAACTTTTTCCATTCTACTACATGGCCCATGTTATAGACAAGTAAGCTCCAGATGAGAGCTCTCTCCCTTGCTAACTCTTTGACAATCTGAAGACAATGATGGTAACACAAATACAGAAACCGCGCGTTTTATAGCTGTCTTCTACACTCAGTTTTTCTATGTATGTGCTTAATGTCTGCCTCTACCAACTGCTTCAAGAAGACTTACCCAGTTTTACTTCAGCGTTTTCAGTCAGAAGGACATTTTGTCCTTTGATGTCCCGGTGAATGACATGGTGCATATGAAGATGGGAAAGGCCCTGCAGGAAAAATCACATCATTGTCACCATGCCCTCTTGTAGGAACACTGGGCCTTAGATGGGCTCTCGCACAGCAGGGGCTCAGTCAATAGTTGCTGAACTGAGTTGACCAGATGACTTGGGCAACTGACCCTAACTCCTGATACAAGGCTGGAGCTTTTTGGTAAGAGAAGTGACTCAGGCTTAGATTTTTCAGACTGAATTCTTTAGGTGACAAGTTCTCAGAAATATTTCTGTGGACTTCTGAGAAAGGAAACCAAGGAAGACACCCAGGAAAGGCAAAGAAAATCCCATAGAAGTCTTTGCCTCAGTGGACTATGGAGCCTCTGTCCTCTCTAAAAGGGAAAAAGTTGGCTGGCTTAATTGGCAATCCAGATGTCCTCTGGATTTTACCTCATTCAAGCCCACTTACTAATATTTCTTGGTCAGTTTTTGAAAGCTGAGAAATTAGGGAAATATGGAAATTCATTTGAGAATGGCTTGAATTTGAATTGGCTTACTAGACTGACTCCCTCCTCCTACCACTGAAGTCACCCCACCCCACTTGGGGCACTGTGAGAGATGATGATGGCATCTCTCCTGATTGCAGGCAGTGCAAGTGTGGCCAGGCCTAATTCCTGTTCTTGGTTTTTAGGTGCTCCCATTTGCCTAGGTCACAGCTTGGGTCAGCCAGGGCTTTGGGTTTTTCTCAGTCCCTGGCAGGTACTGCACTGAAAGCAGAATGGAGTACAGCTGCTTTGTACATCTGTTTTTTCAGATGGAGAAAGAAGGGAGTGGGCTCACACTGTCGGTCTATCTGCAAAAAGGTGGTGGGACAGTTGCAAACTTTTCTGAAAAACACCAGGCTGAAGAGGCCACCCCTACTCCATGTTTTTCTCTTTCTAAATGGGAGAAGCCTCATCTTTTTAGGCTGTCCTCATATACTCATCACCCTCCTTCCTCCCTTCCTTCCAGTTCCAATCCACAATCTTTTATTGTTTGCAGTTGCCCTTCTACCCCCCCCCGTGCCCCCCTCCCCCATTATATATTTGCATTTTTTTTAAAAACCTCTACCCAGGCTCCTTCAATAACTACAGGGAATAATAACTGCACAAGGACTCACCCGTAGTACCTCCCGGCAGATGTAAGAAATCCAGTCTTCTTTAAAGGAGTTACCTTTGGTTTTCTTCACTAAATCGGTCACTGAGCCTGCTCCACAGTACTCCATCACCAGCTGCAAGGAGGGAAGAACAAGGTAACCAGAAGTGCTTCCCTCAACATCCTGGAAGACATTTCATTCAGGTGACCTGTAGTCTGCTGAACACATGGAGAAACAAAGTCAAAGACATTCACCTTCCCTTAGGTCCTCCTGCACAGGCTTGAGGATCCATAAGGAAAGATGCTCCCAGTTCCCAAAGCCAGAAAAGCTTAAACTGTTTAAGTAAATTCTGCCTCAGACACTTATTAGCGGTGTGACCCTGGGCAAGACACTTGGGTGGCACAGTGGCCAGAGCGCCTGGCCTAGAAATAGGGAGGACCTGAGATCAAATCTGGCCTTAGACATTTAACTAGCTGTGTGACCCTAAATAAGTCACTTACCCTCTGTTAGCCTCAGTTTCCTCATCTGTAAAATGGGGTAATAATATTACTACCTCCCAGGGTTGTGAGGATCAAATGAGATAATAATTGTAAAGTGCTTGCCACAGTGCATGGCACATAGTAAACCCATATAAATATGATTATTATTAACTGGAGGGTTCTTATTTGCCCACTCCCCAGCAGAATTAGGAGAAAAGAATGGAAACTGAAAGAGATTACATTGATTTGAGGTAAGAAACAAAAGCCATAAAACAACTGGAGCTATCCCAAATGGGGACAGGATGGCCTAAGATATAAAAATGACAGTAACTTACTTTTATTTAGTGCCTAGAAATTTGCAAGCCTGGCCTTACTACACTGTTACCTCAAGCAAAGCAAGACTAATCCCTCTACCACCCGACCGTGTGGAGAGTGAGTAATCTTATCTTCCTTAATCAAATGCGATAATGTGTGTAAAGCACTTTGTCAATCCTTAAAGCCCTATTTAAATGAGAGCTAATTATAGTCATTAAGTCTTCCCTTCTCCAGGCTATAAACATCCAGTATTCCTTCAACCCCACTTCATATAGCACTAACTTCATCATCTTCTCTGGATGCGCTTCAGTTAATCAATGTCCTATCTAAGATTCGGTGCCCAGAACACATCGGACCTGACTGGGGCAGTCAGTTCCCTAGACCTAGATGTTCTTTGCCTTACTTAATGCAGCCTAAGTGACAGACCTTAAATGTGTATTAGGGCAAATACATCTTTGCCTGCTACAATACATCCCATAATGTCTGTTATGTAATTTTTATATCCCACTAGGTTGGCACAGTGGATAGAGAGTTGGGCCTGTAGTCAGGAAGACCTGAATTCAAATTCCGCCTCAGACATTTATTAGCTGTGTGACCCTGGACATATCATTTCACATCTGTCTGCCTCAATTTCCTCATCTGAGAAGAGGAGATATTAACAGCACCTACCTATCTCTCAAGGTTGTTGTGAGGATCAAATGAGATAGTATTTGTAAAGCGATTACTTAGCACAGTGCCTGGCACACAGTAGGCAATTAACAAATGTTTGCTGTTAGAGGGATTTAGGATTTAAAATAGCAAATGGGATCTTTTCTTTTAGTGAATAAATTGCTATTGCTTACTAGGAACTTATCCAGAGAAAGGTGCAAATTCTTTGGAGAAAAGACTCTATTGTCCTCCCTCAAAGTGGTTGGCTTATTTAGGAGATAAAGAAAACTCAGTAGCATACATTCAGTGTTTTCTGCTTACTATGTAATTTCACTTATAAATTATATTCCTAAAGTAATTGTGATAATGCTCAACTCAGTCTAAGATAACTAAGTTTGTTTGTTTATTTACTTAGTACTCTAGTTTACATATAATGATAGATTTCCCCAGGTTCCAGAGAAAGGAGAGCCTGCTGTTCCTATCCTTCCCCTCCTATTCAGCCATTCCTGCCCTAGGAACTAGAAAATGGAAACATTATTAATATCCATTAAAGACAGGAAATTTTGGGGGGGAAAAAGGGAAATCTCATAAAACATCTTTGCAACATCTGGAGTGCTACCACCTCATCTTTGGTTTTGAAACCTTCCCAAGATGTTTGGGCATAGCCACCCAATTCCCCACTAGCTGAACTGGGATTGTAGACCTCTGCATTGCCCAGATAGCTAGTAGGGAATGATCCTTGGTGTTGCCATCCAATGTGTGGTGCTACAAGCTTATATACCCCAGACAATTTAGAAGTTGCCACTCTACCTGCCTCCTTCCTTATTAGCTGACTGGAGATCTTAGGCCTCTGTACTTCTCAGATAGTTGGTGAGACCCAATTCCAAACATATGTCTAAATAACATCCCATCTCACCTCCTGTCCTCCAGGTAAGTCTATGGGTACAAAGAATATTCTTCAATAAACTTAATTAGGACATCTAAGTTCTGTGGTATGAACTGTTTCTTTAACTGGTGGTTAGTTTATTAAGAAATTATTAACTTAGAGGGCAATTGCAGGAAATTATATGGCTAGGGGAATCTGGCTAATTTCCCTTTTCGATTATTTTCTGTGGACCCCCAAAAATAATTCTATCCCCTATGTAAAGAAGGAGTAGGGCACTATTTCAACATGACACACGACTGATTCATCCCATTATATTACTTAAGTTATTAACTGTGTCAACCAATTCTTTGTTGATTCGTTGTGGTTTTCTAAGTAATCTATCATGTTATTTGCAAATAGGCAGTTTTGACTCCTCTTTGCTGATATTTATGTTTTTAATTTTTCTCTCTTCTTACTGATATCACTAGCATTTTGGAAATATGTCTAATAAGAACTAGCTAGTATGGAGCTAGAGAAATCATCATCTGGAGAAGATGAACTAAAAGGATAAAGGGTTTTACAAAAGAACAAGAGGGAAGGGAGGAGGGAGGATAGTGGAGAGGTCAATATTTGGCATGTTCTAGAAATACTAGTGATAGAAGTAAGGCAAGAAAAAAGGAAATTAAAAGGCACTGTCATTGGCAATGTGAAGACAAAATACTTCTATTTTCAGATGATATAATGATTTATCTAGGAAACCCTAGAGAATCATCAAGGGAACTAACTGAAATAAATGATAGTAATTAATAACAAGTAAAGTAGCAGGATACAAAATTAACCCTCCTCCCCTGATCATTAACATTTCTTCATTAAAATAACTACAAAATGCATAAACTATCTGGGAGTCAATCTACCAAGACATACTCAAGACATATAAGTACACTACATTCTTTAAAGAAATCAAGAATGACCGCAATAATTGGAGGGATAGTTATTGCTCAGGGTTGAGCCACCTCAACACAACAAAAATTATGATACTGCCTAAATGAATTTGCAAATTTATTGCCACATCAACCAAATTACAAAGTTTGCTTGGTACCAAGCACCAAATAACCAAAGTATTCCCTGCCAAGGGCATACTTTATAGAGCTAGACAAAATAATAACATACTTCAAATTATATTACAAAGCAGTAATTATAAAAGGTAATTAGTACTGGCTAAAAAAAATTAAAATGTATATGAGTGAACCGGTTTTTTAAGCTAATTAGTAGAACAGATAAGATAAGCAAACACTAGAAATAATCAAACTCATTAACTTATATGTTTGGTAAACTCAGTTGGGGGAATAACTCCATATTACACAAGAACTAATGGGAATGTTGGAAAGCAGTCTGGAGGAAATTAGGTTGTGACCAACATCTCATTTCATATACTATTACTATGTGTTCACAATAGATATACAGTCTGAATTATAAAAGGCCACACTTAAAAAAATAGAAGGGAACAAAATCAGATACTTTCATAACTGTGGCTAGGGAGAAATGTCATAATCAAACAAGAGACAGAAGAAATGATAAAAGATAAAATAGACAGTTTTTGAGTACATGAAATTGGAAAGCTTTTGCGCAAACAAAATCAATGCAACAAGAGTAAGAAGGAAAACTGTGAACTGGAAAAATATTGCTTCAAATACTTTGAGAAGGGTCTGATATCTAAGCTACATAGGGAATAAATATAGAAGGCAAAGGCTAGTTCCCAGTGCATAAGCTCAAAGATATAAATAGTTCCCAAAATAATAATTGCAATTACTAATGACCATATGAAAGACTTCTTCAAATCTTTAGTAATAAGACTAATGCTTATCAAACCAATTCTGAGGTTTTACCTTATATGTGGCAAATTAGCAAAAGGGACAAAGCATAGAAATAATGTTGAAGGAATCATAAGAAGATAAACACAATGTTGGTGGAGCTGTCATTCCAATTATTCTGAAAGGCAATTTGGAATTACATGAAAAAAAGTGACTAAAATGCATATATACCTTTTAACCCTGAGATCCTACTGCTAATCATATATCCCAAGGAGATTAATGATAGAAAGGCCCCCCTATAAAAAAACCTTCATAACAGCATTTTTTTGTGATAGAAAAAAATAGGATAGATAACTATAATAATAATATAAGTTGCAGACTTAGTATGAGTTTGCACTGATAGAGGAAGTTTCCTTATCAGGGGTTCCCTATGCTAATGAAATCTTAAGTCTAGTTAAAAAAAAGAACTAGAAATAAAGATGTCCATTGATTGGGCAATAATTAAACAAGTTATGGTAAAAAAAAAAAGAGAGAATATAATATCCATGTACCATAAAAAACAATAAATATGGAAAATTCAGAAAAGCACAGAAAGAGTTTACAAACTGCTACAGAATATAGTAAGCAGAAACAGGGGAAAACTATACAATGGTTACAAAAATGTAAACTAAAAGAACAAAATACCAAAATTGAAAGGTGCAAAATTACAATACTGAAACTTGGCCCCAAAGAGAAGTTGAGACAATGCAACTGCCCCTTCACTGCAGAATAAGAGGTTATGGATATAAGATATTGTAGATACAAGCAGACATAGATGATATGTTAGCTCTGATGAACTGCTTTTCTCCCCCCTTATTTTTTATCTTTGTGGCAAGGGACTTGCTGGGGAGGGAAAGGGATATATTCAGAAATAAAGGCCACATAAATACAAAAGACATCAATAAATATAAGATAAAATATTTTAAATGCCCATAGTTTACCAGGTGCTACTCAAAACATGCAAAAGGTATGGCTTTT